AAAGACATGCTAAATTCCCAAGCAAAAGCAACATGCCAAGCAAAACTTATACACAAGCTTTCCAACCATCCTAGCTAGAATATCCCACCTTTAGAAAATCACTATAAATCAAGCTTACAACCAACAAATCCCAGACTTTCCAGATTAGAACTAGACATATCAAGCTTCATTTTCCCAAAATTTCGTTGCATTTCGAGCTAGGGAAGCATGTCAAACAGATTTCTAAAACAGCCCATGCAGCAGAAACTGTACAGCTCCAGCACCTTAACCCTTACTTTGAAATTCCACCGAAAATTCATTTTTTCTTCAAGTGATGCAAGACCAATTCCAACATAACCATTGAGAAGTCCATTTTTATGTCTCAAAAGCTCCAACTCAGATTCGAAAAGAAACATTTCAAAAGTTCAAAAAACAGCCAGCAAGCTACTTTGAGATATTTTGACAAACACTTGGCATGCATACCCAAGTGAGCTTGTATAACTCTTGTTTATTACCAAGCTAGAATCCTAAATCAAAAGCTCAACCTTAGAATTCGATTTCTAGTTCACAAATTCTGGGAAATACAGAGGAACTCAAGCATTCAAGCATAGAAGACAAGCATGCAACAAAGGCATCAACATCAACTCATGAACATGCTTTAGAAAAATGGAGGCAGAGAGCACCAGAATGGGTGGATGATCCTCAATTTTGGATTTGTTATAAACAACATAATTTCAAGCAAATTTTGTGAAGCAAGTGCAATCATACGAGCATCATAAGTTAAAGACACATGCAGAAGAAAAATCTGCAAAAACTCACCAACCATGGATGAATGCAGAAGTTGCAAACCAGCTTTGAGGTATCAGAAAAATTCAAAAAATTCTGAAAATTTTACTGGCTATAGTACTCGAGCAGATGAACAACTTTGATCAAGGAAGTTTTCTGATCCGAGCTTCCGAAATATGACTTATGTACTGATGCACAATACCCACGGGTTTGGGTCTTGAAGAAGAGGAAAGAAGAGAATGAGAGAAAATCATAAAATAAAGCATGCCATGCCAAATGAAAGGAAAAGAGGGTAGACACTTGCAAATAATAAAAATTCAAAGGGAAGGGGCAACAAAATTTTGCCCATCTGAAGGCCAAGCCAGCAAGGAGACAACGTGCCCAGCTCTCTTATGCTCTCTCAAACTCGTATCTCTTCTTCCACCCATCAATACAAGCATTTGTGAATCAATCCACGCAAACCATGCAACTCAAGCATTTCACTTAGATGCAATCATTTCAAGCAAACCAAACCAAATATCACAATATCAAGCTTTTCAAGCAATACAGTCATCATAAAAATGGCAATGTTAGAACTTGGCAGTTCTAGTTGCTGGAAGCACATAGAAGAAGTCATGCTATCATGCCAATTGTCCTCATTGCAACAAAGGGGTATCGTTTTTCCAAAACACCAATATTCATGCTACCAGAAGAGTGAACCCTCATGCCAGATCAAGCTATATCTTGATTCAACTCAACCATTAGATTATCCAAGTCCAAGCTAATCATGCCAAGCCAAGTCACATTTTTTCCAGCACCTATTCCATGCCAAACAAAACCGTTTCCAGCACCTATCCTATTCCAAATATCCTTCCAGCACTTGTTATATTCCAAATATCCTTCCAGCACATGCCCTATTTCAAACATTCTACCAGCACATGCCCTATTTCAAATATCCTTCCAACACTTGTTATATTTCAAATATCCTTCCAGCACATGCCCTATTTCAAACATCCTTCCAGCACATGCCCTATTTCAAGCATTCTTCCAATATCTAGCCATCATGTCGCACGATATCACCTTCATTGAAGTTTTGTCCTCTAAATTCAAAGTGTTCGGAGGCTGGTGCTGTAAAATCAAACACAATGGTGAATCCAAGCTTATTGCATCCGCAACTCTAAGATTGGATCCCCACTATCCACTAGCACGTCCGGCTACTGTCAAATGACATCCACCATGCTAAATGTCCCAAAAGCCATATTAAACCATGCTACCTTAGCCAAAACCAAGCATCCAAGCATGCAAGCCAAAATCAAGCATACACGCCAATACCAAGTATCAAGCCAAAATCAAGCATACATGCCAATGCTAAGCATCAAGCCAAATACCAAATATACAAGTCAAAGCAAATCATGCAAGCCAAAATCAAGCATACATAACTAATATTAGATACACAAGTCAATGCAACTCTTGCAAACCACAATCATGCAAAATCAAGCCTCTCTAGTCACTCAAGCAAATAAATCATGCGAGCTAAGTAGTTATCTTGAGCTAATCCACCAAGCATTTTCTTCTATATCATGCCACAAAATAAGGTCAACTCTTGGTAACTCTAGTAAGTGACCTCCAAAATTACAGTGTCTAGGAAAGTTCTTCAAGGCAACACCCTCGGTGTTTAAGAAGGATTGGGTTTTAAGCGGGACCATTGTGACCCCTCCAACCTTCCCGGAAAAGACCTGGCTGTAATTTCAGAGACTCTTAACCTGTTATCCTTGAGTTGCTCCTAAACCCATGCCATGCCATGCCACGGTAATTTATTTTGGGCTGAAAATTGATTATTCGGACCATTTCAATACACATTCATGGCCCCAATAATCAAGGGGGCTAATGTTGAGGCCCAAAATATTCACGGTTCGGCCCAAATAAATTCTCGGCCCAATGCGATGCTTTACCAAGAAGAAACCCGATTTGGGCATGCGAAAGTTCATCATATGCGCTTGCACACATGCCACACCAAACGACACGCCACGCTAAGCAAGGAAATATCATTTCGCACCTAATCACGCCACAAGCTTAAGTGGGCCCCAAGCCACTCAAATACCCGGGGCTTGCTTGAGTGGGTTGTGGTATGGACGGTAATAAATTAACATGAGGCCCATTGATGGGCCAGAAAAATGGAAAGTCTCGGGTTGCTTGGGAGCCTCGAGACTCAAGCCCATTTCTTAGGCCCAAACATATGGGTAAGCACAAGAGAGAAAAGCAGCCCAAAGGCCCAAGCAAAATAACCTAACCAAGAAATAACCCAACCAAAAAAATAACCCCAATCAAGAGGCCCAATGTTTCACAAAAAGCCCATTTGCTTAGAAAGCCATCTTGGCCCTTAGAAAAACCCAAAATAGCCCACAAGAGCTTCAGCTCTTTTGAAAAACAGAGAACACGTGAAGGAGGAGGTTGGCAGACTCATCAAGCAAAGTTGCTGGGAGCAAATTCCAAGCCAGAGACGCCCAAAGAACCAAGGAATGCTGGCCTGCACCCTGTCAAAAGCACCCCTTGGACCAGCATATATTTTCACTTCTTTTCCTTCATCAGATTCAGCCAAGGAAGAGGAAAGGAAAGAAGAAAAAACAGCAAACAAAGAGTGGAAGCTCCCACTGCACAGCTGCGGGAAAGGAGGATGTTGAGCCCCCAAATCCCCTGAATTCATGTAAATAGACAGAAGCAATCTTTAGGACAAGCTGCAACTTGACTCCTATAAAGCTATGCATAAGCTTTTCCTAATTGGCTGAATCAAACACCTTCTTCCATGGTGAAAGTATGGTATAGACAGAGGCATAATTGTGGGGCCATGCATTGAGAACATTATTGAACTTGAAACGTATTGTGTGATACAATTCCTCCAACTTGTATCCCAAGAGTGGTAGCCATGGAAGCACCCACACATAGATGGGAACAGTGTCCAGGCGCGGTTCCCACAAGACAACTGTATCCTTCAATTTGGGAAAGATTGATGTATTCAGATGGCATGAAGGACAAAAGGTAGCAATTTCTCCCAAGACTCCAAAAAGCGAAGCATGGGTTTGAGGTCCTTGCCCTGCCAAGTGTTGACGCCAACAATCCTCACTGCGGATACCACAACCTCGGAAACTAACTAGGTATAAAGCGACAACATCATATTATCCCAAATATTAAGGTATTGTTCTCTTCCCCCTCTCCATGAAGCAAAGCCTTCCATGAAAATACTACGAGGGGTTTCTAAGAGAATCCCAACCTTGAAACATCCTGAGAAACAGAGGTAGAGTAAAAGAACATGCAGTGTAAGATATATTACATAACTTATAGCCGTCAGCATATCTCTTTATATCCGTCAGCATTCTCTTCTCCCAATCAGTCTAACAAAATGTGCTTGGTTGATTATCAGTCTAACACACTCATAATATCCTCAAAGCTATCCAAGTGTTGCTTTTATCTGGCCACCTCTGTTGCCGGCCTCTCTTTTTCTTGGTTCAAGCTGATTGTTGTGTCCCTCTCATTCCTCAGATCCCTATCAATCTTCTAGATATCAAGCTCAGTTGTTTATACCATAATCAACCAAGCTCATTTGGTACTGGAGGACTAGCGCGCGAATAGACTCATAGCCTGCTGAAGGTAGGGCACTTCTGAGAATCCCTAGGTACCAGTGACCTTAGCTATCAAAGACACCTTCCTCCGATGTAATAATTATCTGCCAAAGGTGATTGCTAAAGCTCTTAGTTACATAACCTAAGCCTTAGACAGGTGTCGCCACCATGAGAACTTGCACAAAGTCCCACATTGAAACTTTGTACAAACTCCCACTTTCACTTCTCCGTGAAAAAGGAATAGTGCCCAAGTAAAAAAGGGTAATTACTTTTCACATTTACTGTTACTCTGCCAAAATTACCGTATATCCCATATTTATTGACTTAAGCATTGGAGAGCCTTCGGCAGGTACCACACCAATACTCGAAGCTTGACGATTGCTTCTTCCCTCTTTCCTCTATAATATATCTTTGTGATGGAAGACCCTTCTTTGTTGAAGGTCCACAATCCCCTTTGTCCTGCTGAAGACTCCATACTCTTTCCATCTAAGTTGATACCCGATTTTGGGCGTCAACAGTTTGGCGCCATTTGTGAGAAAAGACTCTTGAATCTCAAGCATCTACTAATTTTGTTAGCTCTTTCTCTTATTTGACCTCGTCGCCTCTTCAGCCCATCACACTCCGAAATGCCGAGCAATGCTAGCCTTGACACTCAGCAGCACACCCCTCATGTGGAGTCCTCCAGAAGGAAACCTTCGACTGACATGCATCTCTAGGCAGAAGTGGAGCGACTTCATGCTGACGTTGCTAAAATGATAGAGGTGTACGACCACCTCCATACAAAAATATCGAGTTGGAGCATAAGTGCCGAACCTTGAAGCGTAATTATGAGAATACTCACCACCAACTCCCTTAGCATGACATCACCTAAGGTATCAAGCGCACCTTGCCGAGCCAATTGGCCATTTTCCTTCATAGCACTCCAACACAGCGTAGGCCTGACCAAGGCAAAGGCCACCTTCATCCTAAAGCAACCAAGTCACGACCACTCCAAATTTCCTCACCTAGGGACCGATCTCATGCCCCAACCAAGATTTACAAGGACTACAAGAATCAAATCTCGGAGCTCCGGTAGAAACCCACCTCGATTCTTGTAGATCTTAACGACCCACGAGTCGATCACCTTGGCCCTCTGCCAAAGCCCACCCGTCACCTTACCCAGGAGGTTGGTGATTCTGAAGATCAGGAACCTTATCACCCTAAGGACTGGGAGCCTTACCATTCCGACGCTTTCGGAGAATATGAAACTTATCCACCACTACTTCCCCAACACCACAAATCTTCGGCACCCGACACCCTTCCTCATACCAATCTGGCCATGTTGACTTTTATTTGAGAAGGTTCACCATCTCGAGGATGAGCAGTAGCGCAACCATCATCCCATTTGGACCAAGCCACACCCTAGTCCCTTCACCAAGAGTATCCTCAACTATCGGCAGGAAAAAAATGTTCATCCACTTTGCATCGCCTTCCACATAGGGAAGGAAAACCTCATGACCCACATCCATTCCTTCTAGTTTGCCTTTAGGATGCAAGAGTTTTAGTAATGAAGGCATGTGCCTTCTTTTTTAAAACAATTTGACTTATCTCCAGCAACGTGTTCCTTACCCACTTTCCACTCAATTCCGAGAAACCATCAAACCTATTATCCATATCAACACGCAATACAAAACCACAGGAGAAAGTTATGGATGACGATAATGTTTATCAATATAATACCATAAGTTGCAGACACATGCATGTAGCCGAAACACACAGAGACTCATAGACAGACATAAAAGAAAAGATCATACATAAACCTTAGATAAAGAGAAATTTGATATTATAATAGTAGAGAAACTCTTACATAATAATAAAGACTCACAGACACAAAAGAAAAGAATAGATCTGTTTTTTAAACTCTTTGTCCATTTTCTTCTTCTACTTCATAACCACTGCTATGTTGGTGAAAAATAATATAGTTTTCACATTAGATATAAATGTGTTAGGCTTGTCCTCAATCACAACTTTTTGGATATTCCACAGATCCCTATGAAAAGTGATAGGAAAATCTGGATACTTTGCTATATATGCTTTCAGCTTCTTCAACTCATTTACGATTGAGTACGACAACTCCCAGCTTTCGGAGACTTCATTCTTCTTTAGAGAAACTGTAGGACTCTCTCTTTTTCTTCGGGAAGAATAGGAAGTAGAGATATCGAAGATGCCTCGCATCGTTCAAATGGACGATAAAAATCTGACTGTCTTATAATTTCGTGTAATGCTTTGTTAAAAGCAATATATTTCTAACGCCAAATCTGAACTTCATTCTGTTGGAGTGATTTGTGTTGCGTGCTGATAGGGATTAGAGGTTCGATAGTTTCTCAAAATTGAGTGGAAAGTGGATAAAAAACAAGTTGTTGGGGATAAGCCAGATCGTTTTGGAAAATAGGAATTGGTCGAATATTTCAACTAAAAATATAGCTCTGTGGGCTAGTCACAAACCACCTTCGGTGACCTGTCACAGGCTTTGACACCTACCTACCCCTTATACCATTCTCTTCGGGTAAAAGCTTATCCCAGGCCCAACCATTACACTCTAACCAACTATATCTAAGGTGGTCAGAATTTCAAAAGAAATGATGGCTTCTAGTGACCCTTCAAAATTGGGAAACGAAGCAGGAACTTAAATACCTATTGGTTCGGCCACATTAACCCTTCGAAAATGTTAAAGGGTATATTTTCTTATTCTTCTTCGTAACCACTGCTATGTCGGTGAAAAATAATACAGTTTTCACATTAGGGATGAAGGAGTTAGGCTTGTCCTCAATCACAACTTTTCAAATATTCCATAGATCTTTATCGAAAATGATGAAAATCTAGATACTCTGTTATATATGTTTTCATCTTCTTTAACTCATTTGTGATTGAGTCGGATGGCTCGTTGCTTTCGGAGCCTTCATTCATCTTTAGAGAAACTGGGGGAACATCTCTCTTCTTCGCCGGGAAGAATAAGAAGTCGAGATATTGAGTGGAGGATAGGAATCTGAATGTACCTTACAATTTCATGTAATGCTTTGTTAAAAGTATTATATTTCTCTAGCCAAATCTGAACTTCATACTTTCAGAGTGATTTGTGTTGTGTGCTGATATGGATCAGAGGTTCAATGGTTTCTTGGAATTGAGTGAAAAGTGGGTAAAGAACATGTTGCTGGAAATAAGTTAGATTGTTTTGGAAAATGGGAATTGGTTGAATACTTCAACTCCAAACGTAGCTCTGTGGGCTAGTCACAGATCACCTTCGGCAACCCGTGACAATCTTCGGGACCTCCCAACCCTTATACCATTCTCTTCGGGTAAAAGCTTATCCCATGCCCAACTATTACACTCCCATCAACGATACCCAGGGTGGTTAGAATTTCAAAAGAAATGATGGCTACCAGCAACCCTTCAACATATGTAAGGAAGACCTTCTGACCCACATCCATTCATTCCAATTTGCCCTTAGGATGCAAGGGTTTTAGTGATGAAGGCATGTGTCTTCTTTTCAAAACAATTTGACTTATCTCCAGCAACGTGTTCCTTACCCACTTTCCACTAAATTCCGAGAAACCATCGAACTTATTATCCATATTAGCACGCAATACAAAACCACAAGAGAATGTTATGGATGACGATAATGTTTATCAATACAATACCATAAGTTGCAGACACATGCATGTAGCAGAAACACACAGATACTCACAGACATACATAAAATAAAAGACCATACATAAACCCTAGATAAAGAGAAATTTGATATTATAATAATAGAGAAACTCTTACATAATAATAGAGACTCACATACACAGAAGAAAAGACTAAATCAGTTTTTTAAACTCTTTGTCTATTTTCTTCTTCTTCATAGCCACTACTATGTTGGTGAAAAACAATATAGTTTTCACATTAGATATGAAGGAGTTAGGTTTGTCCTCAATCACAACTTTTCGGATATTCCACAGGTATCTATCAAAAGTGATAGGAAAATCTGGATACTATGCTATATATGCTTTCAGCTTCTTCAACTCATTTACGATTGAGTACGACAGCTCCCTGCTTTCAGAGCCTTCATTCTTCTTTAGAGAAACTAGAGGACTCTCTCTGTTCTTCTTTGGGAAGAATAGGAAGTAGAGATATCGAAGATGCCTCGCATCGTTCAAATGGAGGATAGAAATCTGACTGTCTTATAATTTCGTGTAATGTTTTGTTAAAAGCAATATATTTCTAACGCCAAATTTGAAAGGGTCCATTTTCTTCTTTTTCTTCGTAACCACTGCTATGTCGGTGAAAAACAATATAGTTTTCACATTAGAGATGAAGTTTTCTAATATTTGGTGGAAGTAGAAAAAAAAAAGCAAGGTTATGAACGTAAAATCTCATTGGATAATCAACAAGCAATGGAATATAAAAAAGAAGTGAACGATTCTAATTTGACAAACTACCCAATATATTTTTTAATTCATAGCCATGGATCCTACCAAGCAAATAAATGAAAATTTTAAAAATGCATAGATAGAGATGCAGTGTAGATATAGATAAGCTGATAAGGATAATGGAGAAATTGAAGGGAGAAGAATGATCAAATTTTTGGGGTAACTTACTCTGAACCACTTGCTATTCCCAGGCAAATGCTAAGTCTAGTTTTTGAAGTAAGTATGGATCTGGAATTTGAGTATGCAATCATATACTCACCACTTCAATGTTGTATTCTTTCAAAATAGTTAAAATAATATATTTAGCCAACTTACCCAGCTAGCAAATGATCAAAGGAAAAGCTACAACATGCATGAGATGAGATGAGAAATCTAGAGGGAGAAACCCATAGAAAGAGACATTCAGAGAGAGAAATCATGAATAACTGAAACCCTAATGCCCCAATTTCATTCCACACAGACAGAACCGTAATTTCAAAAATCCCCAATTGAGATGAGATGAGATGGATTGAACTTACCACCAGACAAAGGTGCCGACGACAAGGGGAACAAGAGAAAGGTGCCGACGATAAGAGGAACGGCTGTGATGGCGACGACCAGTGGATGTGAGAGGAGGAGCGGTGACTCCCTTGTACCCTGGTTGCAGTAAGTACACGAAGTTGTCAGCTTTAACGAAGTTATATAATTTGAAAACAAAACATGGGATGAGTGATGTATGTTTTATAGAATTATTGATATTTCAAGGAGATTTGCTTCCACGAGGAAATACAATACATTCTTCTATGTACAAGGCAAAAAAGACTTTGTCTGCTTGGGGGATGAGTTATGAGAAGATCCACACAAGCCCCGATGACTGCATCTTGTATAGGAAGGATTATGAAGATTCAACTAATTATCCTACTTGTGGTATCTCAAGGTGGAAGGAAGGCAAAGATTCAATCTTGAAAGAAGGTGTGCCAGCAAAGATGGTATGGTATTTTCCGCAAATTCCTAGGTTTAAAAAGATGTTTCAATCACTTAAGATAGCTAAGATGTTTCAATCATATGTCTCATCTAGCGGATTCCCCGTCTTGAAAACTTCTTGATGATAAAAGGCTCGAATTTGGTAAAGAGCCGAGAAACTTGAGATTGGCTCACTTATTTGATGGATTCAATCCCCATAGTTCTTTAAGTAGTAGATATAGTTGTTGGCTAGTTATCTTAGTTACATATAATCTCCTACCATGGCTATGCATGAAACGGAAGTTCATGATATTGACCTTATTGATTTCCAGTCCTAAACAACACGGATATGATATAGATGTCTACTTAGAGCCTTTGATTGATGATTTAAAATCTATGTGGGATGAGATTAGAGGAGTGTATGATGCACACATAGAAGAATACTTTACACTCAGAGGTGTATTACTGTGGACAATTAATGATTTTCCTACCCATGGAAACTTATCTGATTGTGTCGTTAAATGATATAAAGCTTGTCCAATATGCGGCGGTGATACACCTAGTCACATGTTGAAAAATGGCCACAAAATTTGTTAAATTGGACTATAAAATGGTTACCAACATATCATCCATATTGAAGGCAGCGCACAGCTTTTAGTGGGAAACTTGAATATGGTACGCCTCCCAAGCCATTAACCAGAGAAGAAGTGTTGCAAATGGTTGAAAGTATTAATTACAAATGGAGCTCGAAAATGGGGAAAGTGTTGGTGAGAATGATGGTGACAGAATTTGTTGGAAGAAGAAATCAAAATTATTTGATCTCGAGTATTGGAAATACCTTCCTGTGAGTCATGTCCTAGATGTTGTGTACAATGAGAAGAATGTTTGTGATTGTATCATTGATACATTGCTGGAGATCCCTGGAAAAAATAAAGATGAGATTGCTGCTCGGTTAGATTTATTGAACATAGGGGTCAAAACTGATTTGCAACCTGAGTATGGAGAAAGACATACCTACTTGCCTCCAGGGCCTTGGAATTTGTCAAGAGCATAGAAGAGAGCGGTTTGCAATTTTTTTCTATGGTATGAAGATCCCTAAAGGTTATTCTTCAAATATAAAAAAATCTTGTATCTTTAAAAGATTCAAGACTTCTTGGCCCTAAATCTCATGATTGTCATACCTTGATGCAACAATTTCTCTCTGTGGCAATTCATTCTGTTATGGAGAAACTTACAAGGTATGCAATAGCTTGATTTGCTTCTTCTTCAATGCCATATGTGCAAAGACAATAGATGTTTCCAAGCTAGATAACTTGGAAGAAGATGTAGTACTTACTTTGTGTTTGCTTGAGAAATATTTTCCCCCTTCATTCTTTGATATCATGGTTCATTTAGTAGTACATATTGTTAGAGAAATTCGTCTATGTAGGCCAATTTATTTTAGATGGATGTATCCGTTTGAAAGATATATAAAAGTACTAAAGGGGTATGTTCAGAACCGTACTCGTCCAGAAGGTTACATTGCTGAGTGGTATAGAGTTGAAGAAGTTGTAGAGTTTTGCACCTAGCATTTATCTGATGTTAATACAGTTGGAGTGCCATCAAGCCAGAAGATGGGAGTTTCAAAGCTATTATCAGGTTGCATAGTGAGCTTAGTTGATTGGGACCTGTTGAACCAGACACATCTATATGTCTTGGGAGAATATGGAGGAAGTCCTACCTTATACCTAGTATGAGTTTTATTCTTAAAGTAGCCATTTTAAACTATTCTTTATGTTTATCTTATGTACAAAGGACCGTAATACTTTATTTTTTCGTATCAATGTAGGGAATATATGATCCACATCAAGACCACTTATCCAAAATTTAGAAAGAGAACAAAGTGGCTACAAGATAAGCACAATAGCACTTTCATTCAATGACTATGCTTTAAGGTATATGTTATTGAATAACATATTGAACTTTTAATTTTCTTCTTTCTATGTTAGATTGAATTAAGATATATGATTAATTTGCAGGTTCAAAATGAACTTAATGGGGAAGACAATAATGGCGTATTAGAAAATTTAAGGTGGCTAACAACTGGTCCAAGCATGGCAGTGCCATCATATAGGAGCTATCTTATTAATGGTGTTAAATTTAACACCAAGGCACAAGATAATGTGCGAACTCTCCAAAATAGTGGAGTTTATTTACTTTCACATACTATGCAAGTTGCTAGTGCCAAGGATAAAAACCCTATAGTCTTGAATATGAGTTTTTATGGTGTCATTCAAGAAATTTGGGACCTTAACTACCAAAAGTTTAGAATCATAGTCTTTAGGTGTGATTGGATAGATAACACTTCAGACCTTGTAGTCAAAGAACTTGGATTTACCCTTGTAGATATGAGTAAAATTGGACATAGGAATGACCAATTTATTATGGCTTCTCAAGTCAAATAAGTATTTATTGTTGACGACCCATTGCATCATGGTTGGTTGGTAATGTTATCAATGCCTAATAGAGAGTATAATGATGATATTGGTGATAATCTGCTAGGTGATATTAGAATTGAGTGTGAATCATTTACTAGAGGGATACCAAATGTTGACACATTTGATGTCCTAGTGGGTGAGTTTGGGAGTGAAAATATTAGAGATGGGCGTGAAGATATATGGATTGATTGATTGTTGTGATGTATGACATTAGTTATGCAGTTAATTGTATGACATTAATTAATAACTCTGTATGACATTAATTTTGCAATAAATTTCAATGTTTGACATTATTCTCATCACATTTTCATTATGCAGGCTTTGGGCACGACAAATCCAAAATTAAAATACTGGGTTAAAGGTGTAAAATACAACGGTCCAATTAACAAATCGCAAAAACAGACGCCTAAAACATAACCAACATCGTATTTTTACAAACGACGTGGAATGACTACGCAAAAGACTATAAAGAAATACAAACTGCCATTTGAAAAAAAAACACGTCGGTTAATTAAAATTAAATTACACACGGCTAATAGATATTAACAACGACTGTCATGAAAATAATGCACATGGTAGATTCAAGAATAACACGACAAAATAGTGCTCCAACTGACAAATTTTAGGAAAACACTACTTCCACCGATAAATAATTACCATCATCTAAAAAGGGCAATAAAGGCAACTCAGTCCCATTAACTGTCGTGATAGCTCTACTGCACGTCGGTTAGGCTAAAACATTTTATGTCTCAGATAATACACACGTCAATGAAGGTTATAAAAGCGACTTTTAAAAGGGAAACCATGTCCAGTCCTATACAAAAACCAACGTGATGAGTGAAATAACAATGTCGACAAATTGTATTCTAGGGACATAATAAGAAGATTAATTACGACCTTTAATTTACATTAACCGCCATTCAAACTCCGATCAACGGCGTTCTATTTCCTATTCACACCGTCAAAATCATTTTTAATGACTGTGGGTAAACACTTGGGTCGTGATTAGGGTTTGTTATGTCGAGGTGTAATAAAATTGTGCCATATTAAATTATTCAGACGTCAATGTTTTAAAACAAGCGTCGTCTAACGTTGTTCAAGTAGTCTTTTTTTTCATCATTTAAACGTTGGTTCTCGTAAGAAACAGTCGTGGAATACTTTTAACAATGCAGTGTTTTTCTGGGTGGCGACGTGGAATATGTTAGACGTCAGCTTTTTTATTTTTATGCCATGTTAAATTATTCAGCCATCTAAAATTGTCATTTTTTTAAATTATTTACTTTTTTTTTATAGACTTTAGACGTCAGTTTTTTTATTTAGTAAACATAGTATATATTAACCACGACGGTTTCGACGTTTTGCACAATGATATTTTTTCAAATAAAGACATGGGTAACTTTTTTTACGTCGGCATGTATGTAGTTCTTAACATGTAACACGCTTTAGACTCCCATATTTTCCTAAAACCACCGTCTAAGATTGTCAAAGTTTTCCTTTTTCGCTGTTTGTATAGTAATTAGACGTCGGTTTTTATTTTGGTATGATGTTGTATGTCTTAATGATGGCGGGTTTTTGCCGTTGTTGTTTTATGTATCAAAAGATGGCAGTCGATTTCACGATGGTTAATTTAAAAACCTTCTAGACGATGGTGGATTTTCATCGTCTATTTCAATTTTTGTAGTAGTGATAAGGTTTTTTTTAATCAATTTTTCCTACAAAAACCAAATATAAAGGGAATAAAAAATAAGAAATAAGGCACTTATCACAATATACCCTTAACTTGTTGACTTAGAGGAAGAAGACTGAAGATGCAACCTGCAAAAATAAAAATAAAAACCACACTTAAATAAAGATAACAAAATGTATATCAATTGTAAACTTTGGAGAACACGGTGACCAATTTCGCTAAATTTTTTACTCAGTGACCAAATTGAATTTTCATGTAAAACCTAGTAACAAAAAAAGTATTTAACCTTTTTAATTTTAATTTTAAAGGCATTGGAGTATATTTAAGTGAGTAACTTTTGACTATATTTGAAATAATTTATAAAAACTAACATTTATAGGAAAACCCTTGAGATTATTTCTTTTTTTGCAATCCATTTTCCTTGATTGCAAATCAACTTCAATGCTTTTTTTTTTTTTTTTTTTTTTTTTTTTTTTTTTTTCTTTTTTTCTTTTTGCTTCTTTTTTTTTTTTTTGTTCAACAATTCATCATTTATTTTTATTGTGAAAATTTGACGCCAAACTTTTTTTTTTTGTCAAACAATAGAAATATCATTGATAAAAGTCGAAAGACTCGATTACAATAATTACAAAGGCAACCAATAACTTGAACCCATATTCAGACCCAAACATATGATATTAGATTGCCTAATTAGGACATCAACATTTTGATGTGATTTGTCACTTCAGCTGTGTTTTTAAATGCTTCTAGCATTTGACTTGCAATCTTCTAGATTGAAATTTCTTTTATACCTTACTTTTACATTAGGTGGTACAAAATTTTGATGAAACAATAATGAATGCATTTCATAGCAATTCACGTTGTTTTTCAGGAACAACCTTTTCTCTCCTAACAATGGAAAATTAGTCTCATCAAAATAATGTTATTTCATTGGAGTGGTAATGTTGTCCTTCAGGGACCAAAAATAAATAATATAAAGATGATAATATAAACAAAATCTTCAAATTCGCTCCATATATAGTGTAACATAAATATCATGGTCTTCAAAACTATTCAATAAAAAAAAAATAATTCATGTCATAAATTATTATAGATCAAAGAACTTCTGGTTCTTATTAGAAAATGAGTTCATATGAAGCAAATTATGATTAATATGTTTATGGCACGAGACCATAAGTATCAGTCATGTTTATTCATAATTTCAACATTAACTCCATTGTGTGTATGTATAAAGCTATGTAAGTTTCTTTTGGAACTAAGAAATATCAAACATTGTAAGAATATAATTTGACATGGTAATTGCTTTTGGTCAGGTTTGGAGAACCTAATATGATATTTACCAAAATGAGTGGTAATTAAACTAAAAAATAATTTTAAACTTGTAGGGGTGTTTTTGTTCCAGCAGCCTGACGAATGGGCTTGGGCTGCCTCAAGAAGACAACGAACAAAAATTCCCCAAAAGCCTGAGTTCGAAACCAAGCTCCCAAAAGGGTTTTTATAAAATCTGATGAGACTTTAGAAAAACACTCTTAGGTTCATCTCACTAACACCAAATAAGCATGATAAATCGATTAATGGCTTAGCATGAGGAGCTTGTGGCATGGGAGCAAAACCTTCATGAGTTTAGCATGAACAGAGAGAGATAAGCGTGAGTTTCTTACAGTGAACAAAGGGTTAAAGTGTAACAGAGGAAGATTAGACAGATTTCTTTCCTGAGGGAAGAGGAAAACAAACGAAGGAGAGAATTGGGTGGCTTGAGTAAAATTCCCAATTTGTTTGACAAAGCGTGGTCAAGCCTTGGATGGGTTATTTTGCTAGGTGGAAGAAGCATGGAGGAATAGGGCTCGAAATTGCTGGGTTTTGGAAGCAAGAGAAGAAGCTTGCTCTCTGGATGTGGATTGAGTGAATTTTCAGTTGCTTGACAAAGTTTGGTCAAGCTCTAGATGGGTTAGGCTATAGATGGTTTTCTGGGTAGATGAGGCTCTCTTTTATAGGCTTGAAGAACCCTAATTTCATCTAACTTTTCCTTTTCCTTTTCATTGTTTCTTCCTACTTGATCTAATTTGGTGAAATTCTCCTATCCAAGGAGCATGGGTAAGGAACCCTTTGTGGTTCCAATAGTTTGACGCAGCTGGACCTTCCCATAAAGGGGGAGGCGCCACCTGCTTTCTCTCATGGTTTTCAAGATGGAACTTGCAGAGGAAAAAGAGATGGGAGGAGTTCTTTGTCCAATGGGTATTCGTCTCTCACACACGGATTTCCACTGGTTCCTGCCATGGTTCCTTGTTTGATCGTCTTGGAATCCTAGCAAGGATGGAGCACGATGCCAGATTTTTTATAAGGCTTTGGGCTGGGCTTGTATGTACAGTGTTGGGTTATCAGCGTGTTATCTCCAGCATCAAATGGGTCTTCATCAAGCTGCTGGAAGTGTTTTTGACAAAGTGTTTGGGTGCTCTAATTAACATAAGGTTTTCTAAACAAGCTATTGTATTCTTTCTAAGGCATTGGGTTATGTTCTCTCTCTCTCTCATGCTAGCCCACGTGTTTGGGCTCAAGAAATGGGCTTGAGTTTTGGGGCTCCCAAGCAGCCCAAAACTTCCATTTCTTGGCTCATCATTGGGCCTCATGAAAGATTATTACCATCTATACCACAACCCACTCAAGCAAGCCCCAGGCATTTGCGTGGCTTGGGCCCACTTAAGCTTGTAGCGTGGTTGGGTGTGAAATAATAATTTCATGCTTGGCATGGCATGTCAATCGGCGCGTTTTAATTTTATCGTCCTTGAATAGAGGCATGATGCTTGATGGGGTAATTAGCATGGGCTCGTAGAGTCAGTGCTTATTTCAACTCTTAGCGTGAGAGATTGCATATTTATGTGGTCATGGCTTGTGTAAGCATGAATGAGGAATTTTGCATGCTCCGAACCGAGTCTTTTTCTTAATAAGGCATTATGTTGGGCCAAGAATTTATTTGGGCCCAACCCTGGATTTTTGGGCCTCAACAAAACTCAAATGGTTGTGTGTGTTGTTTCACTAACAATAAATATCATAATTCTTAGAGGCTTTGTCATACAAGACCCTCCCTTTATACTATTTAACTTCAAAAACATTTTACTTCCGGGATAATGTGTAAGTGACATTTGTTTCCAAAAATGATATCAAGCTTACATTCGCTTAAGGGAATTATGTATGTTTATATTTCTTCAAGAAATAATAGATCCAATCATATGAAATTCGTGGATGCATAATAAAGACTTTTAATTTACAATTTTTTTTCCCAAGTTTATTAAAACTTCAGGTTTTGAATTCAGTATGTCATTGCAAATAGTTCATATTTTTATAATCTCAAATTAAATTTTGTATTTCAAATATGTATAATGAAACTTCTAATTTCAACTAATTGCTTAACATGAAACTTCTAGTCCAAATAAGATATTAATAAATAATTCACAAAGACAATAAAGTAGTACTAATTAAAAAAAAACTTACAATAATAATCACACTGAGTTCTAAAAATATGATAAAATATAAAACATAAAATAGAAGGTTATAAGATAAGTTGAATATATCAAACGGTTCTAAGATAAATTTAATTTATAGAATTACATGTTCTAATATGAAGATATTTGTAAATTTCTATTATAAACTGAAAATTTAAAAAGTTTCGAACTTCAAGTTTTAAAGTATAGAACTTCGGATTCTAGCGAGTCATATAAATAAAATTTCTGGCTATAGACTGAATTTGATCTTGAAATTCAAAATGATCACATAAAAGTATTGATTTTAAGAAAAATATGTAATGATGAATCAAAGGTCTTTCAAGCTCAATTTGATAGCAATAACATAGATATGATAATTGAAGAACTTCTGGTGCCAATTAGATTGTGTGATATAGAAATACATTTTCTAATAAGATATAAGAATAATAAAAACTAAGAACCAATGAACTTGAAAGTCCAATATTTTGATTCCATTGTAGAAAACATGATAAAGATAAAAGAAAAAAATGTTTGATTATGAACTTCGAGTTCAATTAACATTTTATATATGTTATGCCAAAACTGTAGGTTCTTAACATGATATGCACTACAGGTTCATATTAATATTAATCTCAATAGACAATTATGAACTTTGGATATATATTAATGTATATATGAAACATCAGGTTTAAGTGCCTATATCAAATTAAAAAGAATACCTGGTTTTGAACTGCAGGTCCAAAATTGTAGTAATATGATATTGTTCAAGGTAATAAATAAAACGATATAGAAGACATGAAATCTAATTAATGTTGGAACTTCAGGATCTTAACATGATGTATATTTTCAGCCCAAAATCATAATACATATGCACTTGTTAAAATATCGATTTGGAGGTTGACACAATTAGAACTTCAAGTTCTCGAATTTACCTATTTTAATGTACATGTGGCCGAAACTTATAGTTTGGATTAGATATAATAAGAACTTCAGGTTCTAAGATATTTGAACTTCAGGTCATATGAGGAATTTCAGTCCTTAAATATAAATTATTGAAATGAAAACAAATAACTGAATATAACAATAAAAATAAAATAATAATTCAAATACTGGAATAAAATAAATTATTGGAACTTCTGGTTCCAAGTTAGAGAAAAATCAAAGAACTCCAAGTCTTGTTTTGCTTTCTGAGAATTGCAAAACTCCCAGTCATTGTATAGATATTATATGAATTGAGAACTAAGATACTTCGAGTCTTTGTTTAATTATATAATTTAGGGACTTTGGGTCTTTGCATAAAATAAAAATGAAACTAAAGAAAAGAACTAAGTAAAAATAAAATAGAACAAAAATTAAAATATTGCAATAAAATAAATTTTTGAAACTTCTGGTTCCAATGAAAAATAAATCAAAGAACTTCAGATCTTCATTTGCCTTTTAAGAATTTGGGAAATTCAAGTCCACAAATATTTATATTATAAGGATTGAAATCTAAGGATCTTCTGGCCCTTACATGATTAAATAAGAATTGAGGAACTTCTTGTCCACCATTAGTTATATAAGAATTGAAATTATTGAGTATCTCACTTTAGCTCATAAAGATTGGTGACATGAAATATCATGTTGATATTGATCTTTACTCTTAATTAAAATCTTGAATTTATGACCAATAACAAAATATAGTTGAAATCTTGTAAGTAGATATACAAGATAGATATCAAATTTCATATACACTAGATATGTAAATGAAAATAAAAATAAAATAACTTATATGTTTGGAATCATGTTGTTCAGCTTCCTTTTATTGATGCACTTATTTCCATTTGTTAGCCTATGTAACAAAAGTTCTATACTTGCGATATGTAAGAGGAAACTATTCTATTTCTAAGACAGAAAAACAAAACCTCAAGTGGTTAGAGGCTCGTGCTGATAACGTGTTATATAACTAAGGGAAAATTGTAGAGAGAATTGGAAAGTAGAGAAAGACAATAGAACTTGTGTCAATCAACTTGCATCTCTCATACTGGTAACACCTCTTATTTATAGGCTTACAATGATATGAAGACATTAACCACTTATAAATTATAAACTCATAACTATGATATTTAGTGCATAAGTTTTATAGAATTAGAAAGCGGGAATGCTAAGAGGTATGGTGGTCATCTAGCAACTCATGCATTTACAACATTATGTTCCTTTTTTTACAAATTAAGCATAAAACTTCTTAATTTATCTTATATTTCTCTCCCTTAAATCTTGTAGGTTAGTATCTAATATTTGAAATAAAAACTCCTCCGTCTCAACATTTTTCTCTCGTTCTCTTTTTATGTTTGAGTTGGGCACCTTAATGTTGGAATATATGAACCTTTTTTTGTGTTTCTTCTCTATGTTGGAATATAAATTATTAACTTTAGGGCTCGTTTGTTACACATGACTGTCTTGGCATGGACTATGCTTAAGGACTGTCTTGACTTGGCTTGGCTTAGTCTAAGTTGGATAACACTTATCCTGTGTTTGGTGTATGCTTGGACTAGGACTAGATTTTTTTATTTTTTCAAAAATATCTATATATATATGTATAAATGTATTTTATAATATATATAATATATATGTATATACATACATAATATATATATAACATATATGTGTATGTACATGTATATATGTATATTATAATAATATTATATATTATAAATAATATAAACATATATATATATGTGTGTGTGTATATAGGTGTATATATGTATATATAATATATATGGGTATGTTATAATAATAATAATATACATGTATATATGTATATTATAATATATATTATAATATATACATGGGTATAATACATATATATATGTATATGTATATTATAATAGATAATATATATGGGTATGTTATAATAATAATAATAATACACATGTATATATGTATATTATAACATATATACTGTTATAAATCCATACGTTATGGGTTTATAGGTTATGGATGCACACAATAATAGCCACTATTAACCTATCATAATACCCATCATTATATACTTGTAACCTACCAATTGTGGTTGGTAAATGATTTAGGCCTATGTACTCCTATAAATAGTGGATCCAAATATGAATGGAATACAAGTTGATTTGAGCAAATTATACTGTCTCTTTCTTCCTCTTATTTCTCCTTACAAATTCTCTAATTTCACAACATGTTATCAGCACGAAAGCTCTGGGCATGGAAAACAATCATGGATGTTCTCGTTTTGGGAGAAATGACGAAGATATTTGTCTTGCGGATAGTACAACTATGCACACAATTCTTCGAGATAAAAAATATTTTGATAATTTACATTTATCAAAAGCGAAGGTAACTACCATACTAGGTTCTGCAAACCTAATTGACGGCTCTGGAAGAGCTCAAATTTGGTTACCCAATGGGACTCAATTCACCATTGATAATGCTTTGTACTCTTTGAGATCAAGAAGAAATTTACTTAGCTTTAAAGACATTCGAATGAACGAATACCATATTGAAACTAGAAAGGATCAAAATGTGGAGTATCTTTGCATTACCACCAATATTAACAGCCAGAGGCGTATATTGGAAACACTTCCTGCTTTCTCTTCTGGGTGGTATTATACAACCATCAAAGCAGTTGAAGTCCATGCTATCATGGACCAGAAGTTCATTGACCCAAAGACTTTCATGCTTTGGCATGATCGTCTTGGGCATCCTGGATCCACAATGATGCGTAGGATTATTTCAAATTCAAATGGACATCCTTTAAAGCCTCACCATAGTACTTTGTCCATTGACCAGTCTTGCAAAGCTTGCTCCCAAGGGAAATTGATCATCAGACCACCTCCGTCAAAACTTGGCTTTGAATGTCCATCTTTCTTACAGAGAATTCAAGGGGATATTTGTTGGCCATTTCACCCATCTTGTGGACCATTTCGTTATTTTATGATTTTAATTGATGCATCTATAAGATGGTCACACGTTTGTCTATTGTCAACTCGCAATGTTGCTTTTGCTAGGCTCCTTGCTCAGATAATTAAATTACGAGCACAATTCCCTGATTATCCAATAAAGTCAATTCAACTTGATAACGCTGGTGAGTTTACCTCCCAAACTTTTGATGCCTATTGCATGTCACTTGGGATTGATGTTGAGCACCCAGTTCCCCACGTTCATACTCAAAATGGATTAGCAGAAGCTTTTATCAAGCGTCTCCAGTTTATTGCTCGCACTTTGCTATTGAAGACAAAGTTGCCAACTTCTGCTTGGAGATATGCAATTTTACATGGAGCAACTTTAGTTCGCTTGAGGCCCGTTGCCCAACACCAATTCTCCCCTTTACAACTTGCCTTTGGGAGACAACCCAATATATCACATTTAAGGGTTTTTGGTTGTGCAGTTTATGTGCCAATTGCAGCCCTACAACGCACTAAAATGGGTCCTCAACATCGATTGGGAATATACATTGGTTTTGATTCACCAACTATCATTCGCTATCTCAAACCTATAACAGGAGATACTTTTACAGCACGCTTTGCAGATTGTCACTATGATGAGACATTCTTCCCGCCGTTAAGGGGAGAAAAGACCGTTCCTGAAGAACGACGTGAATTAGGTTGGAACATATCCATTATGTCTCATCTTAACCCTTGTACAACTCAAAGTGAAAATGAAGTACGAAAGATTGTCCACCTTCAGCAAATTGCTAATAAAATGCTAGATGCATTCACTGACATAGGAAAAGTGACAAAATCACATATACCTGCAGCAAATACACCAGTAAGGATTGATATCCCAATCGGATTAACCAATGTTGCAGCAAATGAATCATCTACTGCACGCTTGAAGCGAGGTAGACTCGTTGGTTCGAAGGACTCAGCTCCTAGAAAGCGAAAATCGAAAGCATATTCCAACCCCAATGAAAACGCTCATGAAGATATTATTGGGAAAGAGATTGACCTTGAACCTACAATTCATCTAGAGAGTGAAAGTGTCATTGAAAAGATACAAGCCACTGAAGAGGAAAAGATACCTAATACAGAAATTTCTGTAAATTTCGTATGTAATGATGAATTGTGGGACCGTAGTGAAATGGTTATCGATGATATTTTTTATTTCGCAGTAGCTACTGAAATTATAAAAGGTCATGAAGATATTGAACCACAATATGTTGATGAACGCAAAGAGAGGCCCGATTGGCCAAAGTGGAAAGACGCAATCCAAGCTGAGTTAAATTCCTTGGAAAAACATGGTGTATTCGGACATGTGGTTCAAACACCACAAGGTGTAAAACTTGTGGGATATAAATGGGTGTTCACAAGAAAGCATAATGAGAAAAATGAGATTGCAAGGTATAAGGCATGACTCGTTGCGCAAGGATTTTCTCAAAGGCCTGGGATTGATTATGAAGAAACATATTCTCCTATTATGGATGCAATTACATTCCATTACTTAATAAGTCTTACAGTTTCAGAAAAACTTGACATGCGTCTTATGGACGTTGTTACTGCATACTTGTATGGGAGTTAGATGCCAATATTTATATGAAAGTCCCAGAAGGATTAAAGTTGGCAGAATCAAACACTAAATCACGGAACATGTACTCCATTAAGTTGAGATGTTCACTATATGGGTTGAAACAATCCGGACGAATGTGGTACAATCGTCTTAGTGAATATTTGATTAAGGAAGGCTACATCAATGATCCCATTATGTCCATGTGTTTTTATAAAGAAATCGAATTCTGGATTTGCAATCGTAGCAGTGTATGTCGACGACATGAACTTAATTGGAACTCCTGATGAGATCATTAAAACTGCTGAATATTTAAAGTGTGAATTTGAGATGAAAGACCTTGGAAAAACGAAATATTGTTTGGGCTTGCAAATCGAGCATCATCCTAATGGTATTCTTGTCCATCAATCAGCTTACACTAAAAAATTTTTAAAGCTATTTTATATGGATAATGCCCACTCGTTGAGCACTCCAATGGTAGTTCGTCCATTAGACACAAATAAAGATCCATTCCGTCCTGAAGAGGATGATGAAATGATACTTGGTCCAGAAGTACCATATCTTAGTGCGATAGGTGCTTTATTATATCTAGCCCAATGTACTAGGCCAGATATTGCATTTTCAGTAAATTTATTAGCTAGATATAGCTCAGCTCCAACACATAGACATTGGAATGGTATGAAGCATATCTTGCGCTACCTTCATGGAACAACTGATATGGGCCTGTTTTATTCGAACGAACCTTCCAACGGTCCAAATCATATTGGATACGTAGATTCTGGGTATCTCTCTGATCCACATAAGGGTCGCTCTCAAACTGGTTATGTGTTTACTTGTGGAAATACAGCGATCTCATGGCGATCTACAAAACAAACTTTGGTTGCTACCTCTTCTAATCATGCAGAAATTCTTGCGCTTCATGAGGCCAGTAGAGAATGTGTTTGGTTAAGATCCCTAGTTCATCATATTCGGAAAACATGTGATCTTTCTTCAACAACAAATGCTCTGACAATCATGTATGAAGACAATGCTGCTTGTATATCTCAAATTAAAGAAGAGTTTATCAAGGGTGATAGAACCAAACATATACCACCAAAGTTCTTCTACCCACATGAGCTTCAGAAGAATCAAGAGATTGAAGTCAAACAAATTCGTTCCTAAGATAACCTGGCAGACCTCTTCACCAAAGCTCTAACGAAGTCTATATTTCAGAAGTTGGTATATGTTATAGGGATGCGACGACTTTACAAGCAATCAGACTGTTGAAGATCAGGGGGAGATATCAATCCAAGAAACTCCTCAGTTTTACTACATCGGATGTATGTGCAATGTACTCTTTTTTCCTTCGATCAGGTTTTTATCTCATGTGGTTTTTCCTGACAAGGTTTTTAACGAGGCAACATTTAGCACGTCCAACATGATGTCATTGTATGGTGGACATCCAAGGGGGAGTGTTATAAATCCATATGTTATGGGTTTATAGGTTATGGATGCCCACAATAATAGCCATTATTAACCTATCATAATACCCATCATTATATACTTGGAACCTACCAATTGTGGTTGGTAAATGATTTAGGCCTATGTTCTCCTATAAATAGTGGATCCAAATATGAATGGAATAAAAGTTGATTTGAGCAAATTATACTGTCTCTTTCTTCCTCTTATTTCTCCTTACAAATTCTCTAATTTCACAACATATACATATATAATGTATATGTGTATATACGTGTGTATATGTATATTATAATACATACATGGGTATAATATATATATACACATATATGTATTATAATATATAATATAATATATATTACATATATACATGTATGCTATTATTATAATATTAATATGTATATGTGTATATGGGTATATTATAATAATAATATATGTGTATATATCTATATGCATATTATATATATATATATATATATATTATATGTATATATGTGTTTATATATATATATACATATATGTGTATATATGTACATTATAGTATATGTGTATGTAAGTATAATAATAATAATAATAATAGTAATAATAATATAATAGTAGTAATATATGTTATTAGTATTACAATATAATATATGCATCTTATACATTGGTGAATATAGAATTAGTTAATCCTCCCTTTCTACATGGGCTTAGTAGTCCCCTCCTAAGGATGTGTTTTTGGTGGGCTCGGTATTAGCAATCCCATCTAAAACTAGAATTAAATGAAACAAAGTACTAATTTTAGTCCAAGCCAAGCCAAGCCAAGTCTGTGTACCAAATGACCCCTTATAGTCTTTAATAGTGTAGATGATAAGATTAGTATTCAATAATTTTAAAATATGACATTCAAGAAAATTATAATGGTATATATTAGGGGCGGCATTTTAGACCCAAAAACGCAAAAACCAACCGATATTATACCGCATTGGAACCGTAATACCCAGAAACTGACCGAAAATTACAGTTTTAGAAACCGTACTGCAATTGCGGTTGCAGTTACGGTTGCAGTTGATGAAGTTGGCAACTCGCGGTTACCACAAACCACAATCATATTTTAAATAATAATATAATTGCATTTTAGTAAATGAAACATATGACAACTTGTAAGTAATTAGTTTATTTATGCATCTTCTTATAATAAAATGTACTAAACTTATGTTGTTTTATTTGTAGATAGCATTGGTGCTAAAACAATGCAACCGAGTCCTTCAAATCCACTTACCACCATCAACACTTGAGTTCTCCTTTTGGTTTGTAACTTTAATTAACTTTGAATTGGATTTTTCCTTTGGATTCTAACTTAAATTTATTTTGCATTGCATTTTCCTTTTCGTTTGTAACTTTAATTAACTTTGAATTGGATTTTTCCTTTGGGTTGTAACTTTAATTCATTTTGCATTGCATTTTCCTTTTGTTTGTAACTTTAAGAGATTTGGAATTGAATTTTTCTTTAGGTTGTGAATGCTTGAGAAGTTGAAGTTGAGGTTGAGGTTGAGGTTGTGAAGTTGAGATTGAGGTTGAGGTTGTGAATTTATATATGCTTGAGAAGTTGAGGTTGTGAATTTACTTCTTTAGGTTGTGAATTTATATTTTTGGGTAAAGTATGCTTGAACTCAAAAGGCTTCAAAAGAAGCATCAAAACTAGGCATAAAATGTGGAAGATTGGATTTTTATAACACAAAAAGAACTTTCAATTTAAATCGTTAATTCACAGTAATCAACCGCTTTTTGCGATTTACCGCATTGCGGTAAATTGCAAAAAGCGGTCGGTTTGCGGATTCAAAAATCATCTTACCGCATATAGTCGATCGGTTTGCGGTTTGAGCAAAAATTCGCGGTTACTGAACCGCAACCACCCTTAGTATATATTACTATACTAATCAATATAAAATGATATAATGAAGTGGGACAAACCGAGTAGTTAGTGTGGTAATAATTTAATAACCAGTTAGTGCTTGAATGGTCCTATTCAAATTATTTTTTAAAATTTTGTGCAGGGACCCCTCTAATGTAAAACCTGGCTTTACAACTGTACGAATGTTGCATTGCAGCAAAGCCCCAACCATTCGAAGAGCATGGAATCTCAATTTTATAAATTTGGTGAAGAGTGCAGTGCCAAAGAGGAAATTACTTGGGTTACTACTATGCTCGGTGGGATTTGAATTAAATAAAGAAATGGCTTGAATATTTGAATTAAAATTAATTAGAATTGTAATTGTTTATAAATTAAAAAATTACCAAGTTTAATTAAAATGGCATAAGAGAAAAATTCTGAAGCTTGTGCAAAATGTACCAAGGGGAGGACCACCAGATAAGGAATGATAGAATTTCTTTAGCAGTCTTGTTCATCCCTTATAGTATAAGATCCAAAGATTGGACCCTCTAGTTCCCTTCATATCAAAACCTCCAAAGGAACAACATTACTAGTTGGCTCATTTGAGACTTTTTTGTTATTGTACTAGGCCACTTCCTGAAAGTATCAACTATTGAGAAGGAGAATTCAAAGACATCCAAACTCTGCATCTTAAAGACTTGAAGCATAGGTTAGGACTTACAAGTAATGTGCTCACATTCGCTTCAAAATAATTGAATTGGTATTGCAACTTGCAAATCATATCAATTTAGTCTTCCAACCCTATACTTATTTGGTGGAGAGAGAGAGAGAGAGAGAGAGAGAGAGAGAGCATTGGGGGTGGCCAGGAGAGGTGGAGCTGGGGGGGAGCGTTTGTTGTGTTGGGTACAAGGAAGGGGATGGGTATATATATGTTTTTTTTTAAAGGAAATTACAAATTTACCCCTAATATTGACGGAAATTTGAACGGACATCCGAAAATTAACAGATAGTCCCAAATTGACCATTTTTATATACTTTAAGTTCTAATTATCCAAAAAAAAAAAAAAAAAAAAAAAAAAAAAAAAAGGGGGGAGAATTATGTGTATAATTCAGGGAGCAAAACCGCCATTAACCTATAGTTCAAAGGAAGGCTTCAAATTCAAACTACCAGGCTCTTCACCATGCACTATTAAAATTCAAAAAATTTTTTTTTTTTTTTTTTTTTTTTTTTTTTGAAAAATACATTAAAAGTTAGATTTCCTTGGGATTTTAATACCATACAAGTCAAAATAAACTCTAGCAAGGACATCCATAAGGAAGTAACTTACAAAAGAGAAAATTGACATACAGAAAACTAGAAATAAGCAATAATATTATCTTCAAATAACCCTCCCATTCAAGCATAAATAAAGGCAGCAAGTATAACCTTTTTCCCACTCAAAACATCCCATGGCATCAAATATGTTTTCAATTTGTATGATCCATGCTTCAGCCTTCTAGGAGCCCCATTAAATAAGGGTGGCTTATAAGTCTGAAATTTTTCCCAAGTCACTCTCATTCCTTGCATTTGCATTACCATCTTTAGCGTTGTAATTATTGTTCATAACCTGCACTTGCCAGATTGCAGGGATAACTCTTGAAGTATAACCTAAAATATAGATGGCCCGATCGTTGAAATGCATTGTGACCTAGCCCTATGAAGGATGCATGCACTTTTCTTACAATAAGGACATCCTTAACACACACACACACACACACACACACACACACACACACATATATATATATATATATAGAGAGAGAGAGAGAGAGAGAGAGAGCAAAGAACACATGCAAGGCACAATATCAGATTTTGTGGTAGCACTTCAGATACTCAGATTTTGGAGCTTTTGCCAATCACTGTCCCTTGCAAAATTTTGTGCGACTGCAGAGGAGAGTTGGGATTTGCAAGAAGGGTTAACTGGCAAGCTGTCAAAAGGAGAGAGTGAAACTTCAGAATACCCAGGCTACATACATGTTTACGTCTTCGTTTAAGATCACAATTTTTGTGACTTAGCGTCTAGAGAAGCTTCAAAGAGACTTTCATCTTGTCTAGGTATTTGGTCGCTGATTATAGGGGGGATTGTGGTGTAGGAAAAAGCCTGAAGGGTGTTGTAAGGTGGAAGTATGGTTATGTATAAGGGTTCGCTAGCTCACACCCAAGCTTTGGAAGCAGTAAAAAGTATAATGCTCTAGCCAGGAAACCTTTGGCTTTCAAGGTCGCTTTGTATTGTATTTTCTTTTATAAAATTAAAAAATAAAACTAAAAACCAAGCATCAAATCCAACGTTGACCAATGAGCGGGTGGCATAAGGGGCAGAAGAAAAATACCTTACCATTCATGTGTTGATCAAAGAATCTTGTGTTGCATTCTCATTTACTTTCTTAAACCGAGCAAGGTGCTTGTGATACTCTTCCAGTTCTTTCCCCAGTTTTTCAATGAACTGACTTGTATGTTCAAGGGACTGCTCATACTTATATTTTTCCAGGGCCTGCAGTTTTTCAAACAGAAAGGCAACTGTAACATTTATTTTTCATTCTTGTGTGAATCAAAGCCTTTTAAACCAAATTTTCAATTGGCCTTCATAAAAATAGAAAATATATTTTAAAAAATCTACCCGCTTTCAAAATCACAACCTTCCGGGGGTGATGGTTCATCATGTCAAGTACATCTTCATTTTTTCTTCGACCCAAAAAAAAAAGTGCAGCAAACACGATAGGTAACCTAGAACTATCAATTTACTTTCGTTATATTAAAGACAAGCTGACCTTCCAAAAGAGAGTAGATTTTTGTTTTCTTTTTGAGGAAAAAATATAAAGGCTAAATTGAAAGTTGACCTGCAAGAGTAGAAAGATTAAGCACCTAATCTACATTTTAAAACTTAGAAACAGCAACTTCCACTCAGTACAGCAGTCCTTCTCAGTCAACAAAAACTGCACTAAAATTTGGACCCCTAGATAGCCTGAAAAAGATGAGGAAATCTTGAGCACCCTACCAACTATAAACTGACAACAACCAGAAAAGCCTCCCAACCTTGACCAATACCTTGTAATCCCCACCAGTCTCCTGAAGGACATATTTAATTCTAATCAGATCATGCCAGAAAGAATTCTCTTCGAAAGGGAACCACTACAATAATTCATGTATTTACTGTTCTTTACTCAACTAGTGTTATATGTAGTTATAATATTAATATCTATTATATCCATTGAAACTTAATTTGAGTTTTTGCAAATCTTCTTCCATTTGTCCAATAAATTTACTGATGCAACTTAAACTTAACTTGAAGAAGCCATCTCACACCTGGGGGTGCTAGCTTATAATACGACCATAGCTAGTAGCCATCACTGCACTATGCATCCTTGTAATGCAAATAAGTGAACAACCACACCATATCTTTCAGGCATTCACAAAAATAAAAAATAAAAAATATATAACCCAAACATAGATAAATTAAAACATGTAAAAATTCCAGACTAAATACTTTCATGCATTGACTACCATATTCTAAAAAATGAAAATTTTAAGGATAGCTGAAAATTACCTTATTTTTAGATAGTGTATCCATAGGTGACATTACTTTTGGCTGAACATAGTTCTTTCCCCGGTAGAAAATTACAGTATTATTACATTTTATGTCAATCACAATGCCTTTACTCAGTCTAGCAAGCTCTTGAGCATATTCCTGAACCTGTCCTGGCTTACAAGGCTTGCAAATAACCTTTACTGTCTCATGCTTCTTCCAATGCAGATGCATATTTAGAACCACACCTCCAAAAACTCCCCGCCTTCCTACTGGGACATAATTCTTCTTTTTCTCACCAGTTCTCTTAAGATAATGTTTTTCTTCTTCAGTTAAAATTTCAGGATCATGTATATCAGCAGGGGCTTTGGCAACCTCAAATTTCATCAACTTCTCAATCAACCATGCTTCCTTTCGTTTTGCCTAAAGAATACACAAGTTGACAGAGGTCAGTAAACATACGTACTTGGGAAACTAAACATATGCAGAAAATAAGAATATTTTCTTCTAGAGCTTTTGATGATGCAGGAGCATCTAAGAGGCTTTCCAAGGCTAAGTGGGCCATCTAACTTGTTTGGGTTTTAGTTGTTTTCTTTATCTATTATTTGTCTTGTTTTATTTTTAAGTTTTATTTCAGCTGGTAGACTAGAGTTCTGCTCCTATTTTTTGTAAATAGTCATGTGAGGTTTTTAGTATGTTGTAGGGCTAGGATTAAGTAACTATTTAAATAATCAAGGTCTACGATGGTATGGCTGCTGTAGCTCTAGTACAAATACTCTTTCAAGAGGCTTTGTTAACAGCTTTTTATGCAGAAAATCAGATTCAGAGTTCCTCTTGGGTCTTAGGACTCAATTATCGATGTTCCTACTTCGATCCTATTGCTTATTATCTCTTTTTTCATGTTTTCTTATTGCTGGAAATTCCTCTAGAGTGGTTTTGGTCTGCAACACCAATCTGACAGCAGCCTACTGCTTCTGTCCTACATCATTTGAGATGGTCATGTCCCAGGAAATGCAGAAATTTATGAACAGAGAAAAATAGAAAACCTAAAAGAGATATTAGCCGTAACCATAAACTGTGGTTACCAGAATCAAGGTTACTGAGAAAACATTTTTTCATAAACTTGGGAAAATTTGTAAAAATTCAATTTCTTTTGTAAGAAACAAAACTTCCATGAAACCTGCTACAAACTCTGCCCTAAGAGGATAGACACAAAACCAGAAAGCTCAATTAAACAACGATAACAGGATCAGGAACACCAAAACGTAAAACAAGTCCTGAAATAGTGGCATCAAATTATGCATAAATAACAAAGTGGTCCAACCTTTTCAAGTTTGTATCTAATTCTAACTTCTGGATTTGGAGAATTCATCTTCTTCTTGGCCTTTAGACGGTAAAATCGCAGTTCATTCAGTTTGGCCTTCTTGGACACTTCAGCTCGTTTGGCCATCTTCTTCCCTTTGGTCGAGGAACCAGTTTTATCAAGTGGCTTACCAAATGAAAACCTCACAACATCATTGTTTGTCTTCAGCTCAATTGATGTACTACTCATGCACCTAGCAGGCAGACAGTTTCTAAGAACACTGTGACACTCAACAATATTTGATCTCCGCACCAATGAAGAATCGAATGAGGAGGATACACATGGAACTTCTAAGAAAGACGTCAATACACTGTATCTTTGCCTTTGCATACACATATTGCAAGAAAGAGACTGTCTAAAACGTGTTATGGTTGGCAAAGAGAGATCAAAAACATTTTGTGCTAGACAACTGAACCAGACAAAAGAGCCCCTGTATAAAAGATAGACGTGATTTGTCATCAGTGGTGTTTGAAATGAAAAGGAAAATTCAAAGCATATTGTAGGAGCAAGTGTAAGGCAGAAAAAAGGTGAAGAATTTCATGAGGCTGTACTTAAGACAATCAAAAGTTTAAAATTTCGAAATAGGATATCAACAATGACAAAAGCAAAGTACACATAATGCCAAGGCACTTATTACAATCACACAACTTCTAGAAAGAACGATCAATGACAGTCCAATAGATGATTCACAAACTATACCAAAAACAGGGGTGAAAGAAAAAAGAGTACCTTTTTATCGCACTCGGAGAAGAGCGAGAAGCGGCTCTTACAGAAGTTGAAGCAAACATTATTAACACCCACACGAAAAGGGAAGCCTATCCTCTTCCAGCTCTCTCTCTCTCTCTCAACCACTGGTGCCACTCCAACTACCACTCCCACAAAGGAAATCCCACCGGGACCTCAAGCACCAGAATCCCAGCTCCACCGGGACCTCAAAGGATTTCTAAGTAATGAGATTGATATGACTTTCCTGTATTACACTCACTCAGGCAATTTTTCAAACACCTTGTGGGCATTAAAATTCAATCAGCAATGGACCTATGAACCCAACCAATTTACCTAGCAATCTATGCATCAATAGACAAATTTAAGCAATCAAACCAAACTAATTATTACCTGGCCTTAGTTTCAATCAGTGTTTTCAAAAGCATGCCTAAGAGCGCTTCGGAGCGCGCGTCGGAGCGAGGCGGAGGGAAATCGCCTTAGGCGTATGGATGTTTAGCTTGTTGCACGCTTAGCGTAGCGAGGCGTGGCGAGGCGTGGAAGGCGCGAAGAAGCGCCTCTGTCTGCAAGCCAGAGCGCGAGGTAGAAGACGACCTCGCTTGAATTTTTTTGTTAAGGTTTGTTTTAACGAAACGACGTCGTTTCATCTGGTTACTTAAGTGTTTTTTGGGAACTGAGTGCCTTAAACGCACGTTTTGGGTGTTTTTTCTTATAAAGCAAACATCATGTCTTTTAACCCCCACTTAAACAAACAATACTTCCCTTTTATTTTTTCTTCTAAATAAATACATTAATGGATAATCTGCATCACTTTTAATTCTCTCCGTCAATTTTAATGGACCTATCTGTATATCCCGGTATGTAATTCTCTTTGTACTAGATTCATGCATATATACATATATATATATATTTATTTATGTTAGTTTTTTTTTCCCAAACAACACAATATCCATAAAATCCACTAAAAATAAGGGGGTTGTATTCAATTAGGATTATAAAGCGTTTAAAAAGATTTTAAAAATCCAGATGTATTCAATTTGGATTTATACAAACTTTAAAAGAGGTTTTACAAGTCTGGGTGTATTCAATTCAGACTTGTATGAACTTTTAAAAAGTTCATTCAATATGGGTGTATTCAATTTGGATTATAAAAAAAGTTGAATCAAATCTAAGTGTATTCGAAATGTCATATATTTGGAAAGATTTCATTAAGTGATAAATTTTCGTAGTTTTAAGGGGAGAGCTATAAATAACAAAGACCATAATAAATCCAACCTCCCCCCCTAGTATTTTCATTAGACGTTTTTCTCTTGCCCTAACTTTTCTCTCTACAACAGATGACGAACAACTTCCTTCCTCCATCTGTGAAGGTATGCTCCCTATTTTTTCTTTGATCAATACCTCGTTGGTGGTCAAGGTCGTGCCCCTGCAAATGAAGTTGAGTTGTTCAATCTTTGTAATTTGTCCTTGAGGAATGTCATTGAGAGGATATTTGGTATATTTAAGTCACGATTTACAATTTTCAAGTCTGCACCTCTATTCCCATATGCGACACGAACATAGATAGTGTTAGCTTGTGTAGGACTACAGAATTTTCTTCGAAAAGAGTGTAGATCTGACGAATTTCCTGTTGAATTGGAGGACGAATCTTCTTCATCTTCATCGTTACCGGTTAATGAAGGGGATCCTGAACTAGTTTTCCAAATACAAGAACAGCAACGACAGAATGCTAATGAATGGAGAGTTGGTATAGCTTTGTATATGTGAAGAGATGTTGGGCACAATGACAACAATGAGAATCAAGGATAATGTATGAATGTTAAATATTTTTCTTAAACTTTTCTTTCAAATTTGTAATACATTTGTCACTATATTTCTTATGAATTTTGCTTTTCGTTAAACATAATTTTATTTCATGTTGTTGTAGGAAAAGATGTTATGAATTTGGTTTTTTATTTCATGTTGTTTAAAATTTTATTTCATCTTTTTTATATATAGCAATGTTACTATATACGTTGACAACATTGAATCTGTTGAATTTAGCAGACAAGCAATGACATATATTTTCAATAAGCAACAAAGCTTTTACTCTCATCCATCGGCTAATCTAACCTTATTATTCAAGCTAGACCAGTTTATAATTTATGTGGTCTTTGCCTGCAAGAGCCATTATTCAAAATATTTTTTATTGCAATTTGGACAACCAATGCTTGGATTCTCTTTTCTTTGGGCAGGTTTGTTTTTATTTGGACAAACTTGGATTAGAAATAGCGTCGATGCATTGCCTGCAGCACTGGCTTTGACAGCCGATCCAATTGCTTCTCTAGTTGACACAGCATCCATTGGTCAAATAGGTACTTTGCTTCTTATTCTTTTCATTTTGAACTGTGCATATGTTCTTCCATCGCAAACAAGTACTTTTTGTTTTTGCTTTGGGTAACAAAAACAAATTTGATTGAAAAAAATTCAAGTTTCTTTCTTTAAATGACAAGGATGGGGATAAAATGAAATATAATGTCTACATAAGTTTGGAATAAAAGCCTATCAAGTTCTATGAAAGCTTAAGAAGGTTTTATTAAAAAATTATACAGAAGTCTTCTGAAAGTCTATCAAATTCTATATGAATTATAAAATTCCATCAAGTTCTATGAAAGCTTGCACTTAAACAAAATCTTTTAAAACACTCTAGAATCCTAATTGAATACATCCCTCCTAACACTCAAGTCCACACATAAATGCCAAATATCATAGCATTTGATGTTTCGTGATGAGGAGTGGGAGTCATGAATTGAGTTTTTCTTTTGATGTTGAATAAGTATTTTATGTTTTGGGATTGATTATTATGCTTGAAAGACAATTAATATTTATATTTGATAGAATATTTTGGCTTAATAAGAATTAGTAGTACAATTTATCTATATTATATTATTTATAATTTTTTTTATCAAATGAAATTAATGTTCAAAAGGCTTAAAGACGCCTCGTTTATACGCCTCATTGCTTCAAGACTTACACCTCGCATAGCGGATTAAAGACACCTCATTTCTATGACTCGCCTTTTAAAACATTGGTTTCAATGTCAACAATCAAGACAATAAAATCGGATGAGTACCACCATAAGCCCATTTGTGCATTGTCAATCTCTCTTGCGCTTATTTGGCGTGGAATTTTAAATAATTTGACGATTAAGATCAAATTTTCAAATGAGTTACAGTCGAGTAGTGAAACCCAAACCCGAAGAAAACAACCTGGGGCACGTTTTGAACACCAAACCCAAGAAAGCCAAGAAGACACATTTGAAAACAAAAACCACTTGGCATTATCCAACCCATTTGGTGCAAAATTCAAATTTTTCCTCTCCAAAAAGTAACTATTTCGGTTTTGTCCGGACTCAAACCGTATTTTCTCCCAACCCTTCATACTCAAATTTTAAGTCCGCAACTTTATTAAATTGTTTAAAAATGGTTTAAGTCTAATTTTTTTTTAAATGGATAACTTTTCTTCATTTAATCTTTTTAAATAACTTTATCATATATTTTTTTAACAATGTGACAAAAAAAAAATTGAAATTCCACAAATATAATTTTCTTCCAAAAGAAAACACACATTGAAACAATTGTCGACCTCATTCACTATCTCCAAAGCTCCCCCAAAGGTGATCGATCAAATCACGTCGGAGACTCTAATGCACATGTGGAGATCAAACTCTATTATTACGAATCATGTAATCAAAGAGAGTTTGTCTATCTTGGTGGTACTCGTATATAATGTTTGCCTCCAGCTCATATTGTCTTGCTCTGGCCTTCCTGGATCGTTGTGGACAAGTATCCTTATCATTAGATTCCTCTTCAATATATTCGTACTCATCCTCCACAATCATGTTGTGCAAAATTATACACATCATCATGATTGAGTTCAGGTTATCCTTGCACCACATACGTGCAGGGCCCCAAACAATAACCCATCGAGCTTGTAGTATTCCAAATGCTCTTTCAACATCTTTTATCTACGCTTCTTGCATTTGTGCAAAAAGCCTCTTCATAACTTTGGATTGGACGGAATGCATTATGAGGGGATTCCTAAATGGTAGCTGATCATTTTTGTTTTGCCCCAGTAAGTACTATATTGTGCGATATCTGCTATGGCTTGGGGTACGGAATCTTGTCCGAAGGTGTTAGTTTCCCATTATCGTGTTATTGTGCTTTTCATAACTTTTGCAGATGCTTGTGCTAATGCCTTAAATTTTTACTAAGTTATTAACTTACATGTCTTTTGAAGAAAAAGTATTATTTCAACTCAGTTTATTATTACTTCATCTTCTCAGTTTTAGGTATTTATTCAAGATGTTACAACATTTTATCTCAACAACTTTTACACGGCTATTTAGAGTGTTTGCTCTCTTCGTGTCATCATGTCAATCTCATTCAAGAAGGCTGACGTTGCTTCCATTCAATGATAAATGAACATGTTATTCAACCAGATCTAGATCATTATTCATGTGTTGTTGATCTTCTTAAACATTCTTCCCTTTGCCCACATTGGTCTCATACTTCTTCTTGAGCTTACGAATCTTATCTTGCAATTGGGTCTTGTTCTCATCGACTTTCAGCAAATTCTTGATAAAATCATGAAAGTCAATCATATCACCATATGGGTTCAGCCCTTTCTTGGAGTACTCAGATTCAAACTCGTACTCAGGAGTGGGTGCTACCTTTGGAGGCTTGAGTTTCTTAGACTCAAACTCTGGAGTGGGTGCTACTTTTGGAGGTTCAGCTTCCTCGAACTCAGACTCAAGATTGGGTGCTGCCATTGGAGGCTCTAGTTCCAAGGACTCGAACTCAGGAGTGCTGCAACTTTATTAAAGGCTTATTTACTGTAGTACCCCCTGAAACTACGGTCAAATCCCATATTGCCCCCCGGAAGACCAAGGTTTGGTGTTCCACTTTGCCCCATACCGTCATCTCTATCTATAATTCCGTTAACATTGATGACGTGGCAGGGTTAGATTAGCAATGTTATATACATGGGTTCTTTATCCACCTCCAGGTTGGATAAACAAATAATAAAAAAATAATTTATATTTATTAAATACTTTTTAAAAAATAAAAATCAATTATACACCAAATTTTTTTTTTAAAAAAAAACATAGAAATTGAAAGAAAGAAAAAAAAATATCTAGCCCAATCGCCTTCCCCACCCTCCCAGCCCCTCATCCCCGCCCCCTCTCTCTCTCTCACACACACACCCTCTACACAACCTTCTTGATCAAAACCCCATCCCTACCACATGTTCGACCTTCCTTCACCCATCCACCCCCCACAACCACAAACCATCTAACGGATAGTGGTGCAAGGAGCGAAGTGATGAAACACAAAAAATCAATCCATAGCCTATGCTGAGGACTCGCCGCAGGAGCAGCCGAACCCGGCTCTGAACCCGCACATGAATTCGCAGACTCGGCAGTCACCTCAACCACCTCAAATTCCAATTTGCAAGTTCATTTCTCGCGAGACTAGTCCAATTCGTTCAATTGAGCCTAGTGTTGTTGAATATCAAAGAAGTACTCATTCATACCTTGAGTCTTCTACTTTTGATTGGCTTCAAGGATCAATTTTTCATGCTGGGTTTGAACAAACTCTTCTTGCTCTTGCTTATGTTCCTAGCCCAGCAAAATTAGCAACATGAGTATGTCACTCATTGGGCCATTTAATGAACCCACAGCTGAGGAGATGTGGCGATTTGGTGTAGGTATTTTTGGGGAGGCAATGAGCTGAGTAATGAAATTGAAAGGGTAGTGGTGGTGTTTGCAAGGCGAGGCTGAAGTGCTGGGAGGATAAGGGAGATTGGATCTGGGCTAGTTTTTTTCTTCTTTCAATTTTATGTTAATTTTTTTAAAAGTATTTAATAAATATAAATTATTTTTTATTATTTGTTTGTCCAACTTGGAGGTGGATAAAGAACCCATGTATATAAAATTACTAATTTAACCCTGCCACATCATTAATGTTAACGAAATTATGGATGGAGATGACGGTAGGGGGCAAAGTGGAACACCAAACCTTAGTACCATATGGGCCACTTTAACTTCCGACGGGCAATCTGGGAATTGATCGTAGTTTCAGAGGGCACTATAGTAAATAATCATTTATTAAATTGTTTAAGAATGGTTTAAGTCTAATTTTTTTGGGATAACTTTTCTTCATTTAATCTTTGAAAATAACTTCATAATTTTTTTTTTAATAATGTGACAAAAAAAAAATTGAAATTCCACAAATATAATTTTCTTCCAAAAGAAAACACACATTGAAACAATTGTCGACCTCATTCACTATTTCCAAAGCTCCCCTAAAGGTGATCAATCAAATCATGTCAGAGACTCTGATGCACAATTGGAGATCGAACTCTATTATTATGAATCATGTAATAAGAGAGAGTTTGTCTATCTGGGTGGTACTCGTATATAATGCTTGCCTCCAGCTCATATTGTCTTGCTCTGGCCCTTTTGGATTGTTGTGGAGACGTATCCTCATCATTAGATTCCTCTTCAACATATTCGTACTCATCCTCCACAATCATGTTATGCAAAATTATACACCTCATTATGATTGAGTTGAGATTATCCTTGCACCACATACGTGCAGGGCCCCAAACAATAGCCCATAGAGCTTATACTATTCCAAATGCTCTTTCAACATATTTTATCTACACATTCTTGTATTTGTGCAAAAAGTCTCTTCATAACTTTGGATTGGATGGAATGCATTATGAGGGGATTCCTAAATTATAGTTGATCATATTTTTTTTGGCCCCAGGAAGTACTATATCGTGCGATATCTACTATGGCTTTGGGTACAGAATCTTGCCCGAAAGTGTTAGTTTCCAATTATCTTGTTATTGTGCTTGTCATAACCTTTGCAGATACTTGTGCTAAGACCTTAAATTTTTACTAAGTTGTTAACTTACATGTCTTTTGAAGAAAAAGTATTATTTCAACTCAGTTTATTATTACTTTATCTTCTATGTTTTAGATATTTATTCAAGATGTTACAATTAGGCCTGGGCACGGTTCGGGTCGAGTCAAATTTTGGCTGACCCGCAGGCCGAACTGATGGAGAGCTCGGTTCTCGAATCGGGTCGGGTCTAGAGCAAAAACCCGAAAATGGGCCGAACCGCAAATGGGCCTCGATTCTCGGGTCGGTTCTCTATTTTATTGGTTTGGGATTGAGCCCAATTTTACCATTTTCAAAAGCCTAAATCAGATTCACTTCCAGCCCAAATCCTTTTTTTGTTGTCAAATTGTCAAAATCTAATAAGCTCTTATGAACAAGCCCAAATCACTTTGAACTTTTCCTTTTTTACAAATTTTTCCATCTATAACCTGTTTTTTTTAAGTTTCTAAACTGTGTCTTAATCAAAAGCATCATCCAACTATCAAAATAGTTGGTTCTTACATCCCATGACAAAAAATACAAGCAAAGCACCAAATTATATTTTACATCCCATGACAAAAAATATAAGTAAAGTCGCAAATTATATTTTACAACCCATGACAAAAAATACAAATAAAGGAGCTGCAGGTTTGAACAAATGATACTAATGGCATATTAATCACTTACCAAAAAGATTCACGTGTATAAGGGAGCTGCAAAAAAATACACTTGTATCAGTTAAAAATCACTCACCAGATCATAATCCAACTCGATAGTTAATTTCACCAAAAAAAGAAAGTGTTCGCAGTTCTGTCTCAAATCATTTAAACAAATCAAAACACGTTATAGCACAAATCAGTTATCATTCAAAACATCTTATGACTGTTAGGACATAACAACAAATAAGCAGAGAGTTTACTTTGTTACTTTACTGTAGCAACAAAAATCACAGGAATTAAAAACTAAGCCAAACCCATTTCAATTCAAAAGCACCAAATTATATTTTACAACCCATGAAAAAAATACAAGTAAAACACCTAATTACAACCCACCGAAACAGCAGCAAGTCTATCTATAACCACACAAAAATGTCAGAACCAATATCTCATTAACATCAAACATATTTCAGAACCAATATATCATGAACATCAAGCAAGCAAATTTTCAAAACTCACCACCGCTAGCCTCCATTGCAATAAAGAGGGTACTGTGGTTATAGTTGGTGAGTGCAAGGAGCAAGCCTCCATTGCAATGGAATTCAAGTGCTCAGTTCAGTGGTCACCAAAAGTCTAGAGCTTTAAACAATTGGAGACAAATAAACGGTTTTATTATCTTTTGATTTTTTTTTTCTGTTTCTTTGTTAAATAAATTTTTTTCACAACAAAAGGTGCGGTAAAAAAAAAAAAAAAAAAATTGAACCAAAAAAAAAAAAAAAAAAAAAAAAAAAAAAAAAAAAAAAAAAAAAAAGTGTTAGATAGAAAGTTAATAAGTAAAAACCTGAGAATGTGTTCACAAGCAGTACCAAAACCCAGACGACCAGCAAAATTGCAAAAGCTAAAGAGAGACAACAGTATGAACTATAAAGCAAGCAAAACACATCACTCAAACTCATCACCAGAACCCATAACTCATCTACCCTTGTTACAACAGTTGATTATATTCCCCACAAATCCTGTATATAACACAAATAGCCAAACCCCAAATTGCGTCATCTCTTTCTTTCTAATCTTATGTCCTACGTGAATGCCATTTAATAGACAGTACAGAGCAGTATCTAGAGCTTCACCTAATTCCCAAAAGCAAACAACCGAAGAAACTAGGAAAATTCAATAAAAGATGAACTTTTACAACAGCCTTAGCAAATCAAGGAAAAAAACATAAGAAAGAAGATAATATTAGAAACATACAGCTAGAGAGAGAGAGAGAAAAGAGATGATACCTGCCAGATGAGAGATAGAGATCGATGAAGGAGCAACGCCGATGCTGTCGCTGAAAGATCTGAGATCGGGAGAGACAAGATCTGAGGTTGGGAGAGAGAGGCGCCGCTTAGGTCAAAAATAGAAGAAAGAAAAATTATACCTGTCATACAAGAGAGAGAGAGAGAGAGAGAGAGAGGGATCGATGAAGGAGCGACGCCGGTTCTGTCGCCGAAAGATACAAGGTCTGGAGAGACGAACTCGGGAGAGAGAGGCGCCGCTTAGGGTTTTGATTGTGAAGAAGAAAGAAAAAGACACAAAAAGAGAAGAGAAGACTGACTGAGTGAGAAAGAGAATCGCGTGTGAGGTGAGGGAGGGTTAGGGAAAAAAAAAGCTGAGGATACGCTGCAAGCAGGTTCACTGAACCTGTTATTTTGGCCAATCAAACGACGCCACGTGTAATAAATATATATAATTAAATATTTACCAATTCGGTTCAGGTTCATTGGTTTTGAAAAATTTTGACCCTAGAACCAAACCGTTGACTTTCGGTTCGATTCAGGTTCATGGTTGACTTTTTCAGTTTGGTCAAAAAACTCTCTTTTTCAGTTCGGTCGGTTTGATCGGTTTATCGGTTTTTATGCCCACCCCTAGTTACAATATTTTATCTCAACAACTTTTAGATGGCTATTTAGAGTGTTTGCTCTCTTCATGTCGTCATGTTAATCTCATTCAAGAAGGATGATGATGAGTAGATTTTATATTATTTAATCCTATTCCTAGTATATTTTGGTTAATATTTTTGAACCACATACGTGTAGGGCCCTGAACAATTGCCCAAAGAGCTTGTAGTATTCCAAATGCTCTTTCAACATCTTTTATTTGCGCTTATTGCATTTGTGCAAAAAGCTTCTTCATAACTTTGGATTGGATGAAATGCATTATGAGGGGATTCCTAAATTATAGCTAATTTTTTTTCTTCTTTTTTTGCCCTAGGAAGTACTATGTCATGCGATATCTACTATGGCTTGGGGTACAGAATCTTGCTCGAAGGTGTTAGTTTTCAATTATCTTGTTATTGCTCTTTTCATAACTTTTGCTGATACTTGTGCTAAGGCCTTAAATTTTTACTAAGTTGTTAACTTACGCATCTTTTGAAGAAAATTTTTTATTTCAACTCAGTTTATTATTATTTCATCTTCTCAGTTTTAGGTATTTATTCAAGATGTTACAATATTTTATCTCAACAACTTTTAGATGGCTATTTAGAGTGTTTGCTCTCTTCGTGTCGTCATGTCGATCTCATTCAAGAAAGCTGATGATGAGTAGATTTTATATTATTTAATTCTATTTTTAGTATATTTTGGTTAATATTTTGGAAGAATGTTGATACTTTAAATTGTATTTTCAATATAGGACTTTCAACTTCTTCTTAAGAAAAACGTGGTCAAATAGATGCATTATCTAAATTATTTGTACTATGTCATGCAATATATGCTATGACTTAGGGTACAGAATCTTGCTCGAAGGTGTTAGTTTCCAATTATCTTGTTATTGCGCTTTCATAACTTTTGCGGATACTCGTGCTAAGGCCTTAAATTTTTACTAAGTTGTTAACTTACACATCTTTTGAAGAAAAAAATTTATTTCAACTCAGTTTGTTATTATTTCATCTTCTCAGTTTTAGGTATTTATTCAAGATGTTACAATATTTTATCTCAACAACTTTTAGATGGCTATTTAGAGTGTTTGCTATCTTCGTGTCGTCATGTCGATCTCATTCAAGAAGGCTGATGATGAGTAGATTTTATATTATTTAATCATATTCTTAGTATATTTTGGTTAATATTTTGGAAGAATGTTGATACTTTAAATTGTATTTTCAATATAGGACTTTCAACTTCTTCTTAAGAAAAACGTGGTCAAATAGATGAATTTTGGAGTATTTTCAGTTGGAGGACGTTCGTGAGTCAGTTGGCATGATAGTATCAAAATATCAGATTCTTCCACCAAGCGGTGTTTTCCTAGCGAATAAATAAAGGAGCGATGTGCAGTGGGCTTGAATTGCGTTTTTGGAGCCCAAGGTGACATCGGATGGGTTCGTGGCCTTCTGGAGATGTATTCAGAACATTCTTGTCTTTAAAACAAGCTACCTTGGGGCATATTTGGAGGAGATTTGAGGCTAAAACGTGGCTGGACAGTTTCTGTGCAATTTATCCTAACTCAATTAGGATTTTATGTTTTAATATATTTTATTATTAGTCACCTTCCTAGTAGAATTAAGAGACTTGGTTCTCAGGGATTGGGTGGCTAGCTTTTAGGGCGATATTTAAGGTTTTAGTCGGCCCTAGTTTTGGGACACTTTCTTGGATGCAATTTTGGGAGACAGAGAGTAATTGTTAGGGTTCTTGAAGATTTTCTACCTTAAGGTGTTTTCATTTTTATTCAATCTAATGATACTTTCTTTGATTTTGATTATGAGTATGCGTAACTAATTCGAATTGCTAGGGTGAGGCCATAAGCCTTAGCATGAATATGTAATTTTATTAATTTGCTTATGAATGAATGCATGTTGCTTTGAATTATTAATCACCGCGATTAAAACTATCTATTTATTTTCATGACTGATCACCATTAGGACATTTAGACAAGTAATTTAATGCAAATTCTGTTGGAACATCACCCTGAAATTGAGGAGGGCTTCTTGTGGTTCGTAGTTGTACGTTCACTTAAGGCGAACATCACACTCTCAAGGGTTGCATGATTTTTCAAAGGGTTTTCACAAAGCTTAATGAGTCTTGCATGTTTATATTTGATCTGAACATCACAGACAGATTGCATGTTAGATATATGTTTTCACTTGAACATCACAAGGAAAATATGCATTAGGAAAACCTAACCTTCAAAGCATATATGTGGAAATTCATAAGTAACTGATAGAATTGCATAGGATTGTGATGGTGATGGCTAAACCCTAGTTTTCTCTAAATTGTTCATTTTAAAAAACGTTTTTTTCTTCTTTGCTGTTATTATTTCCCAACTTTGAGATTTCTTTTACTGTTAATTTAATATTTTCAAATTCATAAATTTCAAATCTTTGATAAAATCTATTTTAATTATTAATTAAGAGTTAGTTTAATTACAAATTAGTCAAACAATCTTTGGGGACAACGACCTTACATAAGCATTTATACTACAATTACCTTGTATTCTTGCAAGTATTTTCAGTGATTTTAACCTATTGCGCAGGTACAAAAAATCCTATCAACTGACATTACTTCATCGAAAAGGCTCAACGTTTCATCGAAAATATGCTAATGCCATTATCTGGGCCTCATTCCTTTCATCTTGTATGGTTCATGGGAGTGTGTGGATTGGCATTAAGGCTATAGATAGCTTGGCAAACCTATGCAATTGGAGCCACAGTGTGATTCTACCCATGTGCAATTGGCAAACCTATATGCTAGCGTGGATGTTGGGACCGCATTGCAAGAGTTTGGAAGTTGATGAAATAATATTATTTCTTATTTTTATTTATTGAGAAATATATATAAACAGTGAAATAATATTAGCTTTGTTGTAAAAGTGAATAGAGAAAGCATATGAAAGGTAAGAGTGGTTCTCAATAGCTTAATACTCAAGTGTTTTAGTGCCTACAATTTAAAGGATTATGAAATACATCACCATTTACCACCCTTAAGTAGTGGGTTACAAAACATTATAACCAATGATAAATATAGTATTTAGTGCATAGGTTACAATCCTATAATGATATGTATAATTATGGGTATAATCGAGGAATTACAATGGACTTGAGGTGGGTATCCATAACCTTTGAGGTTATGACAAGCTTTTCACTTTTACGGGTCTATATTTTCTGAAAAACTCTTATGTCCAACGAAGAAGAAATTCATGTGGTCCTTTCAAATCTTATAAATCCTATTACATAAATCTTTAAAATTCAAAAGTAAAAAAATCTTGATTATAGAAATCCATAAATAAAATCCTATAAGTCATTATATTCTACTTTTTTTATGCCCAAATCTTTCATAGCAATTGCTTGTGTAACCGAGTCTTGAGCTTTGAACTTTCATCTTTATTGATCTCCATTAATAACAAGGTAATTGACAAAAACAAAAACAATGGTACTACTAGTAAGCTGTCAAAAGGAGAGAAAGTGAAACTTAAACAATTGGAACACACTAAGCAAGCTGTACTTAAACATTCTTCCAATAATTGCTAGACTATCAATCCAAGGTTCTAATCAGCTTAACCTTTTCTAACCAACTTAGCATGTTCTCTCGTTAACTCACCCCTTCTACCAACAAGCTTAACCTGTTCTCTCATCAACTCACCCCATCTAACAAGAAGCTCAAATTCAGCAACACGCAGCTTCTTCTGCTGCTCCTTCAACTCAGCTAGCTTGGGGTCTCTAATCAACTCCAAGCCACCCTCCACCAACCCCAACTCTCTCCAACCCGCACTGACCTCAATTGACCCTTCATTGCTGCCCCATACCTTCTTATACAAGTCAAAGACCTTTAGCTGATGAGGCTTAACAGTATTATACTTCTTCCCTTTGGCCACGTTGGTCTCATACTTCTTTTTGAGCCTACGAATCTTATCTTGCAATTAGGTCTTGTTCACATCAGCTTTCAGCAAATTCTTGATAAAATCATGAAAGTCAACCATATCACCATATGGGTTTAGCCCCTTCTTGGATTCAAACTCGAACTCAGGAGTGGGTGCTATCGTTGGAGGCTCGGGTTCCTCGAACTCGGGAGTGGGTGCTACCTTTAGAGGCTTGGGTTCCTCAAACTCAGACTCTGGAGTGGGTGCTACTTTTGGAGGCTCGGATTCCTCGAGCTCGAACTCAGGAGTGGATGCCCCCTTTGATGGCTCAGGTTCCTCGGACTCGGACGCAGGAGCAGGTGCTACCTTTAAAGGCTCAAGTTCCTCGGACTTGGACTCAGGTGTGGGTGCTACCATTGGAGTCTCTAGTTCCTAGGACTCGGATTCAGATTCTTCCTCTTCCTCTTTGTCTCATTCTTCAAATGAAACTTGCACTTCTTCACAAGAAGAATCGGGCGAGGATTCCTCTTCAAAATTCCATGAACAAACGCATTTGGCTGTCATTGGAAAGAAGATACAGTGAGGGTTTCTAACTAGGAGTTTGTGTGTGCGAAGGAATGGGTAAAAAGGGCTTTAGGGTTTAGGAAAGTTGGAAAGTTTTTTGGTGAAAACTGCAGTGCCAAAGAGGAAATGACTTGGGTTACTACTATGCATGGGATTTGAATTAAATAAAGAAATGGATTAAATATTTGAATTAAAATTGTAATTGTTTATAAATTAAAAATTACTAAGTTTAATTAAAATGGCAAAAGAGTAATTCTGAAGCTTGTGCAACATGTACCACGTGAATACCACCAATACGAAATGATAGAATTTCTTAAGCGGTCTCATTCATCCCCTATACTATAAGATCCAAAAATTGGACCCTCTAGTTCCCTTCATGTCAAAACCTCCAAAGGAACAACATTACTAGTTGGCTCATTTGAGACTTTTTTATTATTCTATTACACAACTTCCTGAAAGTATCAACTATTGAGAAGGAGAATTCAAAGACCTCCAAACTTTTCATCTTGAAGACTTGAAGCATAGATTAGGACTTAGAAGCAATGTGCTCACATACGCTTTTGTTGATGGTTCATATCATGACTGTAAGCCGAACTTATCAGAGAGCAGCACGTACACCATAAGAGACCAAGTCATCTTTGTACCGACCCAACCAGATTGACCACCCCAGGTGTCGATGAAGGGCTTCCTAGCTGAATTTGGTGGGAGAGACTGTGCACCCGTGGTGGGGCACTCAGACACCGACTCGGCCATGGAGATGACGTGTGACTAGAGATGCATTGATATTCTAACACGACCTGACCCCTATCGAGTCAGTCACTCAATGCGTCTAATGCTAGTCTGGTGATGGAAAGGGATCATTTAATGTTCTCCACATCCAAAGCCAGGTGTTGCTTTGCTACTTGATCCTTCCTAACCAACATGGTGATGAGCGCCCACAGTGGCTCTCTGGTCCAACCATTACTTAAGTATCGAAGAGCCTTCGGCCGGTACCACACTGGTGCCCTAGGTCTTACTGAGTGTTTCTTATCTTGCAGATCAGGCGCTCTTGCCAAGGCTCAAAGCATTCCGAAGGCCCAGACATCACTAAGTTTGGCTCAAAAGTGCTAAACCACTTTTTCGCATCAACACAAATGAAAACTACAAATTGGAAACACGTTCTGCATTCCATATGATTTAAAGGAACAACATGTCAATAATTATCAGTAATTGATCATTCTGCATTCACAAGGGTAATAAATTGTTAGAAAGTAGGAAAGGAAAAACCCTCCTGTATTTGGGAGAAAATTATCATCATGGGAATGCATAAATAAATAAATAAATAAATAAATATATATATATATATATATATATATAACCATATGCATTGGCCTTGTCAGTATTTTGTCAAATGCTGTGAATATAAATTAACCATTATGATTGAAATGAACAGACCGTCAATAATGATCAGTATGCATTCCTAGTTGGATCACTAATCTGTCAATAAATGGTCACTAACTGGAATTGGAAGAAGGAAAGGAAAATCCTTATGTATTTGGGAAAAGATTTCTTGACCTGCAAGTAATTTGGAGCGACAATAGGATTGACAAGTCTTGGCCATCGAGCCACGGACCTAGTAAAGGTCTAGTGTGTCAATTTGAAAGTGAGCTATACCAAAACATATGGGTAAGCATCACATACATTATTCATTTATCTAGTAAAGGATACCCCAACCAAGTTTGAAAGTAATTAGGTTAAAATACTCTAATTTTTCATAACGTACGCTAAAAATATTTAAACCAATGCACAACAGAAACAATACTTTCATTTTTTAAGTCAAAAGTACAGGAATTATTCTATATATGTTGTTTGTCAGACTTTGTCTTCCTTTTATTTTATTTTATTTGTTAATTATTTCTTCTTTTCTTTATGAATAATGAATTACAAAACTAGAAACTGTGTAGGTCCACTACAATTTTCACTCCTCAAACAGTGCATTTGATTACTTGTGTCTTGATGTAGAGGAGTTTAGTTGAATTTGCATAACTCATCTTGAAACAGTCAGTTGGTGGTTGAACATAAGAGCTTACTGCACTTGAGATCAAGAAGACATTCTGCTTGAAATCTTGGAACTCTCAAATGTTATATAAGATATTACATCTTCCTGGGCTACTTGCTATGTAATTTCAAATTAGAGCATTCTATCTTTGTCCTGCAACTTATTACTTTCGGCTTGAACAATTTGTTCCCTGGCCATTGGCCAACTCTCAGAAGGAGAGAGCAGCATGCTGTCATGCTTTCTATCCTTTGGGAATGAAGCTGAAATTGCAGTGTTTTTATCCCTTCACAAACTGTAAGCCTTCTTAGCTCCAGCTAAAACCATTCAAGTCAAACTGTTTGCAACTTGAAGGAGCATCGTTATCATCATGAGTATTTAGGTCTAGTTTTGCTGCAAAGTAAGGCACTGATCTATATCCTCGAGAAACTTTCTCAGTCTCTGCTTTAGCTGAATCCGCCCGGTTGTTTGTACGGTCTAGAAAGCTGCCATCCGTGCTTCTTCCTTTCAATCTTTCTTCAGAGTTTCCGTTGCTATCAATGTTCCATCTTTCTCCTTGACATCCAATGCTCATGGATAAGTCACTTGACCTTCTTTCCACAGGAAATATTCTTTTTGCTGCATCATTACTTATGGAGGAAAGAAGCATGTTATTCTCTTTTAGTTCTTCACACCACTTAAGCTCAGTCTTCTGTAGCATGGGTTCTTTTTCATCCAGGAGCTCCCTGCCATTATAATTAGCTCTTAGCCCCATTGCACTGTTGTGTATCTCTTGGTCCTTTTTAGATCCTTCGCAGGACGTCAGGCAGCTGTCCATTGAACAATCGGTGGGCTGGGTTGTTTGTGTTTGCTGGGGGCACAATCCTTGTAATTCTTTCAGCTCCGTAAAGGCAGAGTTCAAGCATTGGGTGGATACTTTGGACACCAGTTCAGAGAGTTGAACTTTGGCAGCTTCGAGTCCCACTGTACCTAAGTTCTGTCTTCCTAGTGTCTCCTGGGCTTTCTCCAGCACTGATTGTAAGTATTTTCCTTGAGCCTCTATACGAAGTTGTAAGTGTCGCTGAACCTGGTTCGGTTCACAACAAATCATCAAACTTGTGTTTTGCAAATATCCTATCGTTTGTCAAAAGTTTAGAAAAAGAAAAAAGAAGATGAAAATCCATTTCATTATGGTCTTTTGTCTATCAACAGTTTAAGAGGGTGCCATACCTCAAGCTGTTCGTGTAGCCTTCTCTGCACTTCAATTTGCATCTGTAGTGTTTCACTTATATGTAACCCTCTGCAATTCAGAATACCATTGTTATTGTAAGTCTCATTGGGGTCCAATGCTCAAATGATAAACAAAAAGAGACAAACATAATAAATGACTAGCTATTTGTATTCTTACTTATTTGCTTGGGGTCCAGTGCTCATATTGCTCATGTGGGTTCCATTTGCTTCAGATAATCTCTCTGCTGCCACTGGAACTGTACCTATACAATAGCATGGTGTAAACATTGAATAAATTCTAAATTTCCTGTAAAACAATGGAAGTTTCTTAAAAGGACTGGAACAGATTAGTCTTCCTACCAATTTTGCTGGTCCCACTTGTAGCATGTCCATGCAGATTCTTGCTAAGCCTGTACTTCTGTTAGACCAAAAAGAAAATGGGGGTGAGAAGTTAGCATATATGTAGTCAAACAACAAGAGAAACCAGCCCTTAACCCCCAGACCCCAAAAGTGTGAGGTGAAAGGGTGGAGTTGCTTGTATCTCACACTTCAGAGGATAAGACATGATTGGATTAGGAAGTTTCACTTTTTGCTTGCAGATCAAGAAAATGCAGAATTGAAAGAATTACTTCATTGTTGCATCTTTTTAAAGAAAGTGAATAAAAGAAATTGAAAGCCATATATGGCTTATGGGGACCAATTGACAAACATGTTATTGACAAACTTGTTGGAAGTACCTGAAGATGACTCTTGAGGTGGTATAATGTAAGGCCTGGAATCCCCATAAGTTTCATTACTGTTTTAGGAGTAGCCTCTGCATTGGAAATATCATAACATTGGAATAATGATGAGCTGGGAGTTTAGATTGCATGCCTTGTAAATTGATTTCATGCAAATAGTATTATATACACTCACTGTCTGCTCCACCTAGCTGGTTAACTGCTTCGATAAATCGCTCGTGGAGATCAGGCGTCCATTTGAGTCTGGGCTTGGCATCAGTTGAGAGGACAAGTCCTGAATCTCCCGGACCATTTTGATCACCCTGTAGAAACAAATGCCTTTCCGGAGGAATAGACATCCTTGAAGAAGCAGAAGAAGAAGAGTGAATGTTCTTTCCTTGGTGATGGTGTTGGTGTTGGTGTTGGTTTTGATGGTGGTGTTGATGATGGTACATCATTTTATAGATTGTGTCTATAAAAACCCAAATAAGTAAATTAAATTGATCAGTTAATCTTGAGGTGAGTGAAAGCTGAATTTTTTTTTATTATAAAAAAAAACCTACAAATATCTGTTGTGTTGTTACCTGAAATTTGCTGAAAACTTGCTTAATTGTGCCTATATTTCTTTGATGATGATGATGATGGTGATGATTAGAAGTTTCCACAACTGCTCTTGCTAGCTCTCTCTCCTCACTTTTGCTCTCTGTGTATGTCTCACAAACCAAAGGGTGTGTTGAAGATGGCTTTATAAAGCAAATTGGTGGTGGGGTATGAGGGAAGCTTGTGAGGGATAGAATCTTAATTGAAAACTGATCAGCCAATCCAATATTCACAGCGACTTGAAAAGAGATATTGTCCTTGCTATGTAGTTACTTTCTTTTTTCGCCTATTGTGATTGTGGGTCCTCCTGCCCTTCTAATTCCACAGACCCATTTGAATTCCTATGTAGCACTACAAGTAAAATGCCTGCACCAATTTTTGTTTTTCTATATAATATATATATTTTGTTTTTCTATATGTTGGCATTCGTATTCATTCGTCCTCCTGTCAATGCCAAAGCTGGGAATCTAATTCTCTCATTTTAGATGAGGGGAATCCACTATCACTATGGCCTTGAGAGGCCGCCCTTCACCCTCAAGTCCTCAATGGAAGATTCTTATAATTTGCATATCTTTACCAGTACTTGTCCTTCCTTCACCTTGGTCTTGACTCTTGGGACGTCGAGTATGCATGCGAACGCGCGTGTACGTATTTTTGAGTAAACGAATAAAATGGAGATGCATTACGAGAACTTGCCACATGGAGCTGTTTCTCCAGTTGTCAATGTGCACATTGCATTGATACTATTTTTTTTGTAAATCAATGAGGCCGGCCTTACTTGCAGGATGAATGTTTATCTATACCAGTAAAGTGGGCAGATGGAGACCCAAAAGAAGGCTTTTAATTTAACTGGTTATTTCTGGAGAATTCTGGAAGAAGATTCTGTTGACTGGAGCACCTAAGCTAGCTTCAAACTTTGGAATAAGATAAAAACAAGAAAAACTTAAAATAAAAATATTTATAAAAAAAAAGATGGGATGAGATGAGATGAGATGCTCTCTCCTTGGAGTTGGAGATTATATGAAGGCAAAGAATGGAATATGGAATACATTCTATTTTGTCTCCTTCAGCAAGTTTGGTACTTATTCAGCCCACAAGGTATATTAGTATAAAATATATAACAAGGTGGGACCCGAATTTCCCTTTTTCTTTCTTCAACTGGCAACGGCCGGCCCCGCACCGACGAATCCTAAGCAGCCGGGACCCAACACAAAAGGCAAAATAAAAAAAGATAAGATTTTTGGGTTGTACTTTGCTTTCTATACTTGCACTGCATTTGATGGACATCTCACATGACAAGGTCGTCGTGCCCTAAAACTAAATAATATGATTCAAAATAGTCAATTACACTGCTTACCCTCCACTGTTCTGGTTGGGAGAACACCTCATATTTGATAAATGAAAGGTTTCTTGTATTAGTGCTTAAAAAATTACAGTCTTTTAAGACTATCTACGTGTCAAGCTCAACAATCATGCGTGCTTTTCACGTCACTCAACATATAATTGTACTTATTTTAGTCTCATATAACTTGTAAATTTACATCTTTGAATTTACCCGGAATTTCTTCTATGATCATAGTAATAAAGGCCCTAATACATTACAGATAATTACAAATTACAATTATAGGTTTTTACAAATAAGTCCATTTTAGCATGACATAATAATATATATATATATATATAAACCTTATAGAACCTATTTGGAGAGAAAAATTCAAAACTAGCCACTCGTTAGTTTCTAATTGGTTCTTAGAAAATTTTAACACATTAAAACCAATTAGAAAGTAACAAGTAGCTAATTTTGAGTTTCTCTCCGAATAAGCTTTATAAAGAATTTTGCATATTATATCATGTTAGAATGAGCTATTTGTGAAAAAGTCCTTAAAATGAAGGTGAAGATAATTTTGTAAGTGTATAAAATGTAGTATAAACTGATTTCTTATTCAGGAGGCTCTGCAGTTGACAGGCCGTGCATGTGAATTATGCTTATGCTGTTTTGTTTCATTGTGCTCAAGGAATTAGGTCTGGTGCTGATAATCAGGAATTAAACGCTACCTGTATAAAATACAATAAAGAATATTAATATGGGCTATATGATCAACAGCTATTCAAGAATAAATTCGTATAATTAAGTTATGGCGACCAAATCTGCCAAACCACCATTAAACCTGCACCTGCACGATATAGATCACAATTAATTAATTAAATAATTATCTTGACCAAGCTATAAGTACCATAATGATATATTTTATTAGCAAACATGGGCTTAGTCAAGTTGGCTGGAGCTGTGCTCTCCACTTTGCACATGAATTTGAATTCTCCTCCCTCTAATTTAGATTAGTTTAAAGTATATTATCGCTTGTATAAAAAAAATTTATTAAGAATATATTTGATTAATTAGATTCCAATTTAATGAGTGTTCTAGTTACACTTTAGAAAATTTATGACATATTCTTCCTTTATACCGGCGGCGGTCCTACATTTTGAAGGCCCTAGTCAAACAACCTAAATGGGCAGCCTTGCCTGTGCCTAGGGCCTCCCTTGCTCCATACATGTATTTACCATTTAGTTTAGTCATTTTCCTTATAATGTGTTACATTGATATTTTGATGACTTTAAGATCCATGGAGGGACGTTTTCTTGTAATTTTATTGTAATTAAAGGAAGAAGAAATGGTACATCTATATATATATATATATATATATATATATAAAGCAAAAGGTAGAGAATTGTGAAACATTCAAAATACCAGAAAATGTCATTGGTTAATTCAAACATTAAGAATTGAAATTATTAATTAAATGAGGATAATATGGTAAATTCACATTTTTCATATTTAAAAAATTAAAATTAAAAACAAAATTAGATAATAAATCCTACTTTTATCGAACATAACTACCCATGTTATCTTTTCTTAATTCTAAAAATATAAAATAAAACCAATTGGTACATTCGTGAGCATGTGCCAAGGGGCTCGTATATAGAATATGTAAGAGGTCATTAATTTATAGAAAAGCTTTGTTAATTTCCTACAACTAATTAAACAACATAATTGATCATCAAACGTTGCCACTACTTTAAGCTAAAACAATATTACATGATCTTCAAGTCAGTTCCAGTCGACCTTTTCATGAAAATCAACTGATTCTGATATGTGGGAATATTATTGTATTGAAATTGGGAAAGCCTTGAGGCAACATGCTAAAGTAGAATCCCAGAATAGCTTGCCACCACGTGCATTGGAATAATATGCATAGATATATGCCTTCCCATTAATTACAACTAATTAATTTCGATATGCTAATTGCCGGCCCCCAGCTTAATTCTGTTGTCAACCTTCATTTCAATCGACTATTCAAATATTATATTTTTAAAAGCAAATGGGTGATGTATAAAGTTTTAAAAAAGAGTAAATAATAATGGGTCCATGACTTAAAAAAATATTAAAATAATATTTGACATCAAGCTTTCTGATATGTCATTTTTTACATATCTCTTACAACCTTCAAATCCATGTAGGATTTGACTGCTCCGTTGGAGCAACTTTAACATTTAATCTTTGTTATTTCATGTCCACGTGACAATTTGACAATGCAGTTGAAGATACTCTTTAAAAAAAAGAGTAATGCTAGGCTTACCATATTTTTCATACCACAATTGTACCACCTCTCTAATAGAGGTGGAGCCCACCAATAAAATGGGGCCCACCTCTATTAGAGAGGTGGTACAATTGTGGTATGAAAAATGTGGTAAGCCTAACATTTTTGTAAAAAAAAACATTTAAAGTGGTTATAACCATGGCCCCCATAAATGGAATAAGCATAGTGTTACAACTTTCATTTCATGTCTCTCAAGAGTACAAAATCTCCACCATCTTTCCCATAATGGTACAACTAAAGTACTTACCTTTTCCATGATGTTGCCTAAACATGCATGGAATACTTACTTAGGGGGAGGGTTGGGGGGTTTGTTTTTCTTTTTTTTCTTTTTTTTACTACAAAGATCAATCAAACTAACTGCTTTTACCTACCTCTCCTTAGATCAAATATATGTCAATGAATATTTATAAATTATTGGTTGCTTTAGAATAGAGCATGTGGAAAGATGTTCTTGATTTGTACTTGCATTTTCCTTTTATGGGATTTCATATTAATACCATTTACTTTGGAGGACCAGAAGCTCTGGCTAAAAAGGAGAACATGGCATATATATTTATATGGGAATCAAATAACAATGTAATTATGGGCTGGTCAATCATAAGCTCACACATATATCCACACTCACACACACAAGCGTAGAAAGAAGGTTTGGTTGTGAGTTTTTGACCACACCACACCACACCACGCCACACACACATGCATGAGATCGACATCTGATCGCATTGGCTGAAATAGAAAGTGAGAAATGACCACGGAATGCTATTCCTTGCGGAAAAAAGTTGTGGGGAGGGAAAGTTTCTAAAGATTCTATGCATATGGGAATGGGAATTTATATGGAATCTGAACTCAAAACTAAAGCCAATAGGTCATATTCTCAAGTCAAGAATCTGGTTATTCTTCTCTTACCAAAGCCACAAAAAATGGGTTCCTAGTTCCCACCCAGCTGTTTTGCTCCTTTTCTTAATTTAGATGCTGTTTCAAACACTAATCATGTATGCATAGCCAGCTAGTGTTGTTGTAATTCTCCAAAGAAAAAGAAAAAAAACTAGTGTCGTCGTAGGAGAATATTGCCATGTTTAGAGGTTGCTTATGTTTTCTGAGTTCTGTTTACTCATTATATTCCTTTTGTACTGTACTTCTTTCGACTTGTACTTGTGACTTTGTGGATCAAATATAATTGTCCCACATCTAATGATCCAGTGATTGTTCTTTTTTTCATGTTTCCTTTTTTGTGTAACAGAGTTACAAGAGAGCCCAAATACTCAACTCACGAAAACAAAATAAAAGTCCAATCCAAAACACAAGGAGATGCAATCGAGGGCATCTACAGCAAAGGGAGGACACAAAGAACAAGCTCAAGAATATTGGGTTAAATGGTGGCCCATTTGCTTCGTGCCCACTGTGTGTTGTCTCTTGGATTGTATCGCTTTTTTTCAATGAACTTTACCATTGAGCGGAAAAGCTACTGAAGTACCCACAGAAGCAAATTTTGTCAATTACCCTAGAGCCCCCACACCCTCCGTTCAGCTTTCTATCTCTCCCTGCCTTCCATCTCAGTTGTAAGTATGTTTGCACAGCGGGGGACCACATATTCAACAAGTTTCAACACACTCTTCCAAAAGCATAGAAAAATAATATAGTGAAGTTTGAATAGTAAATCCTCGATCATGTCTTTAAATCACGACTCTTTTTATTGGGCTAGACCTATTGATAAATCCTCAAATTTTTAATCTTTGCTTAGGGCATTTCCACCTATTTGTCATGATAAAAGGCAATGGGAGGCAAAGGCTGTTACTATTTATATGAATAGTATATGCCCTAGCAATTTTTTTGTTGCTTTTTCATCCATTACCATGACAACCCAAAGGTAACCACTATTTACATGAGATATGAGAAAAGGAATTTGTAGAGTTTTGGTGTGGAAAGTGAAAAATATAGCTAGGTATTTATAATTTTAAAAAAATCTAAATTTCTTTTTCCTTTTTTTTTTCAAAATTTTTATTATTTAAATTGGATGTTGACGTCATAATGACGTCAGCATTAAGTCATCTTGCCTAGGCAAGTCTTGCTTTGGGCCTTGCCCTAGCTAATGGAGCACAGCGCTTGCCCTGGCAAGCCTTGGCCATTATAACGGAATTGGGAGGCTAGGAGGCCTCTTGCTCAGGCTAGCCCCTCTTGTTGGAGTTAGACCTGGCAATATTGCATACGACCCGTTAACACAACACAAATTCGCACAAAATTATCAGTATTTGGGTTGAGCTTATTGGGTCGGATTGAAAACGGGTGAACCCGTTAAGCTAACAGGTCGTGTCGGGTCGAAAACGGGTTAACCCATTAGCCACCCGTTAAGGAGGTTAATTTTGTAATTTTGCAAAATATTTTTCTTTTCTTTTCTTCTTCCCCTTTTCTTTCTTATTTTCCGTGTCTTTTTCTTCTTTCCTTCTCTAACTTTTCTTCTTTCCTTTTTGTCTTTTTCTTCTTTCCCCTTTTCCATTTCTTCTTCCTCTCGTTCTTTTCTTTTGCTCTTTTTCTCTCCACTCAATAGACTCCATCAGCCTAGCCACCAGGGATCAAGGAGGAGGTATTTGGGTCAGTCCATAGAGGGTGATTGGTGATTCTAGAGTTGTTGGTTTTGGTTCTCTCAGTTAATTTTGAATTTTCTTTCTTCCTCAATTTATGTAGTTGTTGGGTTTTTTAAGATATGTATGAGAGATATATATACTGTTTTGTGGTGGAGAAGAATGAAATGAAGAGGGAACGAGGGAAGAACAGTTAGGGTTGAGGTTTAGGGGAAAAAAGACAGAGATGGCGTGTTGGCTGGCTGGGTAGAGAAGCTGTGATAGTTGTTCCCTTTTTTTTTTCTTTTTTTTTAATGGTTTATTCTTAACGGGTCGTGTCGGATATTCACGAATTGTAACAGGTCGTATTTGGGTCTAGTATTTGGCACCCGTTAACTTAACGAGTTGTGTTGTGTTAACACGACCCGAAACTTGTTAATTCAACCCGTTTGCCAGGTCTAGTTGGAGTTGCTCTTAAGAGCACTTCCACCCATTTGCCATGGCAAAGGGTAAAGGCAAGACAAGGACTGTTACTATTCACATGAATAGTGGCAGTCATTGCAAAAGGTTGTGGTGTTTTCACCCATTGCCATGACAATCACTATTCACACGAGATATAAGGAGATGAATTTGTATAGAGTTTGGTGTAAGAAGTGAAGAATATGACTAAGTATTTATTATTATTTTTAAATCTCAAATTTTTAGTATTTTTTTAGATTTTTTTTATAAAAAAAATTGGTTGCTGATGTCATCGTTGACATCAGCAAACCCAGGATAGAGGTCAAGCTAGTTTGGCCTGCGGGCTGGCCCAGTTTCGTGGGTCCCATATCATCAACAAATCCAAAGAAGGTAGATGACATACTGAATAGCTACGGCCGGCCCCGCCCCTGCGGGCTGGCCCAGTTTCGTGGGTCCCATAGCTTGCCTTGACAAGTAAGGTCTGGTGGAAGCATTTCCCTGAACTTGGGCTCTGTCCTGCCCGGGCTGCAGTCCATTGCTGGAACTGCTCGGGCAGGAACTGCTCTTATACCAGCGCCTATTAATTCAGGTCAGCTATAAATTTTATGTGGATACAAGTAAATTGATTATTAGAAATATCATAAATGTTCGCCCTTCAAAATAATGCCAATCAGGAACAGGATATTTACTATGGGATATTTTCGCCTTAATCTTAATCTTAAACCAGGAATATCTGGTTTAATATCTTCACGCGTATTGACGTGTGCCCCTGAAAAATTGTAAGAAACAACGGAAACAGGTTGGAGGTCGCTTTCAAAGTTGGAAACAATGGGATCCAAACGATAATATACGAAATCTCTTTGATGGGAATTGCCTGCTGGACACATGTGAAGCCCTAGCAAAAAGGAAGGAGGACCACCCCCATTTTCGCTGGTATTTTTGAATGCGTATCTTTCTGTGATAGGAACCCACGCGGGGCGCGCATTCCGGCTTTATCCATTATTGAATTTGAATGTATAAAAGTAGGAAGGCCACGTCGATGCCTCCACAAACACAAGCAACCAACCTTATCCATCTTTCTTCTTTTTCTTTTCTTTATCTCTTCTTTATCTCTATGAAGTTTATCCACCCAAATTGAGTTCCATGCATCCTTCCAACCCTCCTTTAAGTAGTTCATGCACTCTCTCGAAACTTTTGTTTTTCTTTTCAACTACTAACCCATAAAGTTTGGATCGTCTGAACTTGTAACCTAACCATTTTTTAAAGAAAATTAAGGACATGAACTCTTTTTGTCGACAATGTTCCCCGGGTCTAAATCATCAACATTTCATCCAATTTTTCTATATATGGGGGCAATCAAAACCTCATATCCTTCATTTAATTTTCTATATATGCATGTTGCTTGCAGTAAATTATAAATTGAAAGTTGACATTGAACAGCTGCTGTGCTTTCAGCTTTTTAAGCCTGATGACTCAAACCAACATGTGCTTCAACATCAGCAACAACTAAAATTACAGAACCAGCACTTCCATTCAAACCCAAAATATAATACTTATACAGTTATACCACACTCCAATAAGAAGGAAAAAAAAAAGCACTGAGGAGAAAAAAGTTCTTCCATCAGTTAAGAGAAAAATAAGCTCTTTACATTCACAAGTGGCTTCTCTTCCTAGAAGAGATATAGGAGCAGACCAACAATCATACAATTGGTTGCTCTTCAAAATTACTAGACATTTACAGGCTCGGATCCCAAAAACCAAATCCAAAGCCCTGCAACTTTATGGGGGTATATGTAAGTATGCGTACAGTGGTATCCACTTAACCTTGACTATATATATATATGTGTGTGTGTTTCATTCTGGCATGTATCATCAAGAAGAAACACAACTGTACATTACAAGGGGGTAGGGTAGGGATTGTGAAAACTAACCACGTTATCTCCAAGCAGTGACCACTTGAGCAGACTTTGAGGCTGTCATTGATGGAAGAGGAAGAGCTTCCGAGTTAAGACGAGATGGTGCCGCTTCAGATACAATCACTTCCTTTGCAGGCGTAGGCACAGCTTCAACTGGTTTAGGTGTGTAGTTAAATGAGAAATCTTTATTAGCAGCAAGAGCCAGGAGCTCTTTTTCCTCCAACCCTTTTGTTGGCCCAAGGCTGCAGCGGTCTGGCTTGTGCTTGGCTAAGGCATCTCTAAATTTCTTGATCTGTGAAGTCAATGGAATCATGTAGAAAACAATAATCAGGGAAAAGGCAAACTTAAACAATGGAATACATTATTTGTAATGGCATCAGAGCAACAAACATTATCCAGAGAGATATAAGATAAAAAATGCTTGAAGGTAAATGGGTCCTCACGAATTTCCAAAGAAAGAAAAATCCAAGCTAAGGAATAAATGAGATTCAACTAATTATTAGGAAGTGAAAAAGATTCCATTTGAATCCGGATTACATAGATTAGATGTCAATAATCAACTCATCAGAAAGCAACAGATTGCAGTATTAATACTTTTCATGTCTGATACAGGAAACAAAGAAAAATATATGTCCAGTTCATAAAAAGAAGTATTTTCAACAATAAGCAAACAGATATAGAGGGACAATCAATTACATAATCAGTGATTCATTAGAAAGAAAGGAACGCAAATACTAACCGTGGCATTTGTACAGCTAAAGCTGCATAGACGACCATGAGCACCTCTGTAGAAGCGGAAGAAGGGCAGCACATGAACATTAAGGCTATAACACATGGATTTGTGTTCCTCATAGTTCACCTGAAGGAATTGGACATCTGGGTTCATCTCTGCCAGTTGACATATCTGCCACAAATAAAGCAGAACAACCACAATCAACAAACAGTCATGCGAATTGGTTTCTTAGCTATTTACAGGATCAAATGGAAAGAAAGGAGTGAGTAGCTACCTTTGGATGAAGAGCTTTGCAGCCACCACAACCAGGAGAGAAGAAATCAACAACCACAAGCTTATCTCCAGCGTTTGATAGTGAATCCACGAGGTCCTGTGCAGATGTTACCTCTTTCATGTTGGGTTGATTTCCCTTTTCCCACCATTTAAGAGCTTTCCCAAACCGAAGACCCGTCTGCTGATTCCACACAACACAATAAACTGCTCTTTAACTTTTGAAGTAATCAAAACTAAGGAAAGAAAATTCAAACCAAAAACCAAAACTTTAAGGGAAAAGGACAAAACCCAGAAATTTCAAGATCAAAATTTTGACTATCTATTTAATTTTGGGGAAAAAATCAGCAACCAATAAAAAAAACAGCACAAACAAAAATTGAAACCCAGCAGAGAAATCAGAAGAAAGATAGAAAAAAAAGGGAAAAAAACCAACCAGGGAATTAACGACAGAAGCAGCCTGGGATTGGAAATTCCCTCTGCTGGGCATGGCTCTATGCTCTTGAAAAGCAACCCCTTTGCCATGAAAATCACTCTTTGTCGATAATGAAAGTGATGAAATCTCTGGGTTCAGTTTCAGAGAGCAACAAAAGGACCCAGATTTATTGTAATTACAACTCTTTGGGAAAACAGAGATGCTTTGATTCTGACGATTGTGATGATGCCAAGACGAGAAGAGACTGGTTTTGCTCAAAACCTCTGCCATTGATGAAACTCCTTGGATTCTCAATTTCCACCAAAACCCAGAAACAAAAAATTGGGATGTTCTTCTTGACTTGAGATTTGGGATTTGAAAATTGAGAGAGTGAGAGAGAGAGAGAAAAATAAAGGAAATTGCTCAAAGTTGAAGCAAACAGCACGCGGGTGGGAAAGTTGAGAGTTTTTCAAAGGGAAGAAAAAGAGACCTTCTAATGTGGGACTTTGTAACAGCTGTAAAATCTAGCATGTTGTCTGGACCCTTATCTGACCGTACGATATGTCGTCGGTACTTAATCCAAACGGTTAAAAAAAAACAACAGGATTTGGTGGGAATTTGTGGTCTGTGTGTGCGGGTGCATCATTTCATATGCCGTAGACTCGTCGTAGAGATAACGGGTAAAGATTATTTTGATTGACAGTGGGTCCCGTTTCTAAATTCAAATGGTGGATTGCTGGGCCACGTGAAGTCGTAAACTGCGCTCTTTGAAACACGTGGCAGTATCTTGCATTCTTGATCTTGGGATATGGTAATGGAATTTGGATATATGATTCTAGGTAGCTTCTTCGCCACCTCATCCAAGAGTCATCGTCATTGTGGGTCATTTCTTACAAAAAGCCATCACCCTCTTTTTCCTTTTTCGGTAGAGTCGGGGAACTTATTTGACCAATAATGTTGTCGACTAAAGTATTTCTTTTTGGGATTATTTTTTATAAGTATTTAAGTTAAAGATTTGTTACATATTTCTAATATCGTTCGTTGAATTATATTATTAGAAGTGTTGATAGATTTAATATGCAATATACATGGAATCCCACGGTCTAGATTATAAATATGTAAACAATATTTAACATGAAATACTTATTAGAGAATCTCCATTTCTTTTTGTTCTAAATATTATATATTTCTTCTTTTTTAAATTGTTTGAGCTAGAGTCATCACGCAATATATTATTTTTTTGCAATCATCGATTAGGCCATCTTCAACCATGTGGGGTCAAACCCAAATAATCTCACTTTTAACCCAAAATAATTTTCAACCCATTTATAAAGAGGGGTGGAAATTTGGGTGGACTGGTTATCTAGCGAAATATTGGTCCAGTTCTCAGTCCAAGCGGAAAATTTGGTGGGGCCCAAGTACACAAAAGTTGAAGCCCATGTGAGGGAAAAAGAAGAGCAGGCCAACCTCCCCTCCTTTGAGTGGGACACGTGTCACACATGTCACACATGATCATTTAGCTATTGCAATCCAACAACCAACAAGAAAGTGTAGAAGCCTTGCCTTTGATGTGCATTCATCTTGGCCTTACCAGGAAAGCGAAGGCTTTTATTGATATTGGTTTATGAGTTTGTAAAAGATTAGATTGTGATTGCTGTGTTTTAAGGAGATATTAGATTGTGATTGCCTGCATGTTTCCAATCAAGTTATGTAATTAATTTTTACATAAACTTCATACCATATTTGTGAGAATCCTTATTGTTAAAAATGTTAATATTTTATTTTAGTAAGTATTAAATTATAATTATAATTTTTTTTATAGAAGTCTATGTTTTATTTGCTTCACTTAATGCAAATTTAATAATTTTAATTATATATATTGGGAAATTAGATATAATGTTACATATTTAGTTTATAAACTATATATTTTGATAAAGCCAAAAAGAGTTAGCTTGAGACACGTCCACTTACTAGCTAGGTACTTTAGACTTAGTTTGTTGTCAATCTATGGCATAGCATGAAAACACCTGATGCTATTTCTCCTTGTAGATGGCAACAAATGCTTGGTCAATAGATTTAAGAGTTATCTAAAATTTACTTGGCTAGTAAGTATTTGAATCATTATCCTTTGTCTTGCCGCCAATTGCAATGAATAGTTATACAAAGCTCTGCAACCCCAACCAATTAGAAACCATTAGTTGCCGCCTATGTAGTAGTATAAATAGAGAGTTGCATGTGCAAATGGTTTACACATCTAGAGAAGGGCATGCATAGCTTGCTTAAGAAACGAGAAGACCATATTGGTAGAGAGAGAGAGAGAGAGAGAGAGGTGATGAAATTCTTGGAGGAGATATAGAGCTTAGCTTGTATTTTCTTAAATTGGAGCAATGCTTTGGAATCGAGGTAGGGATTTCTTGGGAGCCTTTACATAAGATTGATTTAATTAAATTTCGTGAGCTCTATATTATGTGTGATATTGTATAATGTTTTGATATGAGATATTTATGTATTGTGAACTATTTGAATAATGTTGGCATAATTATATCATGTCATGGTAATTGGTTGGAGTTGTTGGGTGGAGAAGATAATAATGGAAAAGAGGGTAATGGAAATAGTCTTTTGTGTAGTTGAGTCTAACTCTTGGCAGGTACCAGGTCTCAGGGATCCCACAGTGCACATGATTTTTATTGGGTGATTCGGGACTGGCGAAAGGGAGTTAGACAAGATGACTAACAAAAGAGGAATTATGGGATGATTGAAATGGGTGTTAGTTCATATAAATGAGCATTCGGGACCAAGTGGTATAAGCATGGTATGGGACGTGCAGGTATGCTTGTCCAGTTATATGAATTAACGGGAGTAGATGAAGAGAATTCATGCATTATTATTATTAATGTGATATTTGGTTGTGTGATTACATGTCACTTAATTTAGTTATATCAATCTACTGTGGTAAGGTCTCATGTCCCTACTGAGCTGTGGTTGCTCACCCCTCACCCTGTTTAATTTTTCAGATGAATTAGTGGGAAAGAAAATGAATAAACCAGTTGATGTTGAATTAGATGAGAGTGATAGAGTTTTATTTATTAATTGTAAAGTTGTAAGATTTTGGAGCTATTTTTATAAGAGAAGTTTATTTTAAACCAAATGTTTCGGCTTTCTATTTATTTTATTTTAGTTTTTATTTTCTTTACTCACGCACCGGGCGCGGGATTTCCACCGACCCCCGGGTCCGGGGCGTGACAATATTACCTAATTAAAACTTTCTCTATCCTCAACGCAACCAAAAATCCAAGTTTTCCAAGGGTCATATGAATATAGATTGTCCACATTAGTTACATATGTGAACATTCAACCGACACAAAATACACATGAGATAGTTGGTGGTTACAATCCTTATCCAATGACTAATACACTGTTAGAATATAATATGTAAGTGAGATTCACACAAACTAAAACACATATTTAGTCATATCTATTGTCATCTTCCTAGAGTACAAAACTTCAAAACTCATCCAAATAGCAACGGCAAACCAAGCAACGAGACATGAGACTTGCAAATGGTTATTGGGTCTTGCTCTTTTTTAGATATGTTTTAGTTCTCTCCTCCTGATGAGGCAAAGGGTTAGAGAACGTATACGATAGGAGTAGGTCAAGTCGTCTCTACTCATCACTAAGACCTAACATAACTAGCACGCTAACTCCATCAAGCAATGATTCACGCAAAAGGAAATTATTAAGATCCTTTAATTGGATACAAATTTTCTTTAACTCACAACCGTGAGCCACATGCAAGGTCTAAAATATCGATGGTTTCAAAAATATCAGTGGTCCAAAAACACATAATTTTGTATGAAAATATTAGGAAATTATCGATATTGATAAAAATTGAATAAAAACCATGGAAATTGTAAGAAAAACTTGGCAATTTTTCTTGAAACTTTAGAGGATGTTTATTTAGTCAATTATCTATTACTTTATCACAAAAAATTAAAAGGAAATGCATTACATGATGGGTTTAATTGATTTAAGTTGATTATATAGCATCTAACAAACACTGCGAGTGTAGTAAGAAATGAAAGAAGATTAAACACACCATAATAATTTATTTATAATGATTTACTACAATATTTTACACTTCATACTAGGGGTGGGAATTAGGATAGGAAAACCGAAACACCGAATTGAACTGGATGAAAAAAATCGGTTAACCAAAAAAGTGAACAAACCGGACCGGACAAGACGGGACCAGTTGTTTGTGTGTGTGTGTGTGTGTGTGTGTGTGTTTTTATACAAATTTTTAAAATCAAATGCTATATTTTTTATTTTATAATTAATATTTTTCCAAATTCAACTTCAAAACATTTCTCATTATATGAATTGGATCATTTGTTAATTTTCAAGCCCAAAAAATAACTTATTTATTGTAATTTGTATTTTTTTTTAAAAAAATTTAAAATATATATTTAAAAGAAAAATAAAAAATCATAAAATAATAATCCAGTTCAAAACCAGAACCAGTAAGAATCGGATCGAAAATGGTCAAAACCAAACCGATCGATTTTTTTATAAAATTTCACTTAAACCAAACTGAACCGAACTAGTTAAATAGTACCGGTTCTAATTTCGATTTGAGGTGAGAATCGGATTGTGCCCTCCCTTACTTTATACATTGCGTGGTAAAATACATGACTGACTTAGTACCACATAGAGTTCTTATAAAGTTCAAATTTGAGTTATTTACACTAACACCCCTTGAGGTTTTCGTCTGTTTCACAAAACCCCTTGAGGTTTTAGAAATTACAAGAACACCCCATGAGGTTTTAAATTGTTTTCACAAAACTCCTTTTCATTGATTTTTCATTCAAAAATTAATGATTTTATACAAAACAATTCTCCAAATGACAAAGTTGGCCTTTGATATTAGATTGCATACAATGGCGGACCTATTAAGGTTGCACCTCCCTCGTCGAAAAAATCATTGTAGGTGTTTTAAATTGCCCATTTGCTGAACTGGTGTACAGATTACCTTATTTCCATTTCCAAAGTAAATGTCTTTGTCCTTTTACTGTCATTTATTTTTATATTACTCTATTTACTTAAGTTTACAATGTAAATAAGGAAGTCCCCCCTATTTGGATTCAAATAAAAATACTATAAAATCAAATTCCCACCAAATCAAAATATGAAAAATCGATTTTAGTGCAAAATACGATTTAGGCTAAAAATGATGGCTCATTAAGTCAATATATACTTCATAATAAAATCCCATAAAATCAAGTTTTCTTGTTTGATGTGTAAGGAATAAAAGCCGCCAAAAATTATCTTGAAAAAATGATTATTCTGAAAAACTATTTTTCATACTTAGTCAATATTGCACCTCGCTAAAAACATTCTGGGTCCGCCAGTGATTGCATATACTTCATTGAGGTTAATTGTGTAATTTGCGTAAGTTTTTTTTTTCTCAATGAAATCATCAATTTTTGGACAAACAATCAATGAAAAGGGGTTTTGTGAAAACAAATTGAAACCTTAGTGGGTGTTAGTGTAAATAACTCTTCAAAATTTTATTGTTTTCATCATCTCGATATTATTAATATTATAGCGATATTTTGGCCAAATGTTGCTGAAGTGTGAGAGAAATTATCAGTGTCAATATTTTCCGATATTATCGATACTTATAAGGTATGTGCATGGATATGTTCTAAAATATCCTAGACCCGAAAACACTATAATATCCTCGATATTGCATTGATATTTTAGTCCTTTGCCACATGTATAACCAAAATTTAAACTCTTAATAAGTCAATGACCCATCAAAATATAACCTAGCATCTAATGCACGAATCGATATAGGAAAATATAACATTCTCCTACTAGATCACGCACTAGAACACTAAGTTTTTGTATTCCAAAATTTTGATATTCTTTATTTGGCCATGAGTTTAAATCAGTTAAGTACTTCCTTTCAAGCAACAATGAAAAGTAATTAGACAAACTGAACTATAGACAAGCACTGCCATTCTTTATCAGACATGCCATCTATAATCACATGAAGTACCTACAAACATGAACCTTAACATGTACTATTATGTAATGTGAACTTTATGTTTTTTTTCCAGTACATATATACCCCTTTACGACTTAGCAAGAGTCAATCCCGAATGTCATTAAAAACAATAGTATCTCAAATAAAGACCATAAACTCACATACATAATCAAAATGCACAATAAGTTTAAAGAGCTAAACAATCAAAATGATAGAAAATGATTCAATAATCAAAACTGTCGAACCAAATTTACATATTTAAGAGGCCCCTCAATCCAGAAAACAACAAAATAAACATACTAGGAAATCTATCATAATACAAACAAGACTCTCACTAGATTGTAGCATCAAAGCTAGGGAATAATCTCATGCTCTCAACATGTCTCAGGAAAGCTTCTGTTGGCAGAAACCTTGTAAATGAACCTGCAATCATATCTTGAGTTATGATATGAACAAACCTTACTAGTTTGTCACTTACCTTCTCCCTCAATACCATATATTTTCTATCAATGTGTTGAAGTCTAGATGACATCTTGTTGTTCATGCAATGAAAAACAGCATAGGACACGCCTATTGCTGATAGTCATGGGGATCATGATGAAGATGTTGCCAGAACACAAAGCCCTTGGCAGAAGTGCTGTTGCCAAACATGGAAGATCTTTGAAAGCAGGAAAGAGTCCAGTGCCAAATGAAAAAAATATCAGAAGTTGAAAAGGAAAGGTATTTGGTGTGAACATGAATGCTGCCATTTTCTTTGAGTCTGCTCCCTAATTTGAATGGGTTTCTGTTCTTTTTCTACCAGAAAGTATGGCATACAACAGGGGTGAAGGTGGAATTCCACCATTGCTTACTGCAGAACAAGAAGCTCAACACATTGTCAATGCTGCAAGACGTGGTGTGTTTTCCTTTTAGATTTATTTGTTCATTGGGGTCTTTTTTGTATATCAATCTATTATCTGTTTGGTTATGCACTACATTCACTAACTTGATGCATGAATTTCTGGGTTTACATTTTACAAACATAAGGGACTTTCTATTTCTTGCATTGTTTATTAATTGGCCTTTTGTGAAGTTGTGTCGAACCAAGAATTATTGGTTTTAATTGTGATAAAGTTGTGAGGTTGGCATTGTAATTGATGTTGCTGCATCTGATTTTAATGGGTCAAACCAAACCTGTAACTTGAACTTTGTTGGGGTCTTTTTGTGTTGAGAGCTAGAATGGGCTTGTTGGACTACTGCGAAGTAGATCGAGCTCTCTTGAGCCCCTGTTTGAGTTTGCGGCACCAGGCCCCAAAACACCCCGAAAGAGTTAAAACCTTAGGGAGTGCTTTGGTCTTTTTCAATGGCTATTCAGTACATTGAAAGTTTTGATGAGAAGGATACATAACCTATTGTGAAGCTATTGCTTAATGATAGAGGTGGAGCAGACGGTGAAAGGTTTGCTTGAAACGTAGTGGAATAGGTGTTCTAGCAGCTGCTATTTGTTTGATTGGGCTTCCAGCAGCTTGATGAATGCTTGGTCGCGCCTTTGGATTTCTCACCCAAAAGGTGATGCTCATGATTTCAATTTGGCTTCAAAAGATAAGTGTTTCAGATATGGAATAGGGTTTTTGGAGAAAGAAATAGAGATATATATAAATATGTGTATGTGTGTGTGTGTGTGTGTGTGTGTGTGTGTGTGTGTGTGTGTGTGTGTGCGTGTGTGTGTGTGTGTGTGCGTGTAATGAGAAGATGGAAGAACCAGAGCTTGAATTTGGTGCTTCCAGTAGTGGGAGGGTATGCTTGCCCTTCTGCTTGAGTTTAAGAACTAGGCTCCAAGAGTGCTTCGAAAAGCTTGTGGAGTCTTAGGAAGCACTTTGACTCCTTTCACCAATAAGATAGACAATTGTTACATATCAATATTATGGCTTGGCATGAGAAGCTTGTGGTATGGGAGCTAAGCCTTCATGAGTTTAACATTAGATAGAAAGAGCTTGAATTTCTTATGGAAACGAAGGTTTAGAGCAAGGGGCAGAGAGAAATTTGGGGGGATTTTGACTAAGGAAGAGAGGGAGAGATGGAAATAGAGAATTGGGTGTCTTGAGTAAATTTCCAATTGCTTGACAAAGCTTGGTCGCGCTCCTAGATTGTGTCTTTTCTGGGTAGAAGGTGCCTCCTTTTTATAAGCGCTGGAACCCTAAATTTTATCGGGCTTCTCTCTCAATTTCCCTTCACTTTCTTCCATTTCAACCTCATTTGGTGAAACTTCCCCAGCTTGCGCATCTAGGCACAAAGCCTTTTTGGGGTTCCAAGATCTTCACGCAGCTGAATTTCTTTATGTTGGTGAGGCGCCCCCTACTTTTCTATTTGGTTTTCCTATTTGAGCTTATAGAAGAAAGAAATATGGATGAGGGCATTTGTCTAATGGGTATTCCTCCTGCACATATGAATTTCCTTTGATTTTTGCAGTGGCTTACCATTTGACTTGGTTATGAGCTTTTGACAACGCTAGATGCGATGCTAGGTATTTTATAAGGTGTTGGGCTGGAAATTTTTCTAAGGTATTGGGTCATTGGCATTCTATTTCCAGCGGTCTGTGAGTTTGGTTTCGTCAAACTACTAGAAGTAGCTTATTTGCTTTGTTTTTGATAAGGTGCTGGATGTCTTAGCTAATGTAGGATTTTTCTAAGTGTTGCAGACCATTGGATATTGTCCTAAGGCATTGGGTCGTTTTTCTCTCTCTCATGCTTACCCATGTGTTTGGGTTCAAGAAATGGGCTTGAGTATTGGTGCTCCCAAGCAGCCCAAAACTTCCATTCCTTGAACCTTCAATGGGCCTCATGAATATTCGTAACCATCCATACCACAACCCGCTCAGCAAGACCTAGGCATTCACGTGGCTTGGGCCCACTTAAGCTTGTAGCGTGGGTTGGTGCCAAAATAAAGGTTTTTCGCTTGGCGTTGCACTTTGCTTGACGTGTAGTGGGCTATAGCCGAGCTAAATGGTGTTTGACGGGACAGTAAGTGCAGGTTCAACCAGTACATCTTACAAGCTCGTTACGGCCTCTCTGAATGGCAGATTGTGTGTTTGCTTGGTGTGGCATGTGGACCATAACTTGCTTAAGCGCATATGACAAATTCTTGCATACCCAAGTCAGGCTTCTTTTCCGGTTAAGTGTTGTATTGGGCCAAAAATATATTTGGGCCTAACCTTGGATTTTTTGGGCCTCAACAAACTTCAAGGAAGAGGTGAGTTGTCTGTTATTATATCTCTATGTTTGGTTTGTTTGCACAGAAAAACGATGGTTCCCAAAAGATCTCAAGAAATGCTCTCAAGGACCTCTACAAGTCATTTGTGAGTGAGTACCCTATTGTGTCAATTGAAGATCCATTTGACCAAGATGACTGAGAACACTACTCCAAGATGATAAATGTGGAGAACAAGTACAAATTGTGGAAGATACAACAACTATAGGTTAATGCTTTGGATATGATATTTTGTAATTATAGGTTAATGCTATGGATATGGTATTTGTATGGATATAGTAGGAATCAAGATTGGTAAACAATGTAATTACTATTGAATCTTCAAGTTTTATGAAAGAAATAATTTTTAGTATATATATATATATATGTATGGTGTGGGTAATAGAAGATTTGGAGCTGAAATTATTGTTTAGAAAGCATTATGGTTGTTTTTTAGTTAAAATCGTTGTAGAGTTGTTGAAAACTAAAAATAAAGAGCTAAAATGTAAAATCACTACATCATTTTTACGGATAATAAATGGCGGTTTTTTGGAACAAAACTGTCATCTTTAGATTTAATAGACTCGGTTTTTAAATAAACCGATGTCTTTGGATATAATAAACGATGGTTCTATTAAACAAACTGTCGTCTTTACATTTAATAAACAACGGTTTTTCTAAAAAACCATCGTCTTTGGATATATAAACGATGATTCTATTAGACAAATTGTCGTCTTTAAATTTAATAGAAGTTGTTTTTTCTAAAAAAACCGTTGTCTTTACAATTAATAGACGACAGTTTGGAGTAAAAGCATCGTCTTTACAAATAATAGATGATGGTGAATCATCGTCGTAGTTTGAACATTCAAAATATTGCTGTCTATTTAACGACGGTTTTCAAAAGAAAAGACGACTCTTTTTCCCCGTCGTCTATTTCAATTTTTGTAGTAGTGTTTATCTACATATAGATTGCCCACATTGGTTAAACCTGTGAACATTCAACTAGCACATAATCCACATGATTAGTCGGTGGGTACAATCCTTATCCAATGACTAATACACAAGATTAGAGAAAGTCACATGTAAAATTTACAAACTTATCAACAACATGTAGCTCATAAATCTACAATGCAATGGAAATGTCATTTGTTAACCATATTCAACTTGTAGCCAAAGTCATAGCCACTTTTTTTTGTTTTTTTTTGGAAATCACAAGCATAATTCATCTATATAGGCAAGAACGTTAAATAGTGCAATATGATAAACTTATATAAGTTACCAGAATTTTAGATCCTACCCATTATTTGATGTGTAAAAAATTTGCACTGATACAAGGGTTTAACTATGACTTGAAAAATCTGATTTACATTGTTCGCCACAAAACTGAATCTTTTAGCATAAGAAACAATACTAACAGAATTTTTTTTTCCCTATCACCTACACAAAGACATTCTGATCAGAAATACATATCACAAACAAAACGTTTTACAATTCAAACCATTTTCTATTGCATTCTGCCAACAAAAATCCATCTCTAAGGTTTCACGAAATTATAATTCATATAAAATGAAATTGGAAAAGAAACTCATATTACCAACATAGATTTCCTCACTTTTTGGCACATGACTCCTTGTGGTTCTTGTAGGTGCGATTGTCCACAATTGGAGCATCACATCCCTCCTTCGCATATAATTTGTAGTGTGCTTGATGGTTTGATTTATAATGGGATCACTACAAGAAAAAACACATTAGTTGACACTATTTTGTTGACATTTTTGTATAAAACATCAACTATATCACATGTTGGTGACACTTATTTATAGATATCAAATATAACATAGGTTACATGATGCTTGTAGAAAAACGTCAAGTATGTATCTCATATTGTTGACATTCTTTAAAAAATATCAAATAGAACCTGAAGTAACTTGACACTTTTTGGAAAACCATCAGGAATACTGAGGCAGACATATATGAAACTCTATATCCCTTTTTCTGCTACAGTCTCTCTCAATTCTAGATCTAGATATGATACCAACCATTCTTCTTAGTTCTTCGTCTTGCCTTTCTCTCGTTTTCTTTCTTACCCAACCAACGAACTATCTTCTTCTCTCCTCAACAAACCAATTATGAGCATCCAGAGCCTTCATCTTTATTGTAAGAACCAAGAATGACTCTATGGCATCTCTTTGAGCAGGTCGACAACATCGTCGAGGCCATTGCCATCAGAGCATCGTGCAGATGACTATGAAGATAATCGTTCGATTCAATCAAAGACAGGGTTTTGTTAATACCTATCTTTTTGGAGTTTCTCGAACAATCAAATATTTGATATACTCAATCTAATTTGGTATTGTTTTGTTTAGAGATTTAGGTCAAGTGTTTCGTGATATTGAATTTTCCATACCTTGTATGGGCTTGGGGGATTGTTGGTTGCGATAGTCAATGATTGAAGCTTTGGGAACCTAAGTGAAGAGCAAGGTCACCATAAAGGTAACTTTCTTTCACTTTTGCATTTCTTGTTTTTTCATGAAGTCAAGTCTTGGGCTTTGTATAGATTAATGGCTGTATTGTTTTGGTCTACATCGTTCATACTGTAAATATGTTTGCTTATGGAAGCCTAGTGAATAATGATTATGTATTTAAGTGAATTTTTCTTAGAGTAGTTAGTTTGATGAAGTATTGAATTGATTTTTCATGGTATTATATATTCCCATATGTTTATATTTACATAGTACTCATTTTGGCTGATTTGGTAGTATTATGTAAGTTGTAACTAGATTTTTCATTGCCCTACATGCACCAGTGTTTGAATCAGAGTTCACTTGGGGGATGTACACAATAATCATTAGGGGCATGTCCTTTTCTATTTTCTTTTTGCTTTTTCAGACTTTTGGTTTCTTTGACAAGGTATAGAATATGTGAATTTGATTGTTGTGTGTACACTCATGTGTTCAAGTATGGGAAGTTCATCTTGCTGCTACTGTATATGGATGATATGCTAATTGCGTGTCAAGATATGTCAAAGTTACAAGAGTTGAAGACTTTGCATTGGAGGGAGTTTGACATGAAGGATCTTGGTCCTGCACAAAAGATCCTAGGAATGGAGATAAAGAGAGTTTGAGAAGCAGGAAAATTGTGGTTATCACAAGGTAAGTACATAGTTAAGGTACTTGAAAAATTCAACATGTTGGTACTCCTTTGGCAGAGCACTTTAAATTGAGTACCAAAGAAGGATGAGATGAGTAAAGTTACGTATGCATGCGCGATAGGGTGTCTCATGTGTAGCATGGTTTGCACACACCTCAACTTGCCTCAAGCGGTTAGTGTGGTTTCAATGTATATGGTGAATTCGGGCAAACAACATTGGAATACAGTGAAGTGGATTCCCCGATACTTGAAGGGCACCAAGAATTTTGGGATCTTGTTTGAAAGACAACAAGAAAGGCATGTGTGTCAGGTTATATGGATTCAGATTATGCTAGAGACTTAGACAAGAGGAGATTTACTATGGCGTATGTTTTGGCTTGTGGTGGAGAACTGATTAGTTGGAGAGCGGTGCTATAATTGGTTTGTGCCTTGTCCACTACTGAAGCGGATTGTATGGCACTAACGGAGGTTTATAAGGAAGCAATATGGCTACATGGATTGGCGAATGATTTTGGGTTAAACCAAGACTTCCTAGTGGTTTGAAGCGACATTCAAACTACCATATGTTTGGTCAAGAACTAAGTATTTTACCGAAGGTCTAAGCATATAGAAGTATGGTACTACTGGATAAGGGATTGGTTGAACAAGGGGGTCATTGCAATTGAGAAGACTCATATGGTGGAGAATGCTTCGGATTGCTTGACAAAGCCAGTTACAGCTGATAAGTTCAGACATTATTTGAGCTTGCTTAATATTGTAGCATGCTAAAGATTGAGGTGGAGCTCTTGGAAATTTCCAATACGGTTTCCAAGAGGTTTTGAAGACGTTATGAGGGTAAATAATTCTCACAATGTGTCCAAGGTGGAGATTGTTGATGTTGGCTCACCTAAAAGATGCAAAAGGAACAGAAAAAATAGATCAGTCAAAGCATTGCAGACTACATGACTGGGCCCCAGCACTTGAGCTGCAAAGAGGTGTTTGTGCGGACCTACTCATTTTAAGATAATTTTTCCTTGGGTTTTGGGGAGCTTTACGTTTCCTATTCCTTGTGTGATTGTAATAAAGTAGTATATAATGTAAATAGGCAATCTAGTGCTAGGGTTTTCTCTAACGACTGCAAGAGAGAAAATAAGGGCATCAAATTGGGTTTTAGCTAGGGTGAGAGAAACAAGAGCTAGGGTTTGTGAGAGATAAAAGGGGGTTCTTCATTGTAACCAAATGGGTTTTTTCAACCTAGTGAATTTCTCAGGTGGATTACCAAAAGGACATAAGCACAACGCCGAACCTCTATAAATTTCTCGTGTTCTCTGTGTGTGTTTACTTTTAAAATTAGCGTGTGCTTTATTCTTGTGTGGCTTGTGTGTAATCAACGACAAGATCTTGGAGTGTTTGTTCACAACAATTTGCACATGAGAGAGAATTGTAACTTTGATTTGATATATAGTGAACAAGATCTAGATTGATGTTTTAGTTAATTGATTAGGTGAATTTGCTTATAAGTAAAAGTGTTTATTATAAATTCGCGTCATGTTCAGTCCCTATTTTTTTTCCCTAAGTTAGTCCTTAAATTGTTTTAGATGGGTTTAATATGGAAAAACAATTACTTTTATTAGAAAAGTTCGAATAAATGGGTATGTGAATTTTGTACTAGGTGATTTAACCTTGGCAATTTCAATATTTCTAGGTGAGGTTTAGATGCCTTGTACTTATGCAGCTATTTAGCTTCATTTGGGGACCCTCTTTATATAAGTAAAGATAAAATCGAAACGATATGAAAATAAGTGGAGTTTGAGGAAGTATTCCAAACTAAATTGAAAGAAACCATTTCAATCAATTGAAGTTATTATAAATGTGGATTTTTATAATTAATATTTATTATATCTTGATCATCTTTTGGACTATCCTAGCTCATTAGCTACTCTTCTTTTCTTTTTTTTTCAATAAAATTTTGTATATCTTGATCATCTTTTGGATATAATGATTATCAGTCTTGAGTCATTCTTTGTTTTTCTCTTCTTTTTGTAACTTTTTTGTTTGTTTGTAAATTGGCACCGTTTACTAATATTGATCCTATCCTATGTACCCTTTCTATAATTGCTCTTTCGCTCAGGATATTTGGCGTAGAGTAATCAATTATATATAGATTTGGTTGTATATGGGTATTGATTTGGTGGACTCACCGTGTTCAAATTCGTTTAGGCTTCTGCATCTTTATATTAAAAAATTTCTTACTGTTAGTTAGAAAACTCGCACAGGGAGGAATAATTTAATTTTAAAACAAAAAAGGCCTTTTGACAAAACAAAAAAAAACAAAAAAGGCCTAATATTTTAGTGACGGTTTCCATAATCAAAAGTTTCTTACACGATTTTTGGAATTTATAATGTATTATATTAAACGAAAATCTCTTTAATGCTTTGGTGGCGCTGGGAGTTGCCCCACTGCAGGTGCCTAACAACTGTCTATGAAAATGCCTCAAAGAGCAGAGTTATTTTCTTTGGTGCACAGTTGCTGCAGCGCCGCGTGCATGCATGAAAAACCCAAGCATTGCGTTGAAGAAAGAAGCCCAACCCAAGCCTTGTGTTGATATTGATAATAACTAACTTGATACCTTCCCAGCAAGGTCAGGTTCTGAAATTATTATTTTTTTCCCCTTCCGCAACCACTTCGATTTTTTTTATTTATTTTGGTTTTGTTTGGTTCTTTTATATATATATTTTTCTGATTTGGCTCTCTCTATATTCACATGATCAGTACCAAACTCAAGTATGAAGAGGCTGCGTCGTGGTGCACAACTCGAGGTATAATCAATTAGAATTTGTTTGTTTAATTGATAATTTGATATGCATTTTGATTAGATTAATTCATATTGATTTTCATTAAATTAATTGATAATTTAATATGAATTTGGTACACTAATTGTGTAATTAGCATGATTTTTGTTTATATTAATTGATATACTATATAGACTATAATCAATTAGTAATAGACACCTAAGACTGTTATGTGGCTATCTAAATTTTTTTTTACCTGTTTGAGCCACAAATATTCCAGTGGCTAACATATAAAGAAAATGTGATTCCAAGAGTGGGGGTGTTCAATGGACAAGGAGTTATGGATTGCCTCGAAGGTACAAGGCTTCTCTTTCTTTATTCAAGGAGTTTCCGTTCCTTTCTATATAAAACTCCTGCCCTATTTATAGGGAAAACCAAAAATAAATTAATTTACAAGCTGGCCACCTCGGCTTGGAGCCGAGCCGTTTGCGTCACATCAAACTTGTCAGATGCTGGGTGGTCAAGGTTCGTCCACGTCCTCTGCTCATGATGACCCTTTTAAACTTCTACTAGGAGGCGGGCGTGAGAAGAGTAGCATGTTGCATATGGTAGCAATCCCATTTAGGGAGGTGGCAAATCAGGCAGTTTACACCTGGCTCTTGAAGGGACGCGACATGCTTGATGAGGTACGACGGATCGGTGGTCAGAGGGGATCTTGTCATCGACATGGCTGATTCGCATTCTCTCGAACTCCCTAAGGCAGCTCAAAGTTCGAGGTCGAGGGATATTTGCACGTTTCTACCGCTATAGTGCGCGAGGTCCACGTGTCGTGTTTTTATTGGGCGAACTGGCTCAGTGTATGCCGAGTGTCAACATGACCTTCTAGCCTTTTAAATATTGCCACTCTCCTAAAAAAAATCCCTAGATTCGCCATTGCGTGGACGTGAAATGACAACAATTAAAGGTTAATGTTGCTCCAACCGAATACTCAAATCATACATGGATTTGAAGGCTAGAAGAGATATGTTAAAAATTACATATTAAAAACTTTGATGTCAAATATTATTTTAATATTTTTATTGTCATGGCCCCTACTATTATTTACTATATTTCAAAATTTTATGCATCATATGAGCTCTATTTGCTTTTAGAAATATAATAAAACAATATGATATTTGGCATTTCATATAGAGTTAAATTTTTCCTAAGTGTCAGATTGCCACATAAACCATCAAATTCAAATTTAACATTTTGCATTAAAGTGTTAAATTTTTTCCTAAACGTAAAGTTTTTCCTAAAAGTTATGGTTTGCAACTATTGGCTTTGTCATTCAAGATTGGAATGGAACTATTAAAATTGTTGCAACCTATCCAATTTACTTCTATCCTTGAAGCAGAAGCGAGTGCTTTAAAAATAGGTTTACGTTGGGCCCATTGTGTTGGTATTACTTCTGTTCTTCATCAGACTGCTCCTCCCTGGCAGATAGCTTATATCATTCAAGACATTAATCAGCTTTTTTTGGCCATAATTTCAACTAAATGTGGTACGACGTATTTATCGGGAAGCTAACATGGTTGTTGACACTCTTGCTACATATGGTCATAATTATACAAATCCTCATATTTGATTTCGTAATTTTCCAATATTTGTCCCCATAAAAATTTTGTATGATACTTGTAAATCCTCATATTTGATTTAGTAATTTTTCTTTTTATGTCTCAGTAAAATTTTTGTACAATACTCGGCAATTAGGGTTCCTTATAGGAACTACTGCGTAATGCATTTCTGTTTGAAAAAAAGAAAAAGTATTTTAAGAAGAAAAGGTCAGCATGGCTTATTTAGTTTTATAGGGCCTTTGATGTTTTCTATTTTTATTTTACGCTCATTCTAACACGACATTTTATTAAAAGAATTTTTATGTTCATGCACTTTCAAGTGAAAAATAGTAACACACTAAGACAATTAGAAAACGACAAGTGGCTAGCTAAGTGTTTTTTTTTCTTTCTCCAAATAAGCTATCCTACGATTTTTGTATAAAATGTCATGCTCAAATGGGTCTATTTGTGAAAAGTCCTTTATTTTCTTGGTTTTGTTTGAACTTTCACTTTTTCAGTGTCAAACACATCCTCGACAATAAGATGGGATTCGAGAGGCCCACTTTATTTATTTTTGTTATGTTTTAAGTGGCCAATTTCAAGCCCGAACCACTAAACACCACACGGAGTTGTCAAACAGGCCGTGCCGAGCCTGCCCATTTAGGAAAATCATCAATCCCGTGCCAGGCCACTATAATATGAGCCCACGTCAAATTTCACTTATGTATTGCATTTTTTAAAAAAAAATTTCCAACTTCCTTTAAATCTTTTTTACAATTATGTATATACTAATAAGATTTATTATTTGTTGAAAAAAAAAGGTCAATAACTTTATTTAAAGTACATTTAAATAGAAAATGCCTAGATTATTATTGTTTGGGTTTTAAAAATTGAAACTTGAAAACAAAATCATTATTTTATATATAAAGTAAACATTAAAATTTAAAATATATTGTTAAAGAAAAGAAATACACTTGAATTTAAGATATAAATGTAATAATATTATGTATTATTTTTCTCTAAAACAAGTATAATTTAATATATGTGCTTTAAATGGGCCGGTCCGGCTCATAACACCGAATTACTCAAAAATACGGGCCGTGCTATATCAAACTTTACTTAAACGGGTCGTGTCTGTACCGTGCTCAAACCGATCCGGTCCGTCTGACACCTCTTGCCCCCAGCATATGGGAATGCGATGGAATAAGATTCTATTTCCATTTGGTCTCGGACTCTCTCAGTCAATATTCATGATTTTCAAATCATTTAGCACACGAGATTCCAAACCCAGAATCCCATCATGCTCCACCTTCGTCTTAGTCTTCCCAACCCTTCCAAACATAACTCATTCCCACCTCCACCCAACAACCCTAATCTAATTACTACTATAATCAACCCCATTTTCACTCCAAGCAACCACAATCCCACTCACATTGCTCAAAGCTTCAGATCCTACAAAACTTTAGCGGCTACCACCACCACTTCTGCTAACAATGGGGTCATTGATAAAGATAACCCAACTGATTTCCAGGAAGGTGAACAAGGGAGCAGCCAACACAAGAGCTTCTGGGGAGCTGTTACTTTGATCATTGGCACTGCTGTAGGTCCTGGCATGCTGGGTTTGCCCGCTGAAACCATTCGATCAGGCCCTCTTCCCTCAACTATTGCCATTCTCGTCTCTTGGGTCTATGTCATCTCCTCAATTATCCTTGTTGCTGAGCTCAGCTTCGCGGCCATGGAAGAAGATGGGGTTGAAGAGGTAAGCTTCACTGGCCTTGCAACAAAAGCATTGGGAAGTCACTTTGGTGCATTTATTGCTGTGGTCTATGCTTGTTTGAGCTTTGCCTTGTTGGTGGCCTGTGTTTCGGGTATCGGTTCAATTGTCTCTCAGTTGTTTCCTCGTATGAATCTTGTAATTGCTCATGCTTTTTTTCCTCTTGCGGCTGGATTAGTGATTATTTTATTTCCTTTTAACGTCATTGATGCTGCAAACCGTTTTCTATGCTTGCTCATGCTTTTCTCCATAACTGCACTTGTGGCCATTGGTTTATCTGTGGCAAGAACCAACTTGTTTGCTTCATTTGGACATGCCTCGTGGAGTCTTCCTTCAATCTTACCAGCCATTCCTGTCACTGTCCTCACATTGGGGTTCCATGTTATCACCCCTTTCATTTGCAAGATTGCTGGGAACACAATAGCTGAGGCTCGGAAAGCCATTCTGATTGGTGGTTCTGTTCCATTAATTATGGTGTTGTCATGGAATTTGAGTGTGCTGGGGCTTTCTGGGGCAAACACAACAGCCTCCTCCAGATACCCTATATCCCTTCTGCTTTCAGTCAATCCCTCTGCCTTATCTGCAGTCCAAGGATTTGCCTTCTCTGCTTTGGCAACCAGCTTGATTGGTTATGCTGTTAGCTTCCCAAAACAGCTTCTCGATACTCTGGAATTGATTGGAAAAATCAACCTGAAAAAACAAAGTTATTCTGAAATACAACTAGGTTCTGAAGGCAATGGTTTTGGAAGAGTTGGGTTTGCTGTTTATTCAGGAAGGCATAATCTTGGAAATGCAGGGAGGGCTTCATTTACCAGTTCAGGGTGTAGTGCTGCTTCAGAAGCTAAATTGGGATCAAGCATTAATATCATTGTAATGCCGCTTGTACTTGGTGTTCCAGTGCTTATAGCTTCTTTCTTTCGCTCGACCTTTTCCAGAGCTCTTGATTTTGCTGGGCTTTATGCAAACTGCTTTCTATTTGGCATCCTTCCTCCGGCAATGGCTTACATACACCAATCCAGGAAGAAATCCAGGTAATGCCAATATCTACATGTTGTCAACAGTGAACACGAACAAATGTTGGGCCATTGAAAGAGAAGATAACCAACTCTGAGCTCAAAATTGGTCTAAAAGGATACAATGAACATGTTTCCCTCTTTTTCTGATATGCTAATTGTTATGCTTGTTCTTATTTCTGTAAGAAACATAAAAGCCAACAAGGATTTTGCAACAAACTTCACACACTAGAAAAGGTCTCGGACATTACATTATCTTCTGTCTATTTAAAAACAAATGTTGAGACAATTAAATGGTGAGCTCCTTTCCTCTGCACAGTGAAGTAACTTAAAAAATTACAAGGCATTGAGTTTACTGTTCATCTCATCCTTCTTAGAGTAGTAGTATCTTATTAGCTGAAATTTGCAATGCTCTTCTTCTATGGATTCTTCTTAGAGTAGTATCTCATTGGCCCCCTTGCCTCTTGAGCAGGGGTATTTTAAAAAGTACACAGAAAACCCAACTAACATGGGAAGAATTTTTTTTTTGAATTCACAGACAAACTAAAATTAGTAGTGCAGTTCAATAATCCTTGTCCAATGTCAATTTTGGAAGCTTATATGGAGGTGGGAAAGATTGTTTAGGTGCATACTCGATTTAATACAAACAAGTACATTCGGTCTTGCAGGTCATCCATTTTACCAGGGGGAGATGGTGCACTTCTACTCCTCTTTGGAATTGCTGTCATTTTGGGGATTTGGCATTAGGTGGCTAGCAGCTACATCTCTCAACAAACCAAAGCTAACTATTCCACAACAGGTCAGATTTGACCTTAACGACTTCAAGGAACTCATTAGTTCTCATCCTAAATACCTCTCTGCTTGCGGTGAAAAATTGTTACTTCTCTGATTCAGTAAGCCTGATTAACGCATTTTAGAATCCAGTTAGTAAAGAAGCACTTTTTTTTTCTTTTTCTTTCTGGCCTGAGTGAAGCAGAGTTCATGTAGGAAATCATAGTAATATTCCTCTATTGCCTACATCGCACTTGTAATGCAGAGAAAAATTTGGCAAAATGTTAATGCCTATGATGTGTGGTTTATCTCATAGTGTTGAAAATTGTTTCTGTAATCGAATGCGCATGTTCTCTCATACACCTGTGTTATCTCATAGTGTTGATTACAGTTATAGACAAGTAACAGACATGGAAAAGAGAATTTCAAGTCAAGGAAATAGAGAGCCTGGAAGTGTAACAAAGCATAAAGTATAATATTATGCACATTAGATGCGTGTAAAGAGCATATAAAACATAATATGATGAGACTGTATGTGTCTGAAGTCTCTGTCATGATCACACATAGCACCGAATGCAATTGACGATACATGAAAAGAAGAATGCAACGGAAAGAAAATGGTTTACCAACATAGATGCTGTCTATAGAGCACTTCATTGAGCACTGACCCTGAATTCTGAAAGCAGGGTTATGCGATTCTCTGCTTACCATGTGTGCCTTTTGCGCAGCAGTGCCCAAATCATAAAGGAAATTGTGTTTTTTTCAAAGTCCCTTTTCCCGTTCTGTCAATAATATAACAAGGAATTTACATACTGTGCATCAGACATTCCGAGTGGATAAAACACAGAAGCAAAGAAGAACAATGTAGGACTAAATTAGCAAGCCAGCCATTTATTCTTTTTGGTAAGATGAATTTGTTCAGCTAAAAGTAAATGATATGCGGCTGACATAACTTAGTGAAGAAATGGAGAGTAGATGGTATGCACCACTTGCAATAACCAAGTATCTTGACAACCTGAGATGTAAATTAAAATTCAAATACTGATTTTTACTTGATTCATGTCATGAATCCAATTCCATTTTGTAGCGATTGGCGCTGAAGCATGTTTAGAAAAATATGTTGGATGTGTGAACACAAAACAACATAGAAAATAGAAAACTTTGTAACCATAGATTTTCTATGTGCATGAATAAAACACCGAAAGAAGAGAATCCCATATTTCCTGATAAGCAAAAAGTATGTAACAATCCCTTTTTTTTTAAATAAAAAAATTATCACAAAATCAAGCTATAGAAATTCAGTCTCATTTGGCCCATAATGTATTACATATAATCAACAAATATGTATCAAGCTAAGTGGGATCTTCCCCAATACAGGGGAAGGGGATATACTCCAATGCTCTGGATTGCACCTTGAAAACACTTATCCGTTGATGGCGGCCGAGTTGTTGTGTGAATAACTTTTTGGCTTCTGTAACAATCTGGATTGCACCTATATGATGGCATAGTTAACGGCCCTGTCTGCTTCTAATCAATGCGTGATTAGAAGCGTGTTATTTTCATGCGTAAGGACTAGGAGTAAATGATAATTTATCTTAGCGTGCATCTCCTCGTACATGGGTAATTATTTCATTGAGCGCGTAATACGTGTTCCCACACATATTTTGTGACTTTTCACCAACTTATATATTTTGGGCTAGAATGATACATAATTTATACTATTATATAGTGGTGAGAGTTGAAATGTTAGAAATTTTCTTTTGGTATGGTAAGTAAAATAACCGTTCCAAACAAATACATGCATAACCCAGTTTACAAAAGTGATGTATTATGAGTTACATTGTCAAAGCATAAAGTATTAACGTTGATTTTTACAGGTTCCTGAAAACGTCAAAGAGAAAGAGAAATTGGTTGTAACTTCCATGAAACTTCCTACATTTACTTACTCTGAAGGGGTTAGGAGAACATTGGTTTTAATGTTGTCGTATCATGGAGTTGAGTTTGTCGGAAATGTGCCAAATTATACCATGTAATTGTTGGAAACTTAATATATTGAGAAATTTGATTGAGGGATCCTTCAAATTTGAGGGACACTCTTGTAGGGCTCGTTCTGCATTGTATTTTACTAATCAAACTGCCTATTTTATAGATATTCATTTAAAGATCATCAAACCAAAAATGACTTGATATCTTTTGACCGCTCAATTAAATTATTGAAGTTTAAATGCTTTCTTCAAGTATCATATTCATTGATTTTGTTGGTCCCAATTAGATGCCTTAATGATTTTCAATTTGCATGATTTTTTTTATAAGGGTGATCTCTAAATGAGGATGTGAAAAATAGATGGTTTAGATTGTTGAAAACAACTTCGTACGGGACCCTAAAAGATGTCTCTTAGATAAAATCATTTAAAAAATCTCTCAATAGAATGGGACTATATATGCTTAATTTCATTGAAATATCCAAAGACTTGCTATATTATTCTAGATCTAGTTAATCTGTAGGAAATATCCAAACACTTACTATATTATTCTAGATCTAGTTAATCTTTGGACTAGTACGTGTACGCGGTTACTCTTTCTTTGTCAAATATGAGCTCAATATTTGTGACGATTAATTAGGTTAATAATACAAAAAACGTCAATGCATCCACACAACAAATTCATCCATCACTCGGTTATTTGAAACTTCACATCATTTCCTGTGAACGAATTGATACCTTATCTGACAATAGTCTTGTGTGAACGTGTTTACACTATTGTTATTACAGAACAAAAACAAAAAAGGACAGGTTTCATCAATTGATCCAAGACACAACACAAATCCAGGAAGAAAATATCTTCCTCAAGTATGTATTCTCAAAATATCTTCGTTTAGTTTTTCTGGCATATTATTTTTTTATTAATCAATGGATCAATGGTTGATGGAGCTTCGAATTTGGAATATCTTCCAATTTCAAGAAGAAAGTTATCACTAACTAAAAACTAGTTTTTATATATAATTTTTATATCTTCTAATTTCAAATTTTGGCATTCATAAATCACACCTCAAGGGATAGGAAAAATACCCACAAAGGGTTACAATCAATATGGAGGGATCCAATGACAACATCAAACTCATACGATCAGGACCGACTCTGACTTCTAAGTAGCCCAAGGCCAACAATTAAAATGAGGCCCTCAATTTGCCTTTGTAAATCATAATTTAAAAAGAAAAAAAAATTCTACACAATAATTGTACAAACCACAAGGGACCCTCCTTTTTTCTTTTTGGGATAAATATAGTAGTTTAATTGCATATTTGTTGTTCCAAAATAAATTAATAATTTTTAAATGTGAGCCCTTATATTGTTAAATATTTGAAATTATTTTTATTTGGGCTCTTAATTTTGAACTCTCCAAAAATCACTTTTAATTGGGTCCTCTTGGTCTAGGGCCCTAGGCCGTCACCCTCGGTGCCCATGTCTAGGGTCAGCTCTACATACGGTATACATCCACTCAGAGACACACAAAGGGTCAGGACAACCAAAAGCTAGTTGGTAACCTACTCTTTATTAAGTTTTTGTAAATCAAGAAACTTTTATTTTTTAATACAATAGACAGTCCAAATTACAAGGGGAAGGGAGTGTTTCTCTCTCTTACACACACACTATAATGGGGTTCAAACATGAGACCACTACTCTACTGCAAGTCAAGGTCATTTTCCACTGAGTAGACCTCGTGGTGTAAATCGAGAAACTTTAATGTACATATTTACAAGGAATTAAGCTTATTGGCTCCAAAATTTTAATCAATCTTTCATCATTGTTCTGTTTATCTATAATTATTTGGTTCATTTAAGCAAATACTTTTCTAGAAAATGCTTTTACTCCATAACTTTTTTTCATAATCACAAAAAAAGTAGAATTTTTATAGAAATGTCACCTAGACTTATACACCAATTTTAATTTGTCACCTTAAAGAAAACTTAATTTTTCAAAATCCATTATTTGTCATCTGACTTTAACACCATCCAATTTTTCATGTCACCTAGTCTTCGGCAGCAACGACGAGGCCTAGAATTCCATGAAACTCGCAGGTCCAAGTCTACTGCTTCCGGTGCTAGTGGCAGTGTTGCGAGAAGCAAGGGGAATGGCATTCTCGGAGCTAGGAAGTTCCGGAGGAACTATAGTTCGCTCATCGGCGGCTCGCCGGCATCGTCTTAGAGGGCTTGTTCCAGCATTTGCTATTCCAGCACTAAAGAATCCGATGGTGTGGTTGGTGTCGCAAAAAGACACCAAGATAGTCCTCAATCGAGCTTGGCCGTGACCTCCAAATTTCCTAGTGCTGCGCCAGCCAGTTTTCGGCATCGTCTCGGAGGACTCGTTTCGACGTTTGATGTTTGGACGTTGACGACTCCGATAGCAATGGCTGAGTGGTCAGGAGACGAGCAGAAGTCATCGATTCTTGAATGGTAGTTGCTATGGAGAATTTACCACCGCTTGGGGCTGGTTTCCAGTGGCTGGCGTCAGCGTGACTCCTCGGTCTTGGAGGTCGTTGACCTCTGGTGATGGCAGGAAAGGTTACGTCTCTGGCGGTGGCTCTGTGGTCGTGTTGGCGATGAGGCATTAACTTGCATCATGATTTTTTTCTTCTCATTTTGTCGTTGTTTTGGTTTTCCCCTATTGAGCTTGTCGTGTTCCTCGCAGTGGGGCCTCTCACCATGGTGATTTGAGGGCTTTGGATCGATGATGGAATTGATTAACGAAGGGGGAAACAGATTTCCCTTGATTCGGATATGAGAGCGTCACATTGAGTATATCTCGAATCTCTCAATGAAAGCACTAAAATGTTTGAGAAAATTTCTGCACCGGGAATATTCGTGGGTTGATCCTTCACCCTTCGAGCTTTCTTCTCTCTCCTTTTCCTCGATCCATGCGAAAAATACCGGAGTAAATAAACCACACCCGGTGGGTGTTGGCCAAAGACCCTCTGATGCCTAAGTCAATTAATTTGGATCTTGAGAAAGATACAAAAAAAGTAACATAAAGAATGGAGGTCTTATCTCACGGGGAGAGCCAGGTGGCAGGAGCCGTGAAGGAGAGAGTAGCGTGAGAGAGAGGGAATTTCTAGGGTAGAAATCGGATTACCTCGTATGTGTGATATAACCATGTATTTATAGTGCTATTGCATTCTCCCTTAAATGGAGAGATTGGATCAATCATGGAGATTTAATGAAAATCAAATCCCTAATTTATGGTAATATTCCTATTTGAAGTCTAAACAATTAGCCAATTAAATGGAGCACAATTATTGACCTAAAGAATATTCTTATTATCTACATGAAGCCTCATAATTGGTTGCCAAAATATGCGTTCCTATAACATCCCTAACCGATATGTCAAATTGCAACGAATTTGATATATGAATCAGCCACTGGACAGTAAAGGCCATACTTTACTTGTGATATATTTGATTATGATGCGTGAATTGGCCATATATATGTATGCATGGCATTTAAGCTGACAACAACGATTGCCTCGGGACAAAAAAACAAGTGGTGCCTACTGCCTTTGCAATATCAGGCCGCCGCCATAATTGCCTCGGGACATTTGTATTTAGTGTATTGTTTTTTTGCAAGAGTTAAATCGAGGAATTCATCTTTCTCTACTCTGAAATACTCGAAAACTCGAATATTATAAATTGATTGTGTTCTCATTCAATAGAAATTCACCCCGTAAGTCTACCAGCTTAAATGCCTGTGAAAAATGTGTGGTAGGGGTAGTACTAGTATTCTTACCAGGTAGCCCCAATTGGTGCCATGTATGTAGGTTTTGTTGTGGGTTGGCTCATGAAAATCATAAAGATCTGGTTGGTTAATAAATTTTAGATTTGAAATTGGAAGGGGATTGAAGGTGTAGTTAAGTGTGGTGGACCAATGAAGGTCGTTGAAGTGGGTGGGGTTAAGATTCCAAAAGAAATGAAAGATGATGAGATGACATAAGATGAGGTTGGGCATGTGGCCTGATATGTATAAATATTACAATATAATATGTACAAGTACAAGTTGGTTTTCTCATACAAGGAGAAGATATGGGAGATAGCTACCTATATGCAGCCATATATGGTGGAGGCTGATGATTGGTGGGTGAAGCCAGCGAACCCCCATGTTTTCATGCAACAAATCAGCTAGGCTGAATAGGGGTAGCTAGGTTTTCCAATTGGGTCAAATATTGTATAAAAATATATCAGTTTTGAAGAAGAGAGAAGAATATGCTGCTGTTTGATTTGAAATTTTGTTGCTTTACACAAAATATATGCTATTTTATTATGGAAAATACTTCCTTCCTTATCATGTAAGTATGAGCTTTTACATCATTGTCAATAGAAGTGTGACGTGTGTACAAGTTTATGAATTATTTATGCATATATGTCAAACTGTGATTTACATGAAGGAATTGTATTTCCGTATGGAGAATGAGGAAAGCAGTATCGTTTTATTATTTCACCGGTGAAAAAAGAAATTAATAAAATAAAAAACATATATATATATCTTGTCTAAAAGTGTAAAGTGCAAACAAGCCAAGAAAGCCAAAAAAGGGCGGTTAAAGTTGCCTGCAAGAATGAAAATCCAACGGACGCTTTGCTTTGAATGGAAAGGAAGTGTGTATATTTCCGGGATGAAAATCTGCAAAGCAAATAATATTATTGGAATATTGTTGTGCAATTCATCTGTTTCTGTGGTTGATGATCACATGAATAATATGGATCATGACTCATGAGCCTTTCTTTTTCCCATAATCCCATAATCCCATTCCAATAATAATAACCGACGGATGCCTTAAGTTATGAAGCATGCATTGCTGAATGTTATTATTATCTCTCCATCTCCCTTTTCTTCTTCTGTTGGACTTTTAGCCAAAATTATTATTACATGAAAAGAAAGCATGCATGACGCCATATTCATATGCAGCATGCAAATCTAGCCAACCTACCACTTCAATTTTAACTATATGAAGGGGTCGATCGCATGCGTATAAAGAAAATAAACCAACGAATAATTTATTTCCTCTTTTTTCTTTCTTCGGGATTGTTTTGAAATGAAATGAGCTTTTTATGGTGGTGAAGAGCATCAGCTGCTTGTGTACTTTGAGGGAACCATTCACGTGATTCTAGCTCTTAATTATTCCTTTCATATATCCTTTTACCTACTATTATTGTACTAGCTAGGTATTATGTATACTACTCTTTCTTTTATCAAAATTATTCGATACAAAGAACCAACTAACGTAGTGGTTTGGAGTAATTGCTCCTTACGAAAAGTTCTGGATTCGAATCCTAGCATCTGTGTAGCGTGCGTGAGATTAGTATGTGTTATTGTCTTACTTAATGGGAAAGGTCCTTACAAAAATAAATATTCCACAACAATTTATAAGACATAAGAAATCAAAAAAGATTTCAAAGCTTCTGATTGAGAATTAATATTTCATATATATATATATATATATATCAGAATGAGATGATAAATATCAAAATAATTTTGGACTAGGTCCAAGAATACTGTTCAATCAAAGATCACCTCCTCTTGTGTACCACAAATTTAACAAATTTGAATGCAGGAGGAGGAGGAAAGCCAGTTAACAAATTTAAAAACCATGAATTACACACACACACACACACATATATATATATATATATATATATATATAATATTTGATAATGAAAAAGAAAATAAAGATTTACATGAGGTTCACAATAATCATGAAATCTCGCTTTTCGGTATCTAAAAAGGAAAGAATGTAAATCTGAAGAATTAAGATCAATATCTGGAAACCATGAAATTAAAGTAGTATACAGTATTCGTGTATGCAACAAACTTTTCTGACGCCTAATTAATCACCTATACCAGATTAAGAAACAAAGGGAAAAAAAACCCCATTAATCCTAAATTAGACAAACAAACAAACAGGCGCCAGTCTAGCTATAGTTTTTGAGTTGGATGAATGTTCTCAGAAGTCCCACAAGCCTTCAATGTCCGAAATGGGGACGACTGATGGACGTTGATCATACGATGAACAATTGTTGGCGGCGCTTCCCAATTCTTGCTTTGATGAAACAAGAGATGACGATATCTCGGTGGTGTTGATGTCCGTGCTGATACCGGTGTCTTGGGAGAGGCTAAACATGGACTGTGGTGCCGATGAAAACTGCTCCACTTTGCACTGCCTCTCTAAGCCACCTGATGATCCAAAGCCTGCAGCAGCTGATGAAGATGTTTCATTATTCATACTGCTGTTGTTGTTGGCTGCAGCTATTGCTCTTAGCATGGCCTGATCATCTTCATCATGATCACTAGTAGTATTATTAGTAACTCTGATCATGCCTTGTTGAAAATAATCGGAATTATTGGGATTTGGCTGAAACCAGACACTCGAAGGATTTGGATTTGGATTTGGATTTTGAAACTGATGGTGATGAGGGTATAACATATTGGGGTTACTGAGACTAGTAGCTTGGTAATAACTGTTGGTAGGCTGCACCTGAAAGCTGTAATTTGGCTTCTGGACTTGACCCCCGGAGCCACCAATCGAAAAGTAACTGAGGTAATTATTGCTATTAATTGCATGATGATCATCTGATGATGACGCTTTAGCTGATGATAGAGATGGTGCAGTACTAGCCAGATTGGTGCCGGGCTTTACGTCATGATCTCCATAGCCACAAGCCTTGTTGTCGTTGTTGTTCATGATGTTGTTATTGAAACTAGTAGGATCCATAAGAGGGGGGAGGGAGGAATAATCCAAGAGATCATGATCCCCAAAAGAGTTCATCCTGGTTGGTGTATTATTGGTCTTTTTGAGCCCCATGTTCTTGTGGAAAACCCTGCACACAACCCATTCATCCTGCGCAGCACAGCAAATAATAATTAAACTCTATTATTAATTGATAATTAACTTGCAATAAAAGAGAAAAGGAAGAAAAAAAGACCTGGCCCCTACCCCCAATGAAAGGAAAATCTCAACTAACAAAAGAAAAGTAGCCAAAAAAAGGGGAAAAGAAAAAAAAGAGAAGAAGCTCGGCATGATGATTTAATTTAAGGTTACCTTTGCAGCCTTGGAAAGATTGGTGTACTGTGAGATTTTGCCTTCAAGTCTGTATTCATGCATGACCCAGTTGGTCTTCTCTCCTTTTGGGGCTCTCCCTCTGTAGAACACAAGCGTCTTCTTCATCCCAACAAGACAACCAGCTTTCCCTTTATTATTGAAGATCTCTTTGTCTTTCCCTGTGGCCTTCCAGTACCCAGAATCCGTGGCCCGATTCGTTCTCATCCCCGTTGGATACTTGCGGTCTCTCTGGCAGAAGAAGTACCACTCCTTCTCTCCCATCTTGGCTTTCTCTGCGCATCAATCAAACCGTTGACTAGAGAGATTAAGAAGAGTAATTCAAAAATATAAACTCAGGAGGAAAAATATTTAAAATTAATTGCTACTCACTTGGCAAATCCCATGGCTCACACTTGTTCAAATCAGCTTCCCCGATTGCAATAGCCACGAAGCTGCTGTCGATGACCTTCTCCGTGAGATAGCTAGTTATGATTTCCTCATCCGTGGGATGAAACCGAAAACCCGGAGGCAACTCGATGAGCTGATCTTCTGCTCCTCTGTTCACCACCATGTCTTGTTCCATCGATCCAATATATAATTGAACAACAAGTATTCTCTTCTTCTCTCTAAACCCAACAAACAATTTCAGCTGGCGAATTAAGCTGCTATATGTATGTATCAGAAACGAACACAAGAAAGGAAAGAGAAAGTTATTGATGAATCTGAGAGAGAGAGAGAGAGAGAGAGAGAGAAGAAGAAGAAGAAGAAGAAGAAGAAGAAAGGGTAAGAGAGCAGTTAAGAAAGTAGAACAAATGGGAAAAGGAGGCTTAAATAGAAACCAGTTTCTTCATCAAAACAGCTCACAATCTCAAGATCCGTGGTCCGCAAGGCACTTACTGAGGAAGCCACATAATTTTTTATTAATTTCCCTTCTCTCATCATTATTCTATTACTGTTTTTGTTTTTGTTTTCTCTGATTTCTTTATTTTCTGTCGCGTCTGTGTGCTTTCTCAACTCTATCTACCTGTTTGAAAAAGAAAGCGCCCAAATTAAAAAATAAAAATTAATATAATATAATATAAGAAAAAAGGAGCTTTCTATGTTGGAGGGACCCATGTTTCCTTGCGTACCACCACCCTTTCACACTCGCTATTAATTTTTATTATTATTTAATTAAATTGAAGCTTCGATGAATAGTTGAATCTGTAACCTCTTTTAGAATTTTCATTGCATGTTCCAATCAGTTAAAATCTTTCCAAAAAGTCTCTGTTCAAAGCTCTGGAAAAGGTTCACATCTTTCCTCCTCTTCATGCCTCAATATACATTCATGAATCTATATATATTTATTTATTTATTTATATACCTGCTAGCCTGCTGTATAAGTTTTTTTTTCTTTGATTCTCATCCTTAATTATGAATTTGTCAAATAAATTAAATACTTAATTATAATTAGGAGGGGCTCATTGGCTTACTGGCTTGGCTAGCTCATGAGCTGCTTTCTGTTTCTCTTGCTGCTTCAAAGTATAATGTTAAAATGTTAAATGTGTTTTTCATCCGTAACCATGTGTAGTGTGTGTGAGTTTAGTATATTATCACTCCTTTCAATAGGAAAGGTCCTCAAAAAAACAAAAAAATCTTAACTATGTGGCCCACCACTAACCACATCGATATTGTCCCTAACTCAACCACATGTTTAGCATGTGTGGAATTTTATACAAAGAGCCTCAATATTATTAGGAGTGGAACCACTTATTATAAGTTGTAATTTATTTAGTCAAGTTTTCGATGTGAGACTCTATATTCTTCAACACTCCTTATCATGTGGGACCATTTTTTAGTGGGCCACACATCCAACCAATTCCACATTGGTCACTTTAAAAAAATTATGTTATTACCGTACAGACATCATATATTTTCTATTAATAATTTATATGCATAATATGCTGAAATTAATAATTTAAATGCATGGTTCCGTTCCCGCAAAAAAGGCAAAGCAGGAAATTACTACCCTTTAGAGCGAATCTAGGGAGGGACCTCACAAACCCATAAGTCAAAAGCACCAGAAAAAAAAACACGAATTTTCCCAGAATTTTCCAAGTTATTAATAGCTGGCGTTGTGGAACCATGATCGACCAGAATGAATGAATGAATATATGTGTAATATAAGACTTTATTGAAGCAATAAAGCTTTGCCAACTTTTTTTCAAGTTTCTTTTCTGTGTGTAAATAATTTGTAAAAATAATAATTAATTAGGGAGAATATTATTGAGGGTATTTTTCATTGTTGAAACTACTCTGCAGCTTCCAAGCAGCTTCAATGAAATAAAAATAAAAATATATATTATAAGTATCCCTTCCCCACTAATTGAAGCTATCAAAAGTGTGTTATTAAATCGTAGCATTTTAAATGGAATGGGCTCACTTTAATTTGGGAGGTCATATCGCGTAGAAGTGTGCAAAAAGGACCTCAACCTCAACTTCGCAAGTACCTCATTTGGCCTTTGGAACTTAAGGGAGACAAGTACCTCAAACTAAAACCATTTCATCTAATGGCTTTAGGTCCTCTTGGAATGTCTCTTAGGTTTAGATAAAAGTAAAAATATGAAGAATAAAATAAAAGCTTTTCATGATCGAGTAATTTTATTTGAAATTTATGACTCTGAAATGTTGAAAGGGTTGTGGTTCTCTCCTATGTGTAAAGGTGCTCATCTAGTCATCTATGTCACTGTCCTATTCTTTCACTCTTCATTTTTCTTCAATAATTCATCACTTCTTCCGAATTCGAATATCCATCCCCGTAGTTTAAATTATATTAAATTTGAATATCGTTTGTGTAAAAAATAGTTTATGACTTATTCTTAAAAATAAAAGAAATTGAAATGAACATTACGGCCGCCGACAAAGAAAATCAGCCTTTAATCTATAACTGGTGGATTAATTTATAATTAGAAATATGATTATGAATGAATGAATCATATTATTTAAGTATTTTTATAATTAACAGTAATTAATGGATTAATACCAGACAAAGGAGATAGGGGCCAACGAAATCCATCCCTCACCCCGACGTGTTGACATTCTCTCATGTTGAATTTTTGATGTTTCATACATAGTTGAGCTGGATATAAAAATATCATAATTAAATTAAGATCATAATTAAGAAGAACTAAGCTAAAAGTAATCAATTCCGTAATCAACATTGAGTCATCACCTCCCCAAAACAAAACCCAAGAATTGTATTGTATTCAAAAATAATTATTAGAAAAATGGTACAAAGACGGAAAAAACGGAATTAATTCCGGTGGGAGATATAATAATTTAATGACAACCGAAGAAATATTCAAGAGAAACGCGTGGACCCACCTAACCATTCGATGCCACCTTCGCACAATAGGAACTAGTAGGGCAATTGGAATATTTTGGGATTTTATTCGGAATATTGGATTGGAATACAAGCTAGTCGAGTCTAGCCTTGAGAGAAACTGTTAGCTAGCTTCATACTCTCTCTCTCTCTCTCTCTCTCTCTCTCTCTTCTTACACAACACAACACAACTGTTGACTTTTCTACAACGATACTGCAAAGCAATAGATAGATTAAACAACCCTTTCCTCTCCCACCATTTAGCTGACATTTTCTGACGACACAGAACACCTCATCTCTCTCTCTCTCTCTCTCTCTCTGCCATCAATATATACATGATAGATAGATACTATACGTACATTTCATGGTCCACAATGTTAATTCCTATAATTTTCTTTTATATAAAGATGCAATTTGAATTTGTTTTGTTATGAACATGACTCATTCACGTTCTTCCCACTCTCGGATCCATCATATTATATATTATTTATGTTATATATATATACATGTTTAATTATAAATTAACATATGAGAATGTTCTGACGTTATTATCGTGCAAATACCATGTATTTTCTACTATCTCTTCTTGATTTTTCTCTCTATTTACAATGACATCCGTACAATAATAACATGCAAACATCCGAATCGGAGTTTAATATCCAATATTTATCCACCACCTTAAAAGTGAATCCATGTTGTAGTATTAACAATCATTCCAACAATTTCAATGAGGAGATCATGATGTATGTTGTTAACAATAAGATATATGTAGTTATCATGATAATTTTTCATATAAAACATCATCCTCCAAGTGACAAGAGGTTAGCTAATAATTATAGAGAGAGAGAGATATATATGAATATTTGTTTCTTTTTTTGTTTTGTTACTCTGCAATCTCTGCTTTATTAAAGAGGAATTTCATAGACAAACAACTTTTGAATCAGAAAAGACATATGGAACCAAAACTTAAACTTACTTAAGCAACACCACTATGTATTTATATACATTAGGGACAAACCCTTGTTTTGTTTTCTTTGTTTCTAACAAGATGATACAGGATAACTTGAGATTTGAGAATTCACATGATGGGACCATCACCATGGGCAATCTTAATCCTTAATCTTTTATAATATTTATAGTTTTTTCTTTTTTGTGCATGATTAGCCAAGTGGGATCTGCATAAGCATCATCACCTATATATATATATATATATATATATATATATTAAAGGGATCTGTAATGAATTTCATCAATTATGGAAAATGTAAGCTCCAGCATCAGCAGTGGGGCCCCTTACCATTCCCCTTAAGGCATCACCAGCCAGCCATCCTAATATAAATATCCTAGTGATATACATATATAACTGTTTGTTTCATGGGCTGAGACAGTTGGCTGGCCCCATCACTCAGACAAATAGGGGAATGACCAATCCCATCCCCCTTGAAAGGGAAACAAATTTAAAAAGCCAACTTAGTTTGGATTGTTGGATTAAGAGATAAGGCCTTTTTTTGTCATCTAATTTTTTTATTATTAATTGCTAATTAAGTATTTAAAGTGGGTATTTGATTCACTACCGGTCAATAATCAATACTGACTTTTTCTTTTTGGTATGTATAGTCAATAGTCAGACCTTTTTAGGCTAACCTCCCCCAACTCTCTCTCTCTCTCTCTCTCTCTCTCTGTCTCTCTCTCAACGTACTACAATGTACATGTATATGCCTAACTGCCCCAACTAGATCAAACTAACGGACTAGAACATCAAGAAAACTGTTAGCGTTTCTCTCTATGACTTAATTCCTAGGTAATACTTGCTCTGGGTTTCAAATTTTTTAAGCTCTTGATGATTCAGCTGGTGGAATATGAGCAAGGACTTGATGCACAACATAACATCATGTATCACATAAAATTCAGTGTGAGGGTGACATTGACAATGTCAAAATAATAAAAAGGGTATTAAAAAGAAAAGTAACAACATCTCCAACAACTAAACTCTTCAAATTGTACACTTTGTTGACTTATGTGGCTATTGGAAGAGTCAAATTTGCTACTTTAATATTTTGAACGCCTTCAATTTCATTAATGTATTGTTGAACTACTAAAAATTATCATTTCTCGCCAACGGGGTCTAGCTAAGAGTCATCATTTGGCTTGCCGGTTAAAGTGGGTAGTCCGAGGCTGGATGGGCCAAAATATGACCCTGCTCAATGGTTAGGCGCTCTTGGCCTGGCCCATTATAAGGTTGTGTAGGGCTTGGGCTTAGGTTTTGAAACCTCCGGCCCGCTCTTGGGCCTACCCGACAAGGTTGAGTAGGGCCTGGACTTATGTTAGCCTTACATAACTGTTAAACAATACTACAGATTACTACATATCATAACTTGAAAAAATGTTTTCTCTCAAAATTTGACTAAGTAAAATAGACTTTTGAAATACTAATGTTTTCAATGATATTTTTGGCGGTTTATATTCCTTACAACTTAAATAATCAAACACGATTTTACGAGATTTTAGTATAAAGTATACATTGACTTATTGAGGTATCAATATTGGTATAAACTGTATCTTATACTAAAACTGGATTTTCATATTTTTGATTTGTTGGGAATTTGATTTTCTAGTCCTTATTTACATTGTAAACTTAAGTAAATGTTTTGTCTTTTTATTTTATTTTTATATTACTCCATTTACTTAAATGTTTAGAATGGAAATAAGGCAAAATATAAAATAAAATAATAAAAAAGGCAATGGGCGCCTCGGCTCGGTCCAAAAAATAAAAAAGCCCATGAAGGCTCGCCCCAAACCCAAAACTTTCAGGTCGGGCCAGGCCGGCCCAATGACGAACCTTAGGTCTAGCATAATGGAAAAAGACCTTGACTTGTAGACCAAAGGTCTCAGGTTAGAATCCCCACGACATCATAGTTGTGTATGTGAGAAATTTCCCTCTCCTGTAGTACACTATCGCTTGTACTAATTTTTTTAAAAATCATTTCTATGAAAAAAAAACTACTACTTTAAAATTATCAAACAGTAAATATAACTACGAATGTGATATTAAAACATGAAAATATATATATATATATATATATCACTCACCACACTACTAAGATTTGAGCCACTTGATGGTCTTGCATTGATTTATTCAAATATTCTGAGTTTTCCGAATTAGAATGGATATGGAAATTCCAAATTTTTTTAGAACGGAATTGGAATAGAATTTTCATTCAAAATTTTTTTGGATTTTAATTGGAATCCCTTGATACCGATCTGATATGTTTGAAAATCAGCCCTAATTACAGAGGTCAAACTTCTTCACTCATGTGGATGATTCCGGCGTTGCGGGCGTCACACTTACTCCTCCGTGGATTCATCACAGGACTTGGATACTAGTGAAGCCCAAGGCCTTTTCACAGTAAAGCCCAAGGCCTTTTCACATGCATTATATTCCAATATACCTCAGAAATCAGTCATTAGAATACCCGATGTTGCTTCGTTGGTCTTGGGTTCTTCCCACAATAAAAAATCAGATTTAGGAGAAGCCAAAATGCATGTTTTCCATGGATTTCAATATGATCGAAAACAGGCCACACCATCATATTTTGCAAAAAATGTAGCTGCAGGCCACACCATCATATTTCCCATGCCAAACGCAACAAAGTTGCATACAAAAAAGAAAAGTTTACTAACTGAAATGGGGTAAGTATGAAAAATCACTAGGTTCATTTCATGATATAATCGTTTATAATAAATAGGGGTGATTTGGTTCAATGTATGTAAGTGCTAATCTCGCTGCATCACCTTGCTTATGGTTGGATTAACTGAGAAACAGATTGGTTTAGGGGAGATTTAGCCAACCCAAGCACTGAAGCACATGCACTTGGGCATAAGGAGATTTACTATAGCCTGCCTGGTCAATAGACAAGTGCAATCTTTCACCACAAAGACAATAGCCAATTGCAATCACACATCAATAAATTTACGCATCGTTTACACGATACACTCAACCCATGCTTCTGTCATCTGTGATTGATACCAGAAGGTACAACCATAAGCTTCCTCAGTAAACAAACAAATAATGATGACAACCACAAAATTAAGGCATTTCAGAAATACTAGATTATAATGTCAATAAATTAAAAAATATACAACCAATCTTTTGTTTTTGATAGGTGACGCATTATACATACGAGCCACAGTTGTAGTAGTTGACAGTTGACACTATAATCACACCTTGATATTTTCACACATAATAAACATATAAACTCAAATCGCTCACCGTGAGAAATAGAAGTAGCCCTCCAAACTCAATACTTTTTTAAGTAGACAGTATCACGATAATGCATGGCACAACTGCTGCCAAAGTATCCTGCATTTAGCATCATTAAAGTAGGAATAAATTAGTTGATGGATATAACAAACAAAACACAAATTAGCAGCCGTTGAGACACTTGAGGCTAAAAAAATTAAAAGAATCTCATATTGCAACCATTAAACCTCTCTATTAGGACTCATGACTTATCAGAGATATAATATTGCTCAGGAAAATTATTGACAAGTCAAAACTTACAATAAGGTACAATCTTCCATCGCTGGTTATCTCCTTTGTTTTTATTCCACAGAACTATGATGGTGCCATCATGAACACCTCCAGATTTCTTATCACCATGAAAAGCATCCAGATTAAGGCGAATGTTATTAACCATCCTAAAAGTTCTGAAACCATCACCTAGGTCCGCACTCTCAGTCCATAGTATAGATTCATCAAGAATATCTGGATTATAAGGTATCAGCTGCACCTGCAGATGAAATGGGATAAATTTAATAAGAAATGTTGAAATTTTCATAGTATCTCTAGATTCTGCACAAAGAAATGCATAACTTAGAATCACATGCATTATACTTTACATATGTGTAAGTCTGGAAATAACATGGTTTTTTACTAGTCTCTCCACATGCATGTGGACATTGTGAAGAGACCTTTTTTACTGCGTATAAATTGATTATTTTTTCAGAATAGAAATTGTTATTTTCTAAGTTTCTAACTCATAGCAAAACATATTTTACAGTTGCACACTTCGTACCAATAAAAGATAAAAATATGTAGCAGGAAAAAAGAAACCCAAAAGAGATTGAATGTGAAATTCTGAAGATTTCAGTAGAACGGCCTCCACACCTGTTTGGCAGAGATTGAGAGACAAGGAACACTTAGATATTTTTGGACCAAGAAAGGAAGTTATTTTGCTATTAAGTTTCTTGATTTCTTCTAGTGGGTTTTGTTAACTAAGAGAACGTCGCTGGTGTTTCGCATTCCTTGTCCTTTTCTCTTTTTTTTTTCTTTTTCCTAGAACATTTTGCTCGGTTTTCTTGACCATTCTATTCTTTCTATATATAGATTTTCAGCTATAACTTTCTTCCTTGAGCCTTGGTGGGGTTTTTCAAAGTTTCACCAAATAGGGGCTCTTGCTTTATGTATCAGACATTAAATTTTAGATCAAATTTTGTAAATGGGGTGCAGATGAGACCTTAAATAAAAATTTTGTGTTTGGAGGAGGACATCATTGAAAACAGGCATTAAAAGGAGCACCCCCATGGGCATCTGGTTGAGACTTATTTTTCTCACCTCTGCATAATTTGTCCAAGTGGCTATTCATGGTGTAGGAAGAAAAGCTTAGCAATGACAAAAATAATACATTGAACCATATATGACCAGGTTTAGGAAGAAAGTTTGAGGGGATATAGACGCCAATCTTGTCAAGTATCTAGAAGAGTATAATAGATGTTTTTATCATTTCATTGGCAGAGTACAATGAAGAAATTAAAAGAGACAAAAGGTCTTTCAGTAACTTTTACTCACCCAGCCTCAAGAGTGGCATATATCAACTTTACCATCTCAAATTCCAACTTTGTAAAGAACTTAAGGGTCTGACTGATGTGAGCATGCCAACTAGCTCTTGGTCTAGTGCTCTCTTCCTTGGAAGAGGTCCCAAGTTCAAATCCCCCTTCCCCCAATATCAAAAAGGAACTGACTGACGTAGAATGATAAGGGAAATTTAAGGTGCTAAAGCAATTGAAGGTGCTGGAAATGTATCCATAACAAAGCAATAAGAAAGAGTATGGAAGTTACACAAAGTAAGTTGAACACAACTAGAATCACTACAGTTTAATTGGGAATCATTTCCAGCTAATCACTATAGTTTAATTTTTCCGAGAGATCAAAATTCCAGAACTAGTATGTGTGTGGGTGTGTTGTGGAGGCCTGATTGCTCTAGACCTCTAAATGTGTATAACTCTGGGGTCTGCTGCACCCTAGAACTCTTCTTGGCCTGCTTATAAACATTAAATGGAGGAGGCCTGATAGCCATCATGTGACATGATTGACATTATTGACAGTAAACAAAAACAAGAAGAAATTTATGGTCATGAACATCAAACATGAGATATATGACAGTAGAACAAAGCTAAGGATGCAATACATATGTTTCAGCGGTGTATACTTATATACAAAATAAAGCAACATCAAACATAATAAATGGAGTAAGGGAGATATGGGAGATAGAAGAAGGAACACATCTGAAGCTGTTTAACATGAAGGAAAGTTAACACGAAAATTATGTTTTAAGAGCTTTCGATACAAATATATAAAACATAAAGCAACATGAAACATGAGAAATGAAGTCAGAGGGTACAAGGCAGACAGGTAACAACAACATCTGAAACTTTTTAACATTTTGGAACATACGACAAGCAAACAAAATTGGTGCTTTCTAATTTCTAAAGGTTAACTCTGTTGTGTCAAAATACACACTCATCACCCAAACCATGTGAGAATAGCCTTCAAGTATAATAAAGACAAAGAAAAAGAAAACACATGTTTGGAAAACTTGTCCACAGCAACAAAAGAGGGAGATCGAAAATCTACTATTAAAAAAGGCTCATTCTCACACACTCACAATATCATAAGCCCCAGCACACCCAACCTCTCAACTCTCTTTAACTCTTACACTTTTACACACTATTTTTTATTTTTATTTTGCTACAACAATTTTACTCTCTTATTGGTATCTTCTCATACCCTTACACCCTTTTGGTTTTAGTTCTCTTGGGCACCACTCTCTCTTTATATTTGTCATCTTTGGCACAAAGACTATCCCTAGTCATTCCCTCCTTTGGCACAACTACCCTCCAACACATCCCCTCTCTCTCTCTCTTGGTGTTTCTCATCTTTGGCAAGGCTACTATCTTACTCATGACCCTCTGAGGCAACACTCTCTATGGTCGTGGTCACTCTCTTAATGCAGCACACCTTCAAACATACCCTAAAAATCCTTGTCAAGAGTAAATCAATTAGAAGTACAAAGAGATATGGAAAAACATGAGGAAACTTTCTTTTTTTAAGAGAAAATGAAACTTCTGCAATAATACGTATAACAGGATAAACTAGGAGGTTTTGAATCTAAAATGATCTTCATGTGGAATAACAAGTCCCGCTACACATATACATACATATATGAAATGCTGAAGTGTAACTATTGAATTCTGTCCAAGTTCTGGAAAGGGAAACCAAACACTCTTCACTTCTCCCTTTTTTCTAAAAGCAAACCCTAAAGCTAATGTATTTTGTTTCCAAAATCACACAGAAATTTTAAAAAGCAGTATGTTGACAAATTAACATTGAAACAAATGAACTTCAAGCTGAGAATGCAAATAAGCAACTGCATTTTCTCTGATGTATGGAACAAACTGTGCAGATTAAAAAACTTATTACTTCCTAGCACTCCAAATTAAAATCTTAATCATGGGGAGTAAGAATCTTACAGGATGAGTGGCTCCAATGGAATGCTTGAGAGCCTGCCCGGTGGCTTTGTTAACCAGAGCAAAGGACGGGAAGCGCTCTTCATCCTTCACACTTGTGCTGTACTTCTCATCTTTGTACCAGTGCTGCAACCCAATCAAACAAACGCATACCATAATTAAGAGAAATTAGCAAACCCATTGGTGGAAAGTAGCAAATAAATCAAATTGAGGGAGATGGGTAGTCACCTGGAAGTCATCGGTTTCATGGGAGCGGGCAAGAATGACCTTTCCCTCTGTGATGGCGAGAGAGAAATTGGGGTCAGCCTTTGTGAAGACTCTGAAAGTGGGTTTGTTTGAGAAGTAAGAGGAGGAGGCATGGGGATGGAAGGAGGGCAAATGAGAAGTGTGAGAAGTGTGATGGCTTTCAAATTGAGCAGGGGACTGTTGGTCATGGTGAACTTGATGAGCAACATGATGCACAGTAACAGGTGGAGTAGGTTCTTCAGATTGATAGTTGAAAGAGTGAACTGGGGGTGGTGGTTGGTGAAGAAAGCCTTGGGAGGGTGGAGGCGGATGACCATGGAAGGAAGAGTGGGACACGTGGCTCACTTGGGTAGGTGGAGGTCTATCTGCTTCTCCATAGTATGAATTTGGGGGTGGTTGATCTTCTCCATAGTATAAAGGTGGAGGTGGAGGTTGATCTGCTCCATAATAGGAAGGTGGAGGTTGATCTTCTCTATAGTATGAAGGTGGAGGTTGATCATCTCTGTAGTATGAAGGTGGAGGTGGAGGTTGATCAAAGCCAGTTCCTGGTGGTGGGTAATTCTGTCTTTCTTCATCATCATCCCTCTGATGATGACGGTGGTGGTGGTGCCTTTCATTTGGGAATTCCATTGCTGATTGCTCTGATCTTTGCTGTCAGGATTTTCTTTTTTATATGCTCACTTTTCGGTAGAGAGTTTTTTCATTAATAAAATTATAATTTTATTTAGTCCTTTCGTCCCCCACATCATTACTAACAACAACTTCCCAACTGTTCCTGTAATGCGGAACCACTCATAAGGCTACACTGGGCTGTAGCCCAGGTAGTTTTGTTGGATTTGAAGAATAAAAAACACGTATATAGCGGCCCACCACCAAATAAGGAAACTTTGGAATGGTTCCTCAGAGTCAGAGACGCGCCACGTACGCACGAATAAGTTTTACCCTCTCACCATCTGTTTTTGGCGAGGGACCCACATGATGGTTGTGTGCCCATGTTCTTCTACTCTCCAACAGACCCAGATTAATTTGGTTTTCTACGGCTAGATTTCAATTATTTTGGGAAACGTGAAGCTAATGGCTAAAATGACAAGAGGGGCAGATATTAAACAAAATGGCGTTCAAACCTAACGACAATTCTCAGTGGTGCAACAAAGAGTTTGATCCCAGGGCTCCAATACCACAAAATTTACATCACAAAATTCACATAGTCAGCCATGAAGTCTGGCTGTTGTTTAATGCAGGTTTTTAAACAAAAAAAAATCTATATTGCTTACCATAAACTACAACACATTAGGAAAAGGGTTTGGCTCCTGATATATCAGGAGCCATTCCTCCTAAACACATGATGTGGTTTCCTTAAAAAACGACACGTGTTTTTTTTTCACTGACTCTCTCTCTCTCTTCTCTCATCTCTCCGTATCCGTCTCTTTCCCTGCAACTCTTTAGAAGAAATTTTCAGCCCATTTATCTTCTCATCGGTGCCATCTTCCAGCGTCGGCATCAATGTCGACCACCATCTTCCATCTCCGCGTCACCTCCCCCTCCCCACATTCCCCGTTCTCTGTCCAATCACCCCTCCTCCATCATCACCATCACCCAATCACTCCTCCTCCATCATCATCACTCGAACACTATGTATTGATTTCTCTCCTTTTTAATTTTTAATTTTATTAAGTTATTTATTGGGGAGTTCTGGATATTTTGGGAATGGTGGAAGAACAAGGTAGAAGTTGGGGGAGAAAAATTTTCTCCGTCACTTTCTCTCTTCCAGATCTGAGTTGCAAGGAAAGAGATGGAGAGATGAGAGAAGAGAGAGCACGGGAGGAGAGGAGAGGCAAGTGGGTGAAAAGAGAGAAAAAAAGAGCGTGAAAGAAAAAAACATATGTCATTTTGTAAGAGGCCACATCTTGTGTTGAGGAGAAATGACTCTTGATATATCAAGAGCCAAGCATTGTCTTTAGGAAAATATTGTTCTATGATTGTATATATTGAAAAAAGAGTTGTTGACAATATCAATTTAGATACGTTAACAAAATATTTTAATTATCTCAAGAATTGTAGGGTGTTGAGACCCAAAAATCCAAGGGCTGGGCCCAGGTTTATTCCTAGCCCAGCACAAACAATTGATCGCAAAATGAGCCCAATTGGGACATAAGAGAACTTATAGGATGCACATGTGCGAGCCATGGGCCATGCGAAAGATTGCAGGCCCGCCACACGAAAGGGCCAAAACGCACCGGCTCTATAAATTCACGCTTACTAATCTATCCAATGCTACATTGTCCGATCATAGCTTATAGTGACACGATAAAACTCGAGCACAAGCATGCTAAATAAACACGCAATGCCATGTAAAGGACCATTATTCTAATGCCAAGCCGTGCTACAGGCTTAAGTGGGCCCAAGCCACATAATTACTCGGGGCTTGCTGAGAAGGTTGAGGGTTTGAGGAATGAAAGTTTTAGGCCACTTGGGAGCACTAAAACTCAAGCCTATTCCTCGGGCCCAAACACATGGGTTAGCATGAGACAGGGAAAAAAGAGATTCAATGCCCTAAGAGAACGTCTAATAGTCTGCTGCAACACTTAGACAAACCCACATAAGTAAAATGCCCAAAATAAAACAAATGGACTACTTCCAGTAGCTTGACAAAAACCCACTAGACGCTGGAAATAGAGTATCAATAACCCAATACTGTAAACAAAGCCCAGCCCAGCGCCTTGTAAAAATCTAGCATCGTATTCCACCCTTGTCAAAACTCCAAAAACAGTCAACGAGAAGCCATTGCCGGAACCAAAGGAAATCCATATGTGTAAGAGAAGTACCCATTGGACAAATGACTCCACCCATTCTCTTTTCCTCTGTGAGCTCTATTGTGAGAACCAAGGAAGAAAACAGGTGGTGCCTCACCCCTATGAGGGAGGTCTAGCCATACAAAAACCTTGGAACCCCAAAGAGCCTGTGACCCATGCGCTCTGGTTAAAGAGATTTTACCAGAAAAAAGTGAATGGAAAGAAGTAAAGGAAAAGTGGGAATGAAGGATCGATAGAATTAGGCTTCTAAGTGCCTATAAAAGGGAGCTTCCTCTACCAAGTGTAGGGGTATTTTCGTTCCAGCAGCTTGACGAATGGGCCTGGGCTACCGTAAGAAGGAAACGAACAAAAATTCCCAAGTGCCTGAGTTCGAAAACCAAGCCCCCGAAAGAGTTTTTGAAGAGTCTAATGAAACTTTAGAAAAAATCTTTTAGGTCATCTTCACTAATAGCCAAAAGACACAACAAATCGATAAATGACTTAGCTTGAGGAGCTTGCGGCGTGGGAGCTAAGCTTTCACAAGTTTAGCAATTTGAGAGAGAGAAAAGCATGAGTTTCTTACAGAGGACAAAAATTTAAACTGGGGCGGAGGAAAATTAGGAAGATTTTTATCTTAGAAAAAGAAGGAAACAACGGAGGAAGAGGATTGGGTGGCTTGAGTAAATTCCAGGTTGCTTGACAAAGCAGGCTTTGGATGATGATTTCGTTGGGTAGAAGAGGCCCTCTTTTGTAGGAGCGAAGAACCGTAATTTCATCTGGTCTTCTTCTTCCTTTTCCTTTGGTTGTTCCCCATTTATTCCTATTTTGGTGAAATTCTCCTACCCAAGGTGTATGGGTAAGGAACCCTTTGTGGCTCCTAGGGATTTGACACAGCTGGACCTCCCCCATAAGGGTGACGCACCACCTGCCTTTTTTCCCTCGTGACCGTTTTTAGGAGTTCTAATAGGAGTGGGACTTAGCGCCAAACTTTTGCAAGTTGCTGGGTTGGACTTGTACGCATGGTGTTGGGTTATAGGTCCATTATTTCCAGCGCGCGATAGGTTTTGTCAGACTGCTGGAAATGGCTTTGTTCTTTTAAGCATTCTATTGATATGGGCTGGGCTACTAGGTGACTTCCTAAACTTTTGGACCATTTTTTGCTCTTTCTCATGCTAACCCATGTATTTGGGTCCGAGGATTGAGCTCGAGAGTAGCCTAAAACCTTCACTCCTCGAACCCTCAATAGGCCCTGTGATTGCTCGTACCCATCCATACCACAACCTTCTCAGCAAGCCCTGGGTAATTTCATGGCTTGGGCCCACTTAAGCTTGTGGTATAGCTTGGTGCTAGAATAATGGTTCTTCTTGCATGGCGCCTATGCTTGTGCTTGAATTTTATTATTTCGTGATAAGTTATAATTGAGCCAAGTGACACCTAATGAGCATGTGAGCGTTTTGTAAAGTTTACATGTTCTTGGCCCTCTTGCATGTGCTTGCTTGGCATGATGTGTAGCCCGTAGTTTGTACTGGTGTGTCGTACAAGTTCTCCTTTGTACCGATTGAACCTCTTTTGCATTCAATTATTTGTGTTGGGCCAATAATTAACCTGAGCTTGGCCTCTTGGATTTTTGGGTCTCAACACCCAGCAAAAACCACAATCCAGAGCGTGACCAAGCTTTATCAAGCAACTGGAAATTTACTCAAGACACCCATCTTCTACTTCCATTGTTCTCTCTTCCTGAGATAGAAATCTTTCTAATTTTCCTTTTCCCCAGTTTGAAAATTTTCTCTATGTAAAAAGTTCATGCCTCTCTCTCTCTCTCTCTCTCTCTCTCTCTCTCTCTCTCTCTCTCTCTCTCTCTCTCTCAAATTGCTAAACTTGTGAAAGCTTAGTTCCCATGCCACAAGCTCCTCAAGCCAAGTCACTTATCAATTTGTTACGTTCATTTGGTTATTGGTGAAAAGAACCTAAAAGTGTTTTCTAAAGCTTCAACAAACTTTTCAAAACTTCTTTTGGGAGCATGGTTCTCAAACTCAGGCACTTGGGGAATTTTGTTTGTCTTCCTCTTACAGCAGTCTAAACCCATTCGTCAGGCTACTGGAACAAAAAGACCCCTACATATATTGGCGACTCTACTGGGGATCAGGCTGCCATTTTCACTAATGCCTTTTAAGAAGAAGACCAGGAGCAATACCATGGCTTCCCAAGATAACAAATAATTGGGCATACCTGAAATATTGGTTTTTTTTTTTTTGTTTTTTTTTGTTTTTTTTTGTTTTTGTTTTGTTTTTTTTTTTTTTTGTTTTTTTGTAGATATAAACATTGGTTGTGGTATCACATGTAACACTTCTCAAGCATTAACAACTAAAAGGCATTATCAATGCGGTCTAGCTAAGTGGTTTTGAGTTCAAACCCCCATGACATCTTGGTAGTATGTGTATGAGAGAAACTCCCCTCCCCCCCTTAGACTATTGCTTCTATTTATATTTTAAATAAAAATAAGAAATAAAAAAAAAGCGAAAAGGCACTAGTTTCATCCTCACCCTCATCTTCTTAATCATCGAGATGGTATGATTGTGAACACTGTAAACCTACTACCATAAGAGCATTTCCACTCATTTTCCATGGCAGAGGGAAAGCGGAGGCAGGGGCTATTACTATTCACTCAAATAGTGCTAGCCCTTGCAAAAGACAAGTTCTGTTTCCACCCATTTACATGGCAAATGGCAACTACTATTCACTTTAATTGATTTTTATTTTTTATACTTAAACTATTAATTTGGATAAAAAAATTTGTTGCCACGTGTCACTATTTACTATAAAATTCACATCTCATATTTCGAATAAGATTTTCGATTGCCATGTGTCCATATTTTTTTTATAAAATTCACATCTCGTATTTCGGATAATATTTTCGGTTTTCATGCATCCATATTTATTATAAAATTCACATCTCATATTTCGAATAACATTTTCAGTTGCTACAATTGTGTCACGTGTCATCTCTATCTTCTAAATCTCTCTATAGACCACAGCTTCAACTCAGACCTCTCACACCATATCCTCTCTATCATTTCATTTCTCATATTTTAGAAAACACATTCGACTCTCAATGTCTTACACGAGGAGGTTGTTGGAGAGGGCCGAGCGGGAAAATGAAGAAAGAATGCCCAATCGTGCTGAAGAAGAAGGGAGTGGGAAGAAGATGATGATCAAGTTACCATGGCAGAGGGTATGCTTGATCAATCAAGCCAACACCATCGTGGTTCACAACTCGGCCGTGGCCTAAACTTAGACAGACGTAGGCACTCTCGAGGTAAGAATCTCTTGGAAGATTACTTTATCCCAAATTTGTTGTACTCTAGTTTTGATTTTTGAGGGTGATATAAAATGCAGCCCCATTTGTTCAATAAAATCATGCATAATGTTTGCAATTACGACGCATATTTCGTTTAGAAGTACAATGTTACTGGGTTTTTGGGTCTTCTTCCAAAGTAAAAACTTACAACTTCTTTATGGATGCTGGTGTTTGGTGCATCTACAGACTAGGTGGATGAGATTGTTAGGATGGGAAAATCCACTAACCTAGAAAGCTTAGTTAGATTATGTGATGCAATCGAAACTATCTACACGAGGGATAACCTTCGCAAACCTATGCCTAGGGACCTCCAAAGGCTTCTTCAAAAAGCTGAGGCTCGAGGTTTCCTATGCATTATTGGAAGCATCGACTACATGCACTGGCAATTGAAGAATTTCCCAATTGCCTCGCAAAGGAGATTATGGGAATATGAAGGGCCAAAGAAGTATTATTCTAGAAGCCGTTGCATTACTCGATACCTGGGTTTGGGCATGCCTTTTTCGAAGTTAAGGGATCTCAAAATGACCTTAACGTCCTCGGTCAATCCCCAGTGTTCAATGATGTGTTGAGAGGTCAATCCCCCAGAACATGTATGAAATCAACAATACCATTTACTCGGGAAGGTACTACTTAGCAGACGAAATTTACCTGAGGTGGACGACATTGGTTAAAACAATTATACAACCCCAATCGGAGAAGGAAAAATACTTTGCTACTTATCAATAGGGTTATAGAAAATATGTGAAAAGGTGTTTTGGTATCCTACAAGCTCGGTGGGCAATCATTATGGGGGCTACTCATATGTTTGATGAAGAGGTGCTTTAGAGCATTATGGGTGCTGAGAGACAATCATGGTCAATGAAGTCAAGTTTAATGCTTAGTTTTGAATTATGTTTTGTTTTGAATTACGCTTTCTTTGTGTTTTGTAATGAATTATGCTTTGTTTTGATATATGCAATGTTTTGAATAAATAGCTATATTATTGAATACTTTCTTTATTCAATAAAAGACAAGCAATACAACAAACTAATAAATGACAACTCTATCAATACAACATAATGGTTTTTATCATTTAACCAATTCGTGTTGCTAGGTCCATCGTCACGGAAAAACATTTTTCTCATAACATCTCTTTTCAGGGGACATATGGCTCGTATCCATGACCATGGTTTCCCAATCCTTCTTGTCCATGTCTTGTTTGTGTGCGTACTCCCTTTCTCTTGCAAATGTTTCATCTCTTGCCCTTGTCAACCACATCTCTTTTCATGTCTCTCTCAATTCTCAGTGTTCTGTTGATAGCAATTTGCTCCAAAAATTTTGCACAGTCACTGGTCGAAGTGCTCATTCTCTTGGTCTTTGCTGCCTTTCTCTCAATAGGCCCCTGCTCCCTTTGGATTGGTGAGTCTTGATTCATCCGAAAGTCCAATGGGGAATCCGATGTTGATTTATTGTGGTGCAGCGTCTCATTCAACACAACGGTCAGACTCATGGGAATAATTTTGAATTTTGAACAATTTTATACAACTTCCCAACATTCGTCATTGTTGAAAGATTTTTTGCCTTGGCCAATGGCATCAAACCACATTTGTGCTTGCATAATCTGTAATAATAAAAATAAATTGGAAATGCAAGAAAATATCAAAAAATATGATATTAAATTTGATAGGACCCGACCCAAATTCCACTTTGGAATCTGAGTCAAACCATGTGCGTGTTTGACATCTAGCAGATGACGGGCACAAATGACCAAATTGCCCATCTAACTAAAAACCAAATTTACTTCAAGTTTGACTTATGCCTAAAATTTGACAGAGTCTCCCTTGTAAATGCTCGTTTCCCAAAAAAATTTCACCTGTACAATATGCAATTAAAATCTCCAATCATTCATCATGCATCAAGTCTACATTCCGACAATTCCAATATTAGAACTATATGGCCTTAGGCCTTACAGCAATTCTAGGACAATTTTCAGAGCAACTAATTCATAAATTTACAATGAAATAGTTCGGTTATAGAAGAAATCCTACATAATGGAAAGGATGAGTGAAGAGTGGTGACTGCCCTATGGTGGCCCTCTAGTACACGACTACTGCCTGGGGGCGCAAAACATTTAAAAATGTGAGTGGACAAAAATTAAGGTTTAGCAGATAGAATATGAACATACTAACCCCACTGTTAAAACATTTAGAAAACTCAATTAAATTCATATGCTATACTCGTACAAAAATCAATCATGCATATTTATATTTATATAACAATTCACACGTTTACACAAATCATCAAACCAGCTTAAAGCATTGAAAAATAAAGATTTCTTTTCCACCCAGGTGTACCCATCATATATCCGTCAATTCCTTAATCTTCCATTTAATTCTCACATTATACCATCAATTCCTCGTGTCACAATTTGTGACACGTCCTCGCAAGTCTAGGTAACACAAAGTCGACCCGAGTCGCAAACCTCACAGGACTCAGGGGACATTTAGTCAACCTGATCCGCATTCCTTGCTTCACACGGTCCGTATATCCCTAAGACTCATGGGGAAACTGTCAAACGCATTGACATAACCGAAGGCAACAATAATCTGAAGGCAACATAATAACCGAGGCAACATGGGTACCTGTGGTGGTTTAAAAACATTTCCTGAAAAATTATAAAACTATTCCTTAAATCATGTTACCATTATCCTTTCTACTTTCCAAGCCATTCTCATTTTAAATATAAACATAATATAACAAAGGTATTTGAATTCAAATATTTATGCTTGGAAAGTAATAGTCATAAATAATTCATACAAGATCAATTTATGAAATTCAATTGCATAAAATCCATTTATAAAACAAAAGTCCACTCATTAGGCATCCAAGCTAGCTTGACTCTTTGAGGGTCCCTCATGCGGGTCTGATGGTGCCCGAGTATCTATTTAAGCAATTAAAAATATTTAATTAATAAAATTGTTCAACATAATTATTTAATCCAAAACCCTAATCCCCGGCTTCTAAAATGCGTGCACTTAGTTTAAGACCATTCTTATGCCCACTTTAAACATCTCCAAACATTAGAACGGTCTGAAAAGACCTGAGACTCGATAAGCAATAAATTCTCAAAAAGGTCAACCAGGGACCCCGTGGGGTCCATGACCTCCAATCACCAATCCGAGAGTTCTTATAGGTTCCACACATTTTAATAAACCTGTCCTGCAAGTTTGTTCAGAATCGGACAATCGGATTGATCACGATCGGACAGTTATCGTTTAATTAAACTTCAAATTATTGAATTGGAATATACGGGACTCTGATTCACGATTTGTGAAATCCTACACGATCCTAGGAGTGCCTAGATCAACATATATTAAATTAGAGATGATCCAACGGTTTGAACATATCGAACCCGAATAACGCACAATAGGTGAAATCCGTTCAAGATTCAAACGATATCCAAATTGAAATCCGAGCACACCTACGGGCTCGTGACAACAAGGAGATCACATTGGAACACAATGCACCTCCGCTTCAGTGCCCATGGCCGCCACACGGGCTGGCAGTGCATGGGTGTCCTAAGCTATACCGGTGGCCTGAAAACTTCAAAACCGAGGTCCATCCTTCCTGCTATAGCTACTACTCGACGAGTGGAACACTTTCTTCAACTATGGAAACGTCCAATTCGGACAGCAAGTGGCTGTAATTTTGAATTGAAAACCGGCCAAACTTAAGGTTGCAGATCGGGTTACCTAGCCTAAAAATTGATCAAATCCCATCCAACCATCAGCTAGAGCTCGAAGAGTAGATGAGAATCCATACCTCACTTGTCGGAAATGGTGGCCGGAGGAGGGAGATAGAACGGATGGAAAATCGGGTGAAAACCGGCCTGAACTTTCGTGTTTTCTGGCTACTGGAGGAATGGACGATGGTGGTGAAGGGCTGGGGTAGGACGACTCGGTTGGGTGGTTGTTTTGGGACCGGTCTTGTGGCCGGTGGCTGCCGGATGGCCGTGAATCAAAGAGAGAGAGAGAATCGGGTCAGAGAGAGAGAGAGAGAGAGAGAGAGAGAGAGAGAGAGAGAGAGAGAGAGAGAGAGAGAGAGATGGAGGTTTTCTGATTTTTCTAAAACCAACTTCGAAATATTTACAAGTTTTCCATTAAACTATTTTTTATAGTAATTTCTTTGTTACGACTTCGATTCGAGCCCATTACTTGTCTACGGACTCGTCTCGACGTGCTCTACGCAACGGTTGAATTAAAATTTCCAAATTCCTTCCCGAGCAAAATTCTTTTACAAGAATAAATTAATAATTAAAAATCTAATTAGGATTGGGTTATGACAAAATTTAATAAAATGACAATTACGAATAATTTACCTCGTTGCCAAGATTTTGCCACTTCGAACGTTGTCCCTCGCTTTTGCCAATGCATCTCTCCATTTCCTTGACTCTTTATTCAAAATTTTCTACTTACTATCCAAGGCCATTTTCGTATGAGCTGAACCTGATCTTTCACAAAATTAGGCACGAATTTTTCTCCACATATGAGAGAACTTCATCTCATTGCCTGTGGACCTAACACTCACACAACAAAACATCTTCCATAGTTGTACACGACCCTCCGGTTTCAATGGAAGAGGTCATTTGTATTTTTATGTAAATGAAATTTTGTATTAGAAAATTTGGTGTGGAAAGTAAATAATATTGGAAGGAGAAGAATTTGTATGAAGATTTGGTGTGGAAAATGAATAATATTGGTAGGTATTTATAGAAAAAAATAATAATATTTTGGTATTTTTTACAAAAGATTTCAATTTTTTTACACAAAAAATTCGCAGCTGTTGGATTGGATCAGAAAGGAAGTGCCACGTGGCTTTTATTCGTTGGGGGAAAGTTTTGAATCTTCACGCGCCAATGGTAAAAAAAATTCAAAATCGTGCGCTGACATCACCAATCCTCAAGTAGGAGAATGGGTTGGATTTGCCTCGGGTCTTGCTCGAGCTGCTGGAGCGCGCTAAAAAAGTCTTCGCGGGCCTAGGCCCCCTCCTACGTGGTGGAAATGCTCTAAATCTTCTCTCTCAACAAATCTTGTGACACCTAATATGTTATTCTATTTAATAATTGTGTTTCATGATGCCAATCGTAAATTGGTCGTTTTACCAAGGTTAAAGTTTTTAATTGTTTATGATCAATAAGTTTTTCTTTAAATTTTTTTTATAGAAACGTGACGTCACCAATCCTCAAGTAGGAGAACAGGCTAGATTTGCCTTGGGTCTTGTCTGGGCTGCTGGAGCGCGCTAGAAACGTCTTCGCGGGCCTAGGCCCTCTCCTACGTGGTGGAAATGCTCTAAATCTTCTCCTCTCAACAAATCTTGTGACACCAAATATGTTATTCTATTTAATAATTGTGTTTCATGATGCCAATTGTAAATTGGTGGTTTTACCAAGGTTAAAGTTTTTAATTGTTTATTATTAATAAGTTTTTCTTTAAATTTTTTATAGAAGCGATATGGGGTAGGAACAAACCATACATATGACTAACCTAGGCCCATCCCACCCGAGCCCACCACCTACCCCATTTTGAAATCTTGGGTCCGTCCTTGATATGGGAGTTAGGGGGGATTGATGATCCACTTGGCGTTAGGGCGACAACCCTTGGGAGTTGTTGAAGATATCCTAGAATTATGTGAGTAAAGGTTTGATTGCTGGGTGTGATGTCGAAACAAAGAGGCAAAGTATGGAAGCAAGGGAGATGAGAGGCCAGTTGTGAGTAGGAATGGCCATTTCTGACGCGACCTAATTAACGACTCGAAACCCACACACAAAATTAGGTTTTTGTAGCATCAATTTTATTGCCGAATCAAGTAGCAACATAGGGGTTGAGGAAATTCCAGTTAGCGCCTAAGTCGATAAAAATACAAATAGGGAGAGATTCGATGGAACACCACTGGACCTGTCAACGGACTTCTCAATCCGTTAATTCGATTACAATATGAATTAGGTAATCCAATTATAAATGGATAAATATATGGATTATAGTAGATCTGATCAGATAATAATCTGATCCGACTTAGTATGAAGTATAATTTAGTTCTTCTATGCTTTATATTAATATTTTATGTGTAAGTGAGTAATTTTAGTTTTATATGAACTAAATACACTTAAAACTATTTTTTATGTTAAAATATCAAAATTTGTAAAAAGTAGATAAATACAATAAAAGAACGAGGCAACTAATGAAATTTTGATTTTTTGTACATCTCAAAATAAATATGATAATAATCCGATTTGATTCGAATCCTATGCGTAATGGATATCGATTGATAGGTGCAATCCGATAGTCCGAATACGATCTAAATCAAATAATCCCATTATATCGCCAATGTTTGTGATTGCCTGTTGTAGGGGACTTTTTCTTCCGGCAGCTGTAAATGGGCTGGGCTGCCGTAAAGGGCAGACTAATGAAATTGTCCCCTTTGTCTGAGTTCGAAAATTAAGCTCCAAAAATACCTCGAAAGGCAGCGGATCCTCAGGAAGTATTTTGGTTACCTTCACCAGCCGAAACAATAGCAATTTACAGGTAATTTGTGCATGCTTACAGATAAACTTTTGAGCTTGGCATGAGAGGCATGTGGCATGGAAGCAAAACCAACATGAGTTTAGCACTGAGGAGGAATTTAGGCTTTCTTAGGGGAAAAAGGGAAGTGTTTAGGTGAGAAAGAAGGAAGGTTTGTAGGATATTTGGCTAAGAAGAAAGAAATAAGAAACGATGCTCTTCCAGTAGCTCGACAGATATTCTGTTTGCCAGAGAAGAATGGAGAAGAAGGTGAATAGTGCACGAGATTGCTGGGTTTTTGCAAGTTAGAGAGAAAGCTTGCTCCCTAATTCTGAGTTGTCCTTTGTTGGGTAAAAGAGGCCTTATTTTATAGCTGTTGGAAATCATCCCTTCCTAAGAAACCCTAATGGTTTCTACCTATTTTGGCTAAACTTTTCTCCTCCTTTCTCTTCTCCTCCCTTGGTTTTTCCTATCTTAGTGAAATTTCCTCTGTCTATTGGCACAAAATCAGGAACTTTGGGAGCTCAATGCCCCCTTTCCTGTAGCTGTTCCAGTCGGAGGGTCAATTCTTAGCTATTTTTCTTCTTCTTTCCTTTTTCCTTCCTTGGCCAGATCTGATGAAGGAAATGAAATGGATATACATGCTCATTCAAAGGGTGCTTCTGGCAGCTTGCAAGCTAATATTCTTTGGTTCCTTGAATGTTTCTTGCTTGGAACTTGCTCCCCCCATGTGCTAGAACCTCCAGCAGCTTTGTTCAATGAACCCTCTGACCTTCTCTACGTGGCTTCCATTTTTCTAGCAAGGGGTTGAGGTTTTTGTGGCTTATTGTGAAGTTTTTCATGGGCCAAGGTGGTTCATTAAATAAGTGGGCTATTTTATTAAACATTGGGCTTGAGTCAATAAGCTATTTGGGCTATTTCTTTTCCCTTATGCTCACCCACATGTTTGGGCCTAAGAAATGAGCTTGAGTCCTGAGGCTCCCAAGCAACTCGAGACTTTCCATTTCTCAACCCATTAATGGGCCTCATGTTAATTTATTACTATCCATACCACAACCCACTCAAGCAAGCCCCGAGCGTTTGAGTGGCTTGGGCCCACTTAGGCTTGTTGCATGGTAAGGCGTGAGAGAACGATTTCATGCTTGGCATGTTTTAATTTATCGTCCTTGGGAATAACTGTGATGTTTAATTTCGGCATGGGCTTGTAGAGCCGGTATACTTTATCTCAACTCCTAACATGAATTATTTGTTTAGCGTGGCACGTGAATTGTAACTCGCATATGGTGGGTTTTCGTGTATTCCTCTTTTTAGTATAATGTCATTTTGGGCCTGATAATTTATTCGGGCCCAACCATGAATTTTTTGGGTCTCAACACCTGTTAGTGCATTGATTGCAATTGGGTGGGTGCCTCCATTTGTGTCCCCTGTGTCTATTGGTGCATCAGGATTCGAATATAAAGTGTCAAAGGACTCAATTAGGAGGATTTGGGGCTTAGCACATCGATCCCCTGGCTGGTAATTGTTTCTCACAATGGAAACAAATCCGTTTGGTACAACATTCTTAAAGATCAACCAAAGAAAGACGATAAATTATAGGGGTGGTGGTAGGTGGGTTATGTATCAAGGAGGAAGTGGATTGGGTGGGGTCATGTTGAGCGGTTAGGCCATGTTTAGTAGGTTGAACTGAACTAGATGTATTCAATTAAAATGGACACCAGTTCAATTTGTTGTTTAATGGGCTTAATTTTATCATAGACTGGATATTGAACCTTGGATCCAAGTATAATGATGGCTTTGGAACCCAACCCCAAACATGGGTTTACAACAAGCGCAAGCTCCTCCTCGTCTCCCACGCTCAACCTCTACTGCATGGTCTTTCTCTGGTTTGCCTTCTTCTCTCTCTCTCTCTCTCTCTCCTCTCCTCTCTCTTCTCCTTTCTCCTTTCTCATGCCTCTCAATTTCTTCTCTCTCCTTTTTTCAGGAAGTGATTGAATTGGCTTTGATTTGGCTCAAACAATGTTAAGATTTCTATCTAAAACTTTGGTTTTTCGATTTTTATTGTTTTGATTTTATTCATTTGGCTTTGATTCGGCATGTCTTTCACGGCTTCTATGCCTAACCTGTCAAGCTCATCTCGGCAATCAAATCCATTTTCGTCTCCTTCTTCCCTTTGTTGGACAATGTTCTTGTTTCCCAAATCCTTGTGTTATTTGATTGATTACAAATTAAAAAAATCTGTATATTTTTACTACAAATTAAAAAACTCTTTTCTTGTTCTTGTTTCCTAGATCCTTGTGTTGTTGGGTACTGGTCTTGTTTCCCAGCTTGATGTTCTTTGTTGGTTGCACAAAATAAATAAATAAAATTGTCCTGTAAATCTTTGGGTACTGTTCTTTGTTGGGTATTATTCTTTGATGTTGCTTTTCTGGTTTTTCTTAGCAATTTTGGGGTTCTGTAGTTGGGATTTGGCATTGGATTTGGATGGAAATACTAATGCGTGTAAATTGAATAAATAAAATTTTGAAGTCAATTATAGTATGTTGTTTGGGGCAAAACTGAACATGGTTGGACTTAAGATCCGGGCCAATCCGAACCAGCTCAATTCAGTACCTAACAGTCAATCCTAACCAGTCCAAGCCAACATACCAAACGAGGCCTTAGTGTATGTGAAGTGGTTTGAAGCGAAACAGGTTTGGGTCTTGCGTTTGAGGTGTTAGAATGTAAGCCAATTCAATAGCACGGGCCAGAGTGGCCAATGTGAGGGGGAGAACATCATCCTCGATTTCATGTTTTAATCCGTCAATAAAAGTACCTTTAGGCCTTGTTTGGTACACCTCCTAGCCCTGGATTGGATTAGAGTAGATTAAAATTAGGCCCATATTTGGTTCACCTACTTCTGGTTCTAAGTAGGGATTACTAATGCAGAGCCCACTAAAAACACCTCTTCATAAGGTGTTAGTGAATTTCGTGCAGAAGGGGGGACTCAACAATCCCATGCGTTTAGCGCTCTTCTGTGCTCATACTCATCCGCTCAATTCAAGTCCATGTCATTATCATCATCCCCCTTATGTCGAGTTCTTAATGGACAATGACTCCAGCCCTAAACACAACCCAGTGCCATCGAGCTCGAACCCAATCGTCGAGCAAATCCCATGGATCTGATTCAATGCAAGGACTTGTGCTAGTGCCTACGATACCTAGGAAAATATGAAATGGCGATGGAATGGAAAAACCAAAATTGAGAGAGAGAGAGAGAGAGAGAGAGAGAGGATGGTGTGGATGATTTAGGGCAACTCTCGCTTCCCTTGCAGAGAGCCAGTGGAGTCCATGAGCTTCATGGCTAGGGATTGGCCTTGTTTTTTATGGTTTTGGGTTAAATAAAAAATAAATTTTTATTGATTTTTTATATTTATAATTTTATTTAATTAATTAAATAAACGTATTTTATTCAAGTCCTAGTCCCAATCCCAGTCCAGCATTATACCAAATGCAGGATAAGTCTTATTCAACTTAGTCCTAGCCAAGTCAATCCAGGATAGTTCTTAAACATAGTCCATGGCTAAAAATTTAGCCCTCCAAAATATTAATTTTTAAATAATAGCGCAGGGCTAAATTTTTCCATCTATAGCCAGACATGGCTATATTTTAGGGTCTTTCATATTTTATTATTTTGAGAAAAACTATGGTATAACACTCATATATTCCACAACTATGTATTGTTTAATTTAATTAAACTATGATTTAGAGACAATAATTTTTTAATTTATATATATATATATATTTAAACAAAATGTATTTAAAAACATTTAAAAAGGTTTTTAATAAATAAATAAATAATAACTTTTCAATCAATGATTCTGACCTCCAACGATCAGAAACCAATTTTATATATATATATATATTTAAAACAAAACGAATTTAAAAACATCTAAAAAGATTATTAAAAATAAAATAAAAAAAACCTAACGGCTAGCTGACATCATCGATGACGTCAATGCGCCTTTAATATTGGCTTTGGATCTATAGTTGCACGAGATGTTTCATGTTCTTGCCCACGCGCCATACTTTCTTTTCTTGAAAAGCGCATGCGCCAGGCCCACAAAAAATTTGGCATGTGCCAAAGCTAGGCTACATTTGGCCTAGTTGGGGGTCTAAATGGACAAATGTAGCCCTCCAAATTTGGCAACAAAAAAAAAAAAAAAAAAATTAGCCTATGACTGGAGATGGGTTTTACATTATTTTAGAGTTGTGGCCCATGACTGGAGATGGCCTAAGTTGGTCATCTGTCCAACATTGAGCTTTTCAAGACAGCTTCCACTTGACTGAAAGTCTGAAAGTGTCTGCCCAGAAGTAAGAGAAGGAAAGGATTGGGTGGTGTAAGTAAGGGACAACGGAGGGAAGGAGACTATATGGAAGGGAGTTGGGCCCTTGGCACCTCACTGCATATAGTGATGCAGATTGGGCCGGCGACATCAATACCAGGAGATCAACTATTGGGTTTGTAGTTTTCTTGGGTCACAATCCTATATCTTGGCAATCAAAGAAGCAGAGCTCAGTTTCTATAAGTTCTACAGAAGTTGAGTATCGAGCCTTGGCAAACAATGCAGCAGATCTTTTTTGGATACGACAGGTTTTGCAGGAGTTGCAAATATGTCTACCCAATCCTCCTATAGTGAATTGTGACAACTTGGCTGCCATCGCTCTGAGTTCCAATCCAGTATACCACTCCAGGTTCAAACACTTGATTTTCATTTCATAAGGGAAAAGGTGCAGAGAAAAGATCTTATAGTACAATATATTCCAACCGAAGAACAGCTAGCCGATGTGTTTGCCAAAGGTCTGCATAGTCCCATTTTCTCACAACATTGTGCACATCTGAGATTAGGATACCCATCACAGCTGGGTTTGAGGGGGATTGATAACTGTAATAATAATGAGGAGTTAGTTAGTGTCAAAGCATGTGACACCACGTGATGTTAGTTAGATCGTTATCAGTCCAGGATTAACTCTGTATATAACAACAGAGTCATTATTGTAATCAGTCATGATGAAAGATCAATATACAAATCTCTCTAAAAATACTCAGTCCTTCTTCAACTCTCTTTTCTCTCTCTGTTATCAGAGGGAAGGGTGGTGCGGGCGGGGGAGGGTTGCTAGACTAGAGGCACAGTAATCTAATCGGAGTTCTTCCACCATCGATTTTTGAAGGTCGATGTTGGGATTGTTGAGAGTGTAAGGTAGTGACAAGTTTCTGAATATCAGAGAGGTCCGTCTGGAACCCATCTGGGCGAGCGTAGCGTTGATGGTGGAAACAGTGTCCTAAAAATCTTGGAGGTGAGATGTGAGCTGATCTCGTTGAAGGTCCAGAGTCACATCCATGGTGGAAATGGGGTCGGTGGAGGGCTCACCCTTTTTGCCCATGGCCAATTAGGCTATGATACCAGGTTGATGGCACCAAAAGTCGTGAAACACAGAGAGAAAGTAAGAACATGTTTGCTATTCTATTTGAATCCAACTTTTATAAACTTAAAAACAAAATTTGAGTCGAAAGCTCAAAAAATCTGTTCGATAGGCCTAGTTTTGAAAACCTGAACTTAAAAATAACTCAAAAAACCCAATTTGAATAAAGTGGTAAATGGTGCCACATGAGACAACGGTGGTGGAAATCCTTTTACACGTACAGGTTGAATATTGATTGAGATGGGGAATTGGAATCACATTTAATTGGGAAGAAGAAGAAGATCCTCCTGCCAGTTGATCTCATAAATATTCATATACCGAGTACCTATATATCTACAGTGTGAAAATCTCATCTGCAAATTCAACCCTAGCATAGCATGTTCTACTTGTACAATTTGACCAAAGTTTGGCATGTTCAACCCTAGTTATTCTTTTTCTTCCTTCTCTTTATGAATGTAAATTTTTTTGATTTAATTTTGGTTTTATCCTTGAAACTGGAACTGAGGACTACTCAATACTAATTGCTGATGATTCAGCAATGAATGGTTGAGTAAGTGTCCTTGAGAGATATTGTCGGACTGAATCGTTGCGTGATTGAAACTGCAATTAGAATTGACGTATTTCTTTGATGGGTATAGTAGGCCATGATCATCTGCAATTGGATGATCATGGCGCTTGAGCCGGTTTTCGGTGCTTGGGATTGCTGGCAAGTTCAAACCATTGAATTGAGGGAGCTTTTGAAGCAAATGACTGTTGCTGCTGCTGCTGCTGCTGCTGATGATATTGGAATAGTCATTAATGAACAACGGTTTCTGGTCCAAACCAGTAGTCCCGGAACAGGGAAACCTATTCGGAGTTGATTGGAGTCCGGTTCCAGTTGGGTTAGAGTATTGACCATCCGCCAGAAAACTAGTGAGTAATGAGTAGTCCATGGCGTCTAGTAAGTTGGAGAAGGAAGAAGATTTCTGGGGCATGAGATCAGTATTGTTACTACTCATGTTGTGACCAAGGCCGGGAAGGGGACTTTTCAGGCTTGGTAACAGGACATCATGGAGAAAATCTTCTTCTTCTTCAACTTCTTCTTCATGATCGATTGGCGGCACCGCTGCTGAACTTGAGACGTTGGACTTCTTGTAGATTCGACAGAGAACCCAATCATCCAACTGGGAGAGAAAAAAACCAACGAAAGAGTACGTATTGGTCATATTATATACCACGAAGTATAGTTCATATACAGAGAGTGTTAACAGCTCTAAATTAAACTGATCTGCATGCTTAGTTAATTATTCAAACACCATCGTGATTCATGATATAAAGCGAAATCGGGGAAATAATTTAGACTCTATATGGAATGCAATGAAGTAAAAGTTATATATAGTTGCTCACCCTCATGGATAAATCTTTGAGCTTCATGGTTTTGCTGGTGGTGGTGAAGTTGTTTGGATTCTCTGGAAGGCGATATTCATGCATGATCCAGTTGGTCTTGATGCCTTTAGGGGGTCTTCCCTTGTAGAAGACAAGAGCCTTCTTCACACCAACGTTCTGGCGTCCTCCTAATGACGCCACAATCGTCTTATCTGTTCCTGTTGCCTTCCAGTACCCTGACGCGGCTGCCCTGTTCGGCCTCGCGCCATTCGGGTACTTGCGATCTCTAGGACTAAAGAAGTACCATTCTTTCTCACCAAACGCAGCTTTGGCTAATTAACGATATATCAGCATCCATAAAGAACACGCAATTAGCAATTAATGGCTTAAAGATGCATGTTACGCACAAAAAAAACGACCTTATAAACTAATAAACCAATGAGGAAGTTAATTAATCACCTGGCAATTCCCATGGATCAAACTTGTAGATATCAACTTCCGCAATGATGGAAACGGGTAAGGGTGTGGAGGCCACCTTCTTTGTAAGGTAGTGAAGGATGAGCTCTTCATCTGTAGGGTGGAACCTAAACCCTGGTGGCAGGCTTGATTCTGGGTTTTTCATCATCAAATAAATATTTGCTTCTGCTAGGGATAGCTAAGCTCAGTCAAAATATATGATATACTTGGTATATATGTACTAATTGAGCACCGGATTTAAAATTAATACAAGGGGCTGGCTTTGTCTGGTTTAGTTTAGTTGGGTAATATGATAGGCTATAACTAGCTAGATAGCCTTGGCTTTATGTAAGAGAGAGGAAAATGGATGTGGAAATTAAGTGAAGGAGGGGGAGATTATGCCTCTCTAGACTCCTATTGTGACAAGACAAACTGGAAATTAAAGACGAGGAGAATTGAAATTTTTGGGAGAGAAAGAAACGAAGGGCTTTTATGGTTGTGGTTTTTTGTCGGCATGCGGAAAAAGAAGAGATTAGGCCAAGGGGTTGGGATGAAGAATAGAATAGCCGATGATGGTGAGGAAAAAACAAATCATCTGTTACATTTTCCGAAAGAAATATAATACGAGGCCCACACCACACGCTCCCCTCCGGTGTCGTATGTGTGCCAGCTGTAAGGCATTTTTTATGCACGTACGTATGTATGTATATATGCATGTATGTATGTATGTCTACAATATGTCCGTCCATTTACACCAGAGTTTGATTCCCCTTACACTATAGTAGTCATAACATCGTTTTGTCAACCGAAACGTAAGTACGTATGTATGTATGTATGCATGCATGGATGGTCCAGATGTCCAATCTCCAATCTCCAATCTCCAAGGGAATGGAACTGTTGGTTTTGTCCTTCCCAAGTTTTGTTTTCTCGTAAAGGGAAGAGAGAAGAGGGAAGAGGGATGAGAGATGACAAGATAATAGATAGATATCATGGAACGGAATAAAGAAGATGCATGGCGGCTGGACAAAGGTCCAAGGATGAGCTTAATCTCTCATGACATCATCAACCTCTTCTAAGATAGAATCGTGACACGTGTTCTTTCATGTTTGGAGAAGCTAGGCCCACAAGCCCATAATGATGAAGCCCCACAGTTCACAAGCAGAAGCTCCTCCTGTGATGCCCGCCCAGTCATCAATCATCTTCATCATGCCGTAATAATGCATCTCACCTTGACTTTATTCTTTTTTTCATTTTTCCAAGTGTTCGTTTGAACTTTGAGGTTACTTTTAAAATGCAGATAGAAATATTCCTATCCCCCATCACTCCCTGCGTGCGCTTGCCACGAGTACAAGCCTAGTGTTAAGTTTGGTATACAAACTTTGACAGCGTAAGTGTTTATGGCATAGTGATAGTCTAATATGGCGTTTTTATCGCCCGCTTACGTTCAATTACATTATGTAAAAGTATGCGTGAGTGATGGTGTTAGCTTGAAAGTGCTCAATTTGTCATTCTATACTCTTTCTCGAGTCTTCTAATTTGTCATCTTCTAAATTCGTATAATGTTTACTATGGAAAAAGCAAAAACAATAATAACTCATGTTCACAAATAAAGATTAAAAAAAATTACTAATGGCTTTTCTTCAAAATCAATGATAATACATTTGAAGGTTTCAAAAAGGAGATAATAAATGTGATGTTAAGTATGTCAATTCAATATGCAAAGTACTCAAACAACACAAGAAGACAACACAAGAAAAAATAATGGAGGGAGCATCTGGGATGATGGGATTGGCTGGAAATCATGCAAGTAAGTTTGAAAAGCAAATTATATTAAAGTTGTCAGATGCAGACGTGGGTGGCATTCTATGAACCAAATTTCTTTCTTTTTTTCTTCCTTCTTCTTTCTTCTTTCTTATTATTATTATTCTTTATGAAGCCTGCATATATACAAGATTTACAAGAAAAAAAAAGAAATCAAATTTCAAACCAGATTGATTTATGAAATGAACAAGATTAATTTGATGTTTTGTACAAAATCAGTATCCCAAGGGTGTTTTAGTCTTTTTCTTTAATCTAGCCAATTTACTATACTAAGAGGTTGAATTGTAATTTGTATTGTGTTTGTTGAGTAATAAGAATAGTTCCCTGGGTACATTTGAGTTAAGGTTGAAGGTGGTTCTATCCTTGGTATCATACTTCCCTTCTCACAGTGCATGTAATTCCTCTAAATTAGAAACTTATTAGACGAAACTAGAAATTTCGAGCGTGTGGTTGAACTTCAATCATGTAATTTGGAGTTGGGACCGCTCACTTGTATTCTTTAATGCTTCACCAGTCCTAGTAAGAAATTTAGATTGTCAAGCAGAGGCAGGCAGGTAGCTAAGTAAAGACAGACTTGGAGTTTTGGAGGTATTTATTTGGTGAACATTTTCTTTGGTTTAGGTGAACTCAAGTTGTTGAATCAACGCCACACTATCATGCCAGCTAAGCTTTCACATTTCCGCGTGACTTGTCCATTTATTGTGCACCTCCTTAAAAGTTTGACCATGATTTATGTGTCAAGTTAAGCAACCGCAACGAGTCTCGATTCATTTCGTGAGGGATGTTGCAGTCAGTCGCCCAACTCATCTTAACGGTTGATGTATTATAGGCTCCACATTCATCAACGATAACGATTACCCTTATTTCATTCATCAACGATGAGGAAATCCCATGGAAAAAAGATACTTGACAAGGACACTCGCACTCGCAGCCCATACATAATTCATAGATGTAGAACAACCTAAAGTTAATTGGTTCCTTCCTTCCTTGGTACCACACGTGGAGGAGTACGTGCGGTTTTGCGACTGTTAATTTTGACTTGACTTTCATCAGCTTTAGTGTTACAGCTACGGATACCAAACAAGAAGGAATAGGAATCTAACCATCAAACTAATTTCAAGAGTCTAACCTACAAAAACAGCCTGGATGATATTTCATTCATCAAAGTTTACAAACCCTAAACTGTAGAGCCACGTGTCCCAACCATAGCAAACCAAGTGTCCACAGCCCTTTTTTTAAATTTTTCATCATTGAAATACCATAATAATACTGAGTTATGCAAAATGCAGAGATTTACCAGTTCAAAGCAGCAGCCCTAGTTTGTGGACTCACATTAGATCTGCAGCAATTTGTTTGTTTTTGTGCTCATATTAAATCCTAGTTTACTTTGAAATTATACCTAAGAAGAACGGAACATATACCTATATATGTATATAATAATTTCCTACTACATTGAAAACATTTAGCATTCAAATTGAGCACGCCATGATTCCCTATAAGGAAAAGAAAATGCCGACAAGTGCATCCTAGATTTGGGGAGCTCCCACGATGTACGTATGTATGTACGTATGTATGTATGTATTTATGTATGAAGCCAAACAAAGGGACAAATTGGTGTGGTCATAAGATGATGCAAGGTTTTGGGAGCATCTGCTAAGAAAACGAATAACTTTTTCTATTAAGAAAACGAATGAAACCCAAAAAAGATGATTTTACACTAGTCATATTAAAGTATTGTTATTCAAAGATGAGCTTTATTTTATTCAACCCACAATGGGCTTCACATTATCTTTGGTTTTATGCACGGGTACTCCTTTAGGTCATGCGTGATGAAAAATAAAGTACCTGGAATTTCAAATGCTCTTCCCCTGCCTCCATTCCTCTCCCAAATAAATACCATGTGGCTTCTTCACCTGAAAATCAAATACTCACATGTCAAAAATGCAAGACCGAAACCAACCAACATACCATAATGTTTTGTGACAATTGACAAAGTGATCCCTCCGTCAGATATTCCCATTCAAATCCACCAAAGTGATCCCTTTCAATGGCAGGTGATTAATTTTATCACTACTGTATTAATTTAAAATTTTAGTGTAGATTAGGTCAATGATAGGTATTTCCGCAACACCCGGTCTCAGTTCTTACCTTTTACCCAAGCATGCATGAAGCAACTTAAACTCCTAGCCTAAAACAAAATGTCATTGGTTGTCACATTGAGTTGGTTAGATAAATTGATTTGGCGAATGGGGTAATGTTTTTTTGTTTTTAAATAAAAAAAAAAAAAAAAAAAAAAAAAAAAACATGGTCAAAAGCATGGAACAGCATATAAGAATGAGTACTATAAGTTGATTTCCAGCTGCAAAAGTCTTGATTGTGACCCCCAGTAGTTTTCCACGTGCAGTTCACCTAATCTAATGGATAATGCTTATCCAATGTCAAATGCTCATGCACCAATTTTTTCCTTTGAGACAATACAACATGAGCTAGGCCTAACCAGAAACTACGTCACATAGTTAAAACACTATAGAAAAGGAAATGCAAACTTATTTCAACAATATAGGAGTTTTTCAATGACCTTCCTAAATATTACAATACTGCTGTGCTGGCACTGTCATTAAAAAGGCTTATGCAACACAAAATATCACGACTAAATAAATGCAGTAAGAAGAAGCAATAGAAATGAAAAACATGATATGGCAAAAGAGATCAATTTCTGGTGGAAAAAAAACAGTCCACTAACCGTGAATATGAGTAATTGATAAAGGCTGCTCCATAGTCCAAAGTAGCTAACCATGGTAAACCAAAGTTTGGTAAAAGTTCAGTTTCAGTATTCCTCTAACAGCACGAAAATCTGCATGTTATATAACTTAACCGCGATCAGACTATGACAGATATTCACAGCACAGAAGCAAAAAGTTTTATTCCAGTCCTTTAACGGGTGAGCATTACCTGAAGAACTATAGCATCAGTCTGCCAGACAGTGTCACAAAATCACCTATGCACCAATTTAATTTGATTGGATGCTGCAGAAAAGAGTGGAAATGAGGGAAGCTTGGAAGTATACTCTTCATATTTCAAGATAAACACACTTTCTTTAATCCATTACTATTTTACATCTATAAAACTAAAAGTTAAGAAAACTCCAAAGTTTCGTCATACAATGAGTTTAGAAACAATTTCTTATTGCAAACTGTTATGATAATGAGCCAACACGAAAGATACACCAGAATTAACTTTACTTAAAGACACCAGCTGCCATAGTTGGTAAAGTCCCTTCGGGTTGTACCAAAGACTTGAATCAAATCCTGCCTAGTTGGAGGGGTTTATAGATGAAGAGTACAATCTCTCCTTGTGTAACCCATAGGCCATTGGAAAAGAGGAAAAGGAATGAACTTTAATCGCTTACACTAAAGTAGCGGAAATGTAATCACAAAAACTTAGAATACCAAACACCAGAAATTCTCAAAGACACTGGTCCCAATGACAAACTCACTCAAGTGGGATATCAACCTTCTCCTTTGATTTGTGAATGATTTGATAGATTTCTGAATGGAATAATTACAAATGAGGGGATGAGTTCCATTTTATAGTTGCAAACAAATTTCTTTCATGAGTGAGCTGAAGACCATTTTCAAGGAAACATCAATGTGAAGTATCAAGATCAACGTCACACATACGCAAGTACGTGTGTATTTATACCTATATGCATCTCCTCTACCAACATGTAAAACTACTAGTTAGTGGACTAAAAAGACACAGAAATCATTCGTATCAGACCATCAAGTGACAGTGACACAGGTCAACTTTGACCAGAGGTCCACCAGTAACACAATTATAGTTGACTACAATTGGCTAGAGTGGTGTAATCCATCTTAGATTTGAGGACTATTTGGGATCCTCTATAGTCTATAGTTGGGTTAATGGGCCTTTATGGTATCCCTTGGAAGTTTGTATATGAGATCAGGAGTCTTACACTCTTTACTTTTTCCCTTTCCTTTGATAAGGATGTAGCCTGACACTCTTCTATCTATGTCTAGGTTATAGCAACTTCAGGACTACTACTTTTCTTTGATAAAACTTCATTACTATATGCAAGCAAGAAGAAGATATCAAATGCCAGTGTAATTTTGCTCATACCTAATTGTCACTCTCAAAATTTGTGAAACTTCATGAAGTGTTAAATAAGGAAAACATCATTATTAAATTGATATGAAGTACTCCGAACAATTTGACCAGTCGTAAGTTTAGAAGCAACTTCAGGACTTATGTAAATGCAATTTCAACAACTACAAAGTAATTTGACAAACTCAAATTCAAGGATCATTTACTGACTTCATGATCTGTATATATACACTTTCATTATCAAGATCATATTATGCAAGCAATCATATAATAACATCCATAACTTCAATTGATGATCATTAAATAACTGTGATAAAGGAATTGTCTAATACTCATAATAAATCCATAACACTGAAGCCCCAAACCCCAAAAACCTTTAATATCCAAAGATCTCCAACTAGGTCAATATTCCATTTTTCCTCAAAATATACAACAGTAAAAAAAATGAATGCAAGGGATTTCCACAGACTACTAAGAATATCCACAAAGACTAGAGAAATCCTAACTGCAAATAATCTCTTTACTTTCTCTCTTCAACTCATACCTGATGGTTAAAATGCAGGCATTAGCTACTAGTTCGGTAAGTAAACTATGCATGATGGTTTTGATTATTCTTTTTCCAATTACATAAGGCAGATAACTACAACTAATCTCGAAACCCTTTCTGTCAAATTAAAATTATACCCATTACAAAACCTAAGTCAAATCACAAATAACACTATAATAAGAAACATGATATTATTAATAAAAAGAACATTACAACAGGGGACAAGTTGTCCACTGAACAAGCTAGACTACTCAACTATAACTACAAAACAGAGCTAAAACATAACATAACAGGAATGAAAACTACGACACAGCAGTACTCTAATCATAAAATAAAACTTTAAAAGAACTACTCCTAAACTCCGATCATAAATAACAGTCACATGTAATTTTCCCATATAGAGATTAATTGTGTTTCAACTAACATATAATTTGCCCATGTAGAGATTATAATTTCTAGTAAGACTTTCCAATACATACCAAAAATATCATTTCTAGTAATATAATCTCCATACCATTTTCACATTACTATACATACCTGTACCCTACTAGTCACCAACTGCCAGAAAAATACAACACAGTAGCACACAACGGTTGTCACCAATGTATGCTACAGGGCAATTACAAGGAAGTTGCCACTGTAGGATGCCCCTCAGTCAGTCGTAACAGCCCACAAAGCCACCGCAAGTGTGTGTATGGTCATACCCACCAGCCATCACCAACAGCAAAGACCATATCAGTGAACTAACTGCAGGATGACTCAGTCCTGGTCGAGTCACCAATAATGTCAGTTCAAATATAGCAGTGGAATCGCAATTAGAATTTACAGTTTAGGTGGTGTGTTGGCCTTAACACATATATCACAAATTCTTGAATAAATGATTTTAAACTAAAAGAATGTTTTTGAATCGCCATGAAAGATTTCAAAAAACAGTCAACAAAGTGTCAACATTTATTGGTGCAAACCAAGATTCAAAAATGAAATAACGCTTCCTGGTAATACACAATGGAGGAAAAAAATTTAGACAAAAAACAAAAATTCCTACCAGCGTCCGTGATCCACAAGAGATATTTGTTATTAACTTAGAGATTAAAATGGTACAAGACACCCTTGTGTAAAATCACATAATTCAAACCATATTCTGTTCAAACTTTATAACTTGAACCTCAGTAAATGGTCCCTACACCTCGGTGGAAGTGTTTCTTGTGGTTATGCATGCACATAGATTTTTTATGTTTCAATTTTCTTCTCAATATTTTGCACTCTCCTGGCACTCTTCTCCAAACCATATTCTGTTCAAACTTATAACTTGAAGTGTACGATATAAAGTTTAATAAAAAAATTATATGTATAAAAAAGAAAGTTAACACAAGATGGGATGAGTTACATTGAGAAAATAAAGGATAGCACTCGGTTTAACAGAGGATATAACCCAATTACAGCCCAATTTGCATGATGGCAAAACCCATATTGGACTTCACAGCATGTGTGAGTTTGATCCACGAGTCTAGAACATTTCAGTTCTTTGTTTGTGACAACAAAGTAAATAGTTGAGTGCACATTGTGACAGAAAATGTTAGGCACCTGTATAGAGTCGATGGAAACTTGATGCCGAAGGTTTCTGACCAGCCATGACCATGTGTACACAGAGATTTCTTATTTCATTTAAACCTACTGCTCCCAAAAAGAAAACCCCCGCTCCCTTACAACTTTCCTAGTCTCAGGTTGCCGAAGGAAATCTTTTTCCTGATGAGATTTATTGGATATTACACTAGTTTTCATGTCTGGCTGACTACAGTCCAGTTGATCTCCTTCTTTATCAGTTGTTTGGAATGTGGAAATCTGCTTACCAGACAGCCATGACTGAAGCATCTCTTCTGTCCTTGGTTCTGGTAAATACTGTTTCTCTTTCATCTCCATATAATATTTGTAGGCTTCCTCCAACTTTCCATTCAAAAAGAGCCCATGTATCAGCACAATATATGAGCTACGATCAGGATTGACTCCATTCTCACTCATTTCACTCCACAACTTGAACACGTGATCAAGCTGGCGCCATCGACAAAATTTTCGAATCAACATTATGTAGGTATCAGTATTTGGGTGGCAACCTGTGTATTTCATCATCTCCAAGAGCTCAAACACTTTCTCTCCAGTCCTCAAAATACGGAAGAAGGCATGGTAAGTCTGAATTGTGGGAAGATGGCCTCGCTGCAACATGTCATCAAGGATGTGTCTAGCCTCATCAATTTTCCCGGCCTTGCAGAGAGGTTTGATGAGCGAGTTATAAGTGACAACATTGGGAGCAATACCCTTGTCTTGCATTGTTTTCACGAGATTGATAGCCTCTTTCAGGAGCCTGCGCTTTCCAAGAGCGTAAATGAGTGCATTGTAAACTTTCCTATCCGCCTCAATCTTCATTGCCTTCATCCGATCGAAGAGCTTGAGCACCCTGTTAATGTTAGAGGCTTTTGAATAGCAAGATATGAGACATGAATACGAGACAGCATCGTGCACAACACCTCTCTTGCTCATCTCAGTCCAAACTCTCTCGGCCTCACGGGGACTTACAATGATATTGCACCAACCATTGAGGATAATGTTAAAGCTCTTGGTGTTAAAGGGGAAGACATTTCTGTTGCAGAATAGCAATTGCTCAGCTTCTTGTACATTTTTGTAGCGGCAAAGGGCGGAGAGAAGGCCATGGAAGTCATCCATCCCAGCCACCAAGTTAAAGCGTTTATAAGCGTAGAAAGTGTTGATAGCCTTCCCAACATCATGTACACAAGAATATTTTCTAATCATGATCAAGAGTGTGTGAGGAGTGACAAGTGACAAACCTCTCATTTCATCAATCAAACCCCAGGCAGTGTCAAACTTTCTCATTTTGCCCATAATGGAGATCATGCAATGATATTCACGCAGCGAATGAGCGTAGCCTGGCTGCTTTCCAGCCCAGAGGAAGAAGGCGAATGCCGATTCCCAATCATTGCGAACGCGTGAAAGAACTTCCACCACCAGCTCTGATGAGGCTGCTATGCAACATTCATCAAGCTTCCTTGTCATCTCAGACCCCAACGATTTTCGCAGACTTAATATATTCACAATGCTTTTTACATCTCCAGCAAGACCCTCATCACCCCTATGTGAACCGGAGAGTCTCAAGTCGCCGTCGTCTAAGTCCTGGTCGTCGTCGTCAACATCATCATGACGGGCAACAAATTTGCTATTAGCTGTGGAACTGCCATCATCTGAGCTCTGCAACTTCGAGTGTGGGCTGCTAGTAGAAGAAGACCAAAGGAAGACCACCGGAGTAAAAGCATGCGTTGGAGCTGAAGATAAAGCTGGGACTTGCTTCAAGGCAAAGGCAGCAGCAATGGACATAAAAACAGAGGCATGGCTAGGCGTTGGTTTATGTAGCAAAATCGTATACAGGGATTTTATTCTGGCCATGTTTCGCATCATTTCTACAAAGCACAGCAATGCCTATCAACTGTTTGTAAAAATAACCAAACCAATCCTTTAATAATCCTTTAATCCCTTAATACAGGGATATGATGTACCTTTTTTCGGGTGGCCTTCAATTGCGCAGACGCAGACGCAGAGGCAATCAATCCTAAATTTTCAGCCCATATATCTCAAATTCTGAATGATTTCGCCTTCATACACTATCAATGAGCGACGAGAGTCTCGGTGTGGCAGTGGGAAGGACTTTTAACTTAAGATTATGTGCATGATGCATCACTAGACTAGCAACTTGTGCAAACTCTCTGTTCTGCGCACCCACAGCTGAAAATTCTGCTATGGCCCGCGATCAAACCCACCACCAACTCCTAAGCCAAAGGCCCAAGTAGCAGAAAGAAAAGGACACTCCTACCATTTCAAGCCCAAATGTTATACTCTACTAGGCTTGGGCATGGATCAGTTTGGTTCACGAGAAAGCTTAACCCGCTAATCATATCAAATTTATACCAAATTTTGGATAAGCCAAAATCACTACTGATAACCGATACTTCGGGCACAGATTAACTGATGCTTTGGGCACAGATCAGTTCGAGTCGGTATTCTAGACTTTCATTTTGGTCTGGTTTGGTTTAGTATGGATATCTTACATCGTGTTGGTTTCATGAGAGTTCCTCTTTTTCCAGTAACAAATTTTTTCTTTTAAATATTATGATTTTTCAACTCACACAAGTGATGATTACAATTTAGAATATGGAAGTGAGAATATTGGCTGTTTTATAATCTGAGAGGGAAATGAGCTAGTTCAGCACAGCGTCACATTAAACAGTGGCGTCATTTCACTCTTCACTAGACGTATTTCCCAGCTCACGTAAGCAGAAAGAAAACCAAAGGAAACGAACTGAATGGTTATGGTAGACATAAATTAGGAAGAACAATCCGTCTCTTACAGCCCCACACACACGAACGAATGGTGATACCATTTTGCTTACTCGGCCGGCAAAACTAATACAACTAATTGAATCAAATTGTTATCTCAAGAATTGTAAGTCTGAACTAATTACAAATGAAGACAAATTAAACTATATTCTCTCATTATTCCCAAAATATAGACCAAATCCAATTCCCAAATCAACCTAATATCAGTTTATGAGGTCGGCTTCTGAGCATTACCAATCGTGCCGCTCAAAGACCACCGGTCGCCATAAACTCAAAAGGCCACTGAATTTCTTTGCAAGAGGTGATTTAGCAGATAATGCGACCTGCAATTATAATGAGGACACAGCCTCTATGGCACTGCCTAGTGGCCATGCTGCTTCAACCAAGGCATTATTATACTTGACCTTCTTCACCAACGTAATCTCTTGCCACGGATCTAGACCTGTTTAAGATATAGATGCAACCAGTTTTGACGTATTAGAATTCAGATCCAATTTTATCTTAGATGAAATGTCATTGTCAACTTGCTTAACAAGCTAAATCATAATTGAATAAAACCTACCAAATCCATTTACAAGCAATGTAAATTGGTAAACAAGATCCATGCACAAGAACGGCAGATTGTCCTCCTCAACATCCCGATAAGCGGATTTAGCATCCTCAAGTTTAGTTTCACAAGCACGCTTAGCTGCCTCCTCAAAGTTCCCAGGGCGAACTTTGGCAACAGGTTCGTTTCGGTTAACAAAGCCAGCCTGCATATATAATATGTGGTCAGCAAACCATGTAGTTGTGTAAGATGAACCCTAAACTTTTCATGCACATTACACAAAAACATATAAAAATCAAGAATGATGAAATACCTCAGCAGCTCTGTCAAAGAAAAATGAAGCTACAAAAAGGTTCCGTTGTCCATCCCCTCCTCCACCATTCCATACCCCGCCAAAGGTGCACTTCATGTGGGTACATGTTGCTTCATTTACTTTGAGTGCCTTCATAACTACCGTCATGCACCCCTCAACACTTGATCCAGATGAGGAAGCCGACGCTTTATAAATTTGTCCTCCATATTTGTAAGAACCTGAACAACATACCAAAATTTCCCAAAAAACAGCCTATTACGCGCTAATCCAAAACCAGAATGTAAAAATTTCAATGCCCTGTACTTCACATAGAGCTGCCCACCCACATGTGATGATTTCTGACTCATTTAAAATATAGAATACTGTCAATAGAGTTAAAGACCTATAAATTATGACAGTTTTGATATTCTAGAGAATGTAGATGCAGCAGCAAAGAAGTAAAAAAGTATAAAAGATGATTCTGCTAAAGTGATGAAGAAGAAGAATTTGGGATATAGTTATAAGAAAGGGATAAATAAAAAACTGTCCACGTGGAAATGGAGCAAATCAACATACCATCATATCCAGTTAAGATGCAGGGGTTGCCAGAATCATCAGAAACCTTTAAAATCTCTGCTCGAGCTGCTAGTAACCCGTAATGCAAGTAACTGCATAAAAACAAAATTAAAACACAATTAACCTAGTCACACAATCCTATAAGAGTTATGTCATTTCAAATGATGTCAAGGAAATAAATGAATGCAAAACAAAACAATGAAACAGAAAAAATAAATCCTGACATCATTAAGCAGGAAGAAAGAGAAAAACCTGTGAACATAGAGGTTATATTTTGTTCCTTTAAGAGTCATTTCTCTTACATACGAATCATCTCCATCTGATAACCTCGGTGCCTTTGCGGCATCTGCCTCTGAAATGGCATAAGCCATTTGAACAGATCCACCCCCAAGATCGACTACACCAACAGTATCTGAATACTTCTTCCCAACATTTCCTAGTAGATAGTTTATTGTCACCTGAAGACAAGAGAATGTAAAACAATGACTGCTTTTTTTTATTCTTCTTCTTCTTGGTTATGGATAAGTATGCACATACAAGTATGGCTATTATTCCCCAAATCGTGGGTGTTATTCTCTCCATCTTTACTTATGTATGCTTCACAGATAACAATTTCATAAGTTGGTTTTCAAAAAAAAATTGGATTGTTTAATATACTCCATTATCTGCCATAAAATAAACAACATTAAACACCATTGTTTCATCGTTAGGAATTGCATTCAGACTTCTGAATCTTTATCAATTTTTTATTCTGTGAAATAAATGAGTGCATAAATTGAAAGAAGAAAAAAAAACAAAACAAATTCCTAGCATACCCACTGGAAGGAACCCTCTTGAGTTCCATCAATAACAGTGACGGAATCGGGTTTGGAGCTGAGGCTGCTTCTTTCTTTCAACAGATCCCGAACCTTTCGAAAGAAAGACAAACAACTATGTCAATTGAGTTTCAAAAATGGAAATGCAGATGAATGGCAGAAAAATTAACCAGATTCCGGGGAAAAAGAAAGAGAAAGAAGAAGATAGAGATACATACGGCTTGGAGAATGCGGTCAGAAGCATCGCCCTCCAAAGCCCTCAAGCCAGCAGTAGCCCCAACGCGGACGGGAGTGAAGGAGCGCAGGTCTTTTGGGACAGCCCTTTCGGCCTCGTCGAGAAGCCCAGTGAGGGACTCGGCAGCAGAGCGAGGGTCCTTGGCATAAGCGCTCAAGCCAGGCTTGACCTGAATGAAGAGCTCGAGATCCTTGCCGATGGGGAGGAGCTGGAGGTTGTGGTCGAAGCAGAAGACGTGGACGCGGCTGCCGGAGCTGCCGGCGTCAAAGATCACGGCATAAGAGGTCTTGGGAGGCAGCTTGCGGTGGTTGCGGTTGGTGGTGACGGTGGTGGACAGCTCGCCGCCTCCGCCGCCGCCGGGCATGATGTAGAGGACCATGGTGAGGAGGAGGAGAGGGACAGAGATGACGAGGAGGACGCTCCTGTATCTGTACATTTTGTCGGAGAAGGAGTCGTATTGGGGATTGCCCATGCCGATTCCTCTTCCGCCGGGACGCTTGAGCATCTTGTTGTCGGAGTAGTCGGTTAGGGGGTCGTGCTGGGAATGGGAATGATCGGACGGTGGAGAATTGGTCTGGATCAGAGTCTGAGCCTCGAGCAGTTCAGCCGACGAAGGCGATCTGTATCGGATCTGACCGTTGAGATTGAGGGGCTGCTGCTTCCCTTCCTGTGCCGGCTCCAGATTGGAGTATTAGTCCTGGGATCAAATAATCCCAACTCTCTAACTCCGCCGCTCGAGTTACAGACTGCTCTGCCTGGGATCTAAATCTCTCAGTCTATCTATCTCCTCTCCTCTGTGTACAAAAGGAATTGATAAGCAAAGGAGTTTCAGCCAGCCCCCAACCTACAATGCCTTTTGCCTTTTGCCTTTTGCTTCCCAGAATCTATACATATACATACATATATAGAGAGAGGCCACTGCAGTGCAGAGTCTGCAGAGTGCAAGAGACGAGAGCAATGGTTGTTGGGTTGGGATGTTAGCGGACTTGGGATGAATGAACCAACATTACCCCTCACGCCCCATCCACTGCCTAGAATTTTGTAGCTGCAATTTTACGACCAAAAAAAAACAAAATATGAAATATTGCATTACCATAAACAATTAATTAATCTTAAGAAAAACTCTTTGTGTAAAGTAAAAGTATACACAAAAATAAAACGAATTTCCTAAAAGTATACACATTTCTTATATTTCCCGGAAAGTTCCTCTTCACGTATTTCGTATGGGGCCAGCCTTAGACATACATTACCAATTTCATTATGGTTTCAAACCCACATTTCTCTCAAAGTTTTTAAATTTGAAAAAAAACAAAAACAAAAACAAAAAACAAAGATTAGAATGAGCATTGTCTGAGGATCTCTAAATTCTTACAATCATACATTAATTTTAAGGCCAATGTAGTAAGAAAATCACAAAACCAAATACAATCTCTCTCAAAAGCTTTTTTCCTCTTTTCTCAAAAAACTTGGGCACCTCTTCAAAACTCAATTTTCTTTTTGCCCCAAATTTCTACGGAAAAATAAAGAATCATTGTCATTTTCTAATTGGTTCTTAGTGTGTTAAATTTTTTTAGAAACTAATTAGAAAATGACGAGTCACTAATTTTGAGTTTTTCTCTCCAAATAGGCTCTATATAAGTGTTTGTATAATATGTCATGTTGATTAGAAAGAATATTTACTTCACAGCTTTAGGGGTTCAATTTTATGAGGATTGAGGGTTAATTTTAGGAGGAGAAGTCATTCAATTCGTTGATTTCACATAGTTTGGTTGTTGGAGTCCTGCTAGACAGGAGTTGGTGCTTTGGTACTTTGATTAGTGCCAGGAGAAATTGAGTGGTATGCTCTGTCTCTTTGTGGCACTCTCTCCTTCTCATTTCAGTAGCATTATGAAGCGATTCGTCGGATGTTAGACTCCGATTTGGCACTGTTATTGCTTGTTGATGTTGCTCTGTATTATGAGTTGGTTTCTGGTGAATTTGTACTGATTTAGTTGGAAGCCAGTTCTTTAATGAAAATCTTATTTATCGCAAAAATAAAAAATAATAAAAATAATGTTGTTCTTCTCATGTCCAATGGAAGCCAATTCCTAGCTGCCATATTTGATTCTCGAAAACATACCGAATTTGTAAAATCCACATTTCAAGCAAGAGAGATATATATTGCTTCATAAAAGTTGCATTGTTTATTTATTTATATTCTAAACCACATAGGAGGAGCATGAGTCATGGAGATTCAAACTTGAGACTATTGGGCTGCAAGTTGAGGCCTTCTTCCACTATGCTAGACCTCGTTGGCAAAGTTGCATTATTTTTTGTTGGCGAGTGTTGAAATATTTATATATATATGATGTTCACCTGTTTTGGACGATAAGTTATTCCAATTTAAATGACATGAGAGTGAAGAATCATGTACGAATGACTTTAGGATCCAATATCTTAAAACTTCTGAATAGGTTACATAGAATGGTTAGTGCAAGACTGGTAATTAGGTTAGGATGGCCTAAAGGTGTGACCATGACAATGGACACTCTCTCAACTTTATCATGCATGGTAAGAGCAGTTGGCCTTATGGATGCGTGGTAAGAGTTTGCATCCCACCCATTAGCTACCTGCCCAGGCAAAGATGACTCCTAACTACTATGAGATAATCTTAGCTACTAAAAACACCATGCTATCAACTTCAAGTTTTTCTTCCACATTCTCATCTTCCCGCCCACCAAAACCATTATGGCTAAATCTCTTAGACAAGGATTATCCACTACATGCAATGAGTAAACACTTCCTCCCAGTTGTTATCACAAGCTCAACTTTATGCTTTTCGCTATTCTCTCTTTGAAACCTTTAAACACCATGTGTTGGTACCATGACCGGCCAAACAACTAGATGCAATGTCAAGAATCCCACATCGACATATTGCAAGACATGAGGGCTCTCCCTTACCTACCTATAAAGGGAGACCACTCTCCACTTTGAAGGGGTATTCGACATCTTCTTCCCCCTCTAATTGGGATCAACCCTTATGTACAATGTAATCACAACTACTTATTATAATGAGAACATCTCTTTTTGCGAACGAAGCTTATTCCGGTGAACTATGTACATCTGTTGTCTGACCCATGTCTGTTTATTTCTTCTATCTAACCTGTTGAACATACCAAAATGCCAAAGGCGCTTGCCCACCTAACGCACGCATGCACAAACATGCCCCAATCAAAGAATATCACGGTGGGCGTTTCCAAATGCCTCATGTACTATATCGGGCATCGCTTGGAAAAGTAGATCAATCAAAAAGATGGCAGAAAATCTGGAAGAAGAAAAAAAAAGGATGGCAGAAAACAGAGCTGGAAGGGAGAAATATCTAATGAACGGATGGCAACGCCTGCCATTTAACCCAGCTATTATCAATGCTCTCTCGTTGAACACGCTGAAATTCATTGCCAGCACGTGCATAAAGAATGCCAACGTCAAAACACAACTTTGACTAGACAGTCATTTTATTTTATCCACAATTTGAAGACAGGTTTACCAACCCTAAGGTCCTCCTTATCTTCTGATGAAAATGACCAGAAAGAAGCTACCCCACTTCGCCTCTTCTCTTCAGGCCTTCTTGGCCTTCTTCTTTTTGCCTTTGGCAGGTAGGGGGGGAAAGACAGCTCGGAAGATCCAACCAGCCAATATTGCTCCTATGAAGGGGCAAATCCAATAAACATAAAACTGCTCCCATGTGTTGTGCCAATTGTTTAGATATGCCCAACCAAATGCCTGCGAACACGACAAGTAGTACATTTTATAAGGCCATAAAGCTTGGATAGTTGATGATTGGCCTATTGATGATACACACAAAAAGATCTAATATTATTTGATTTAAAAACAAATGATACAAAAGAATAACAGCAACAGATTTAGAAAAGAGAGAAATAGCTTGACCAAAAAACAAAAGAAAAAATATCATAAATAATTCAGTTGCCAAGCCATTTGCTTCTCCATTCATAAATCAATCCAACAGAGGATTCAGATTCTGAAAACTATTCAACCAAAAGAAATGAACAAAGGGATAATGGCTGTAGTACCTTAACAGCTGTAAAGTGAAGTCAGTTCACTACAATCCAAAGGAAACTGTCCAAGGTGCACAACTCAACACATAAAATTGCCATCTCTTCCCACGAGGGAATAACCAAAACAATGAACGATCAGTCTTTGCCTATAAAATTTACGGCATGTATCGGAACTATATAAGGTCTAGACTATTTGAAGTGATGAAGATTGTACATGCACTGTTCTTGAGTGAAACAAGCGAGCCCCTTCCAATTTATCTCGTAACCCGACCATCTCAGCTATCTCCGCCTCATTCAGATTTCTCCTAAGACCAAAGTTAACTATAATGGTACAAAGAAGGATCCACAAAACATGAAATACTCTTTTGATGTTTTCTGGCCAGTCAGAATAATCTGGGATACAGTTCTTTCAACAGTCCAACCTCAAACCAACAATCCCCCCAGAACATCACCCTCTCACTCAAATTCACAACAGAAATAAAGGAAACCTGAAGGAAATATCTTTCCAAGGGCTACAACTTGAGCCTCTCACTAAAAGGTTTGCATCCCACCTGTTGGTAGCCTCCCCATATTTACTTCTTATCATCTTATGCCAAAACAAACTTGTTTCCCTCGGATACCTCCATAACCACTTAGCAAGTAAAGCTTTATTCCTCTCACTCAAATTGGCCACACCTAAACCTCCATCCTCCTTACTTAAGACCATTAAAGTTCAGACTGTGCTTTTTCGGGAAGGCCATTAGTAACTGAAGAAGTGTAATGTAAAAAATTTATATCTCATGGAACGAAAACAAGACTAGTCCTCCGCTATCAACTTTAAGATCAAACCCCCACCATATTTCTCATCCTAGACACCATACTTGTTGAATTTTCCTACTACACTAATTCTAAAATTTCCCCTTCCCGTAAATCCAAACTGATGAGACCAATTATCCAACATTAAATTCAATATGAGATGACAAAATTCCTCATCAACTAATGCAGTAACCTTTCAATGTCGTCAAATAGATAGATAGGGAAATGGGCTATTAATGGCTTGAAATCTTAGATTGAACAAATTGGCAACAACTTTCTCTGGATTAAGAAGTCATCAACGCATTTAAGATTTTGAGTTTCTTATCATTTCAACTATTAGTCAGTCTAAGTCAAGCATTTGTCATTCACCAAATGACTTGTCAAAAGATAAACAAAGCATTTACAAACGGCCTAGAAAGGAAATACAAGATCAAAATTAAGAAGAGGCAAAACATCATCAGACATACACTAATTCAAACAATAAACCTAACTGGAAGCTCTCCTTAGATTTTAAATAGAAGAGAAGTATTTTCAACTGAAGTTAGAAACTCACCAATTAATACATCTTACTCTCTTTGTCCCTGGAAGATTATCTTTCATTTAAAGAAGAAAACAAAATACATTTCAAGGAGACAGTAATTAATGCATTCACACTAGCCTATTCAGTTCTGTATTTCCTTCATTACCCACAATTTTCACTGTTTAAAATCTAAACATAACAGCGATACAGAGAGATACTTCAAGAAAATGAAATTATTTGTGCCTTGACTTCTATTATACTCAGAAATTCCCCAAACCCGCTTCACGGACTTGGACTACCTGCCCAACCCTACAATCTTTTGTGGCTTGACTTTTCAAACTGGGAAAATGGTTCCAGATAGGGGAAAGTAGAGAGGAACTTTTTAAACAATAAGGAAACATTGGCATTTATATTTTAACCGTTAAGGTCCTATCAAAAAAATATTATAACCATTACGGAAATACCACTAATGTGGTAAATACAGCAGTCCTTACATTCTATTGTTGTAATACTTTTCCAGTGATATATTACAACCAACAGAATTTTGAAACTAATGCTACTAACGGAATGCTGTCACGAACAAATTGAAGAGTTATTTATGTCGAACTTAAGAACAGAAGATGGCCATAGTAAAATAACAGAAATAGAACTAGAAGAGGAATTCATACTTAATTAATCAGATGAAAATAAACAAAGTTCCTAAAATCTGTGCGCAACTCTCTTCCTCTGTCTCTCTTTCCATTTGTCTAACTTCTAATCTAAGATGGCCATAAATTTTTTTAATCTCTGATAATGTTGCATATTCAAAGTCAATGAATCAGATGAAAATAAACATGTTCTAATATTTATGCACAACTCTCTCTCTCTCTCTCTCTCTCTCTCTCTCTCTCACGCATGAACATAGGGGTGGAGCTAGAATTGTAAAGTTGGGGGGGCCAAAATAGAAAATACAAGTATATCAAACACCTAAGTATTCAAGATACATGTGAGAGCTAAATATTTCTAAATTAAACATGTCTACTTTGTTTTAGAGGGGCCATTAACTTAAATTATAAGTTGTCTATCACTAATTCCATATATTATTACTCATGGCCTAGGAGTGGCTCCACCACTGCACACACACACGAAGCATACAAAGAGTAGTGGCTGGAGAGGTTTTTTTCGAGAGGGTGAACGCCAAAAATGTGGGGAAAATAAAGGTGATAGTGCAAGGAGGCACTAAGGCATTTATAAGGAAGATAGAAAGTACATTGAAATAGAAGCCAAAGAGGATATACGTTTCTCCTTTTTCTCCTCTCCTGTAGCTTTAATATTTTTTTAGCATAATTGTGTTTATTACTCTGCTTGACAGACAGGAAGATGCCATTTCCATTTTGTCCATGTGTCCCATAAATCATATATTGACAACTACCATACAAACAAAAGCCGAAGAGCATAATAGCAATGTCAAAGAATAAAGAAAGATATCTCAAGGGGTTCAATGATAGTAACCAAACACACTTAGTATTATGATAAGCACCACCAACCTGATATAGCGTATCTCATTTACTACAATAGAAAATATCCCATCCTCGTAATGGATCAAGGGGAAACAATAAATTTCTTAAACATGAGTTCCAATAGTAAAACATACATCTTAAGGACGAGTTATCAAAAAAGCAGTACACATAGCACAGGGAAAGTATAACCATTATTGTAAGATTTTTATAGTGATGCTGTATTAAATTTAATATGTTTCCTACTACTGCAAGGAATCGATATGGTATAGGCAGAAGAGAAAGAACGACATTATAACTATGATTAATGGGGAAAAAAAAAGAAAAAGAAAAAAAAAGCATGGTTTACTTACATTGGCTGGATTCATTGAAGGGCCGGTATAGACAGAACCGGAAACAACCAATGTGACAGTGACCACAGAAAGTAGCAACATCTTCAAAACTGGGCTACGAGGACCCTTGAGTATGATTACAAGGACAAGAAAGGAGATTATGAAAGTCAATACCCCCTCAGCGATAGCTCCAGTATGCACGTCAACTTTTAATGAAGGCCCTCCAAGCATGTGCTTGTATTGCTGTGGCATGACCTCGTTAATGGCTAGTACTCCACCCACAGCACCCAAAGCCTGTGCAAGAAAAGAGAGATGTATTTTATATGCAATTTTGATCGTTAATTAGGATTTTTTATATTAAGCAGCCTAGAATCATTTTGGGTTCTTTTCTATACATCCATTGGTTGAGAGCAAGGCATAAAGTGAGTTTCCTTTTTGCAATAATGAGCAGAGCAGATTCTGTTAGTTAAATTGCAACAGCAGAGCAGTCAGCAGCAGATGATAAATTCTTAAATGATGCATTGCATAGTTTTGATATGGGCAATAAGAATTGAACAAAACCGAGGGGAGAGAGAGAGAGAGAGAGAGAGAGAGATTAATTAGTAAGGAAGGCTTCGGGTTTAGGGTGAGGTGACCTGAGCAGGGAAGCGGAGGGCCATGGAGAGGAGGGTGTCGGCGCCAAGGCCGGCGGCGTAAAAGGAGGCAGTGCCAGTGGGGTTGAAGCTGGCCCCACCCAAGGCGTCTCCGAGGAAGGTGAAGACAAACACAAGGACGAAGACAAGGGCGGTGGTGATGAAGAGCGGCGGCCATGGAAGGTCCTGAATCCCAACGGCATTTGCGATGAAGCTGGTGGCTAGTCCAAGCGTCGATGCGCAGGAAATCCACAAGAAGGTGAGCACAGTGTCTCCAACAGCTGCCTTAATCGCACCCATCTCTTCTGATATCTGATATCTGATATCTGATCTCTTTTCTTCTTCGTTGTTGTCTTTCCAAGTAAAAATATGAGCAGAGCAGATGTCTTTGCTTTGTCTATCTATCTGGTCAAAGGCAGAAGGGAAGACACCATCAACATTCATTCAAGATTCAAGGATATCCAAGATTCAAGATTCAAGCAAGCAGCCTTGTTGGAGTTTATAATAATAAAATAATATACAAAAGAAAATTGACAAAATAATTGAGTGAGAAACCGACTGACTGACTGACTGACTGACTGACTGGTATAAAGCGTGATGATTCATATGTAATGTAATGTAATTGTAACTGACCTAATGAAATGAATTAAACAAATTGGTTGGAGGAGAGGAGATGATGAAGATCCCAGACTGATGTAATGAGACTAGTAGGCGGTTATAGAGTTAGCAGGCAGAAGAAGATTTTTCCAAATCCTGCACGCTCTCTCTCTCTCTCTCTCATACTCTCAGTTGTTGGAAATGTGCTTTCTCACTTCACTACTAGGATTGGGTTGGGGTTGGGGTTGGGCCCATGTATTACTTTCTTCTTTCGCTTTTGCTGGACCTTTCTATTCGTAAAAGCTCTTCTTCTTTTTAATGAGCAAGGAGGAGAAAGCCCCACAAACAGGGAACCAAGTTTTCAGTCATTTTATATTACTAGACAAACTTCTAAAAACCTCTGCTAAAAAAAAGAACTTCTAAAAACCCCTGGCAGATGTAAGCCCAATTTATGTTTGGGAGTTTCACTAAAACATCAAAAATGGAGGTTGAAATTATAAAAAAATCCAACACCCAAAACACTTTATAAACACATCCAAAACCCATCATTACACACACTCAAAATCCATTTATAAACACACCCAAAAAGTTGACTTTGGGGTTGATTTTGGGTGTGTTTCTATGTTTAAATAGTGCTTGGGTTTTTTTATAAATACATGTCTAGGATTGGGTTTATTTATAAATTTGTATTTATGTTTTTTGGCTTATGTGGATTTCACATAAACAAAAATAATAATAAACCACTTTTTCTAAATTAATTAATGATAAAATAAAATAAACAATTTGGCTACTACTTTTTATTTATTTATAAATAGTGACAGAAATTTATTAGATCAATGAAAAAAAAAAAGTAAAAAAAACAAATATTGTAAATGGAGTCATCTCATTAGCAGCGGACATAGGTAAACCTTCTCTAGCCGAAGAGCTGAAAAGATATGTAGAGAAAAACTCAGCAAACTCAACAAAGTTTCTAAAATTATGAGAGAAAAATAACATATACAGCTAAATAGAGTTTCTGAACTTTTTGAACAAACAAGATTAAAACTAAAGAACTAAATTAACACTGACAAAAAGGAAAAACAAATGTCGTTAATCTTCCTTTGGGACATAACGTAGAGAGCACCATCTAGTCACTCCATGGCCTCTGTTTGTGCAAATTTCTCACGGGAGAATATTCTCGTGTAGATTCTTCACCTTTTGAGCTTCCTTATCTATCTTTCTCGGTTCTTACGAAACAAAGAAGAGTAAAAGACCACATCCGGTAGGTGTTAGCTAAAGGCTTTCCGATGTCTAAGTTAGTTCGATTGAATCTTTGAGAAACAATAGCTAAAAAGGGTACGGAATTTTTCTCTCACGGGGAGAGCCAAGTGGATAGAACCGTGTGTGGCGGCACTTGGCTGTGTGGGAGAGATGAAAATCGGAGAGGATGGCAACTAGGGAGGTCGTCGGCTAGAGAGAGAGAGAGAGAGAGAGAGGTTTCAGGGATAGTTGCTTGGTTTTGGAATTACCTCATGTGTTGAATGTGGCTATGTGTTGCAGGGAGATTGTGTCAATTAGGGATTTGATTGGGATCAAATCACTAATTGGTGATAATATCTCCAAAATAAGATAATATCCTAAATCGGTGATATTATCTTTTAATTGGTGATTATATTCCCAAATAAAGATAATATCCCTATTTTTAGTATCAATTAATTGGCCAAATAAATGGGCTCAATTAATTAACCTATGAGATATTTTTTTGTGGCACATTGTGATTGGAAGCCGGAATATTTGCTTCCACACCCTCAACAAACCAATGAACAATATATCTCCCATGACCAAACAATAACACATCAAAGAGCAGGCCCGCAAGATGAGGCACAATCAAAGTCATCCCAAATATGTGGTATATACAACATATATGCCAAAAACTAGAGAACACTTAGGATCTCTCTCTCTTTCTCTCTCTCTCTCTTTCTCTCTCTCTCTCTCTCTCTCTCTCTCTCTCTCTCTCTCTCTCTCTCTCTCTCTCTCTCTCTCTCTCTCTCTCACACACACACACAACTAATATTAAGACTCTCAGGAATAGGCGGAAATAATATGATTGGTTTTTAACTATAAACGTCCCTAAATTTTGCCTCGAGTTGCAATTGGGTCCCCGAACTTTTTTTTGAGGCAATTACATCTATTAACTCCACAAACAGTTCCAATTGGGTCCTACCGTCCAACTTTGTCAATTTGTCCGTCAAAATAAAGGGGTAAAAGCATCCTTTCGAATTCTTCATTCATCATTGACCCCAACTCCACCTTCTTCATCCATCATCGACCCCAATCACCCCACCTATATCTTCACAACCTTCTCTACCAGGGACGGAGCAAGAAAAAAATTTCAACGGGGGCATCTCATTAAAGCTTCACAATGATAACTGGCGGTCAACACTCTTTCAGTAGTGAGTGAATCCAAATGCAAAGTAATCCTAATTGAACTATAAAAGAGAAGAATAATATTTTTTTTCTTTGAGCTTCATACTTGTTTTTGCTTTGACAGATATGGAGCAATGGAAAGTACAAGAGCATTGAGCACAGAGCTGTGACAACCGAAAGCAAGGCAAGGCTAAATTTTTTAATCCTCCTCTTTCTCTCCCTTTACCCAACCCTTGGCAACCACAACCACCCTCACCTCAATCTCTTTACCCAACCTCTCAAATTCAAACAGCCATTGGAGCTTTATGATAATTCCCGGAAGCCACACCAGTGGCTTTGTTCCAATCAGAAACATGAAACATAGAATAGAGAAAAAGAAACACAAAATCGCAAATGGCAAACCTCATTAAATTCAGCCATGGAAGAACAAGATCGGAATTTGAAGAAATTGCAGTAGAAAGCAAGAATCATGAGGTACGTCCTAGCAACCTCTGGCTCTGGTCTATACCATAATAACAAGGGAAACTAAAGAAAACAATTTGAGTGGGTTTGGCAAAGATATGGTTTGGGGAGTGTGAATGAATTTTGTTATCAATTGATGGGTTTGGGTTCATGGTTTCGAGTGGATGAGTAGGGGCATCTGCACCCAGTGAGCCTTAGCTGGCTCTGTCCCTGTTCTCCACCAAGCCCAAAACTCAGAAACCCCCAACTCAACGATCCTGGTTATGAGAGTGAAACCATCAGAGCCAAAACCCCCACAAAATCACAAAACTCAACAACCACAATTCGACTTTTAGGAAGGATTAAGCCATCAGAGGCAAAACCCCAAAACTCAAAAACCCCCAAGCCCAACTCCACCATACAACCACCCTCGTCCCCACCCAAGATCCACCCAGCCTCACTTGAGACCCATCCAGATCCTCTCTCTCTCTCTCTCTCTCTCTCTCTCTCTCTCTGTGCAAATTCAAAAATTGAAAAAGAAAAAAAAAATCAAACACTTTGCATCTTTTTTTGGGGGGGAGGGGGGTTGGGGTTGCGGGAGATGGGGGGTGGGTTGTAGGTTGGGTTGGGATCTGGGTATTGAGGGGGTGGGATAAGGAGGAGGGGGAATGTGTTGTAGGAGAGAGGGTGACCTGAGAGAGAGAGAGAGAGAGAGAGAGAGAGAGAGAGAGAGAGAGAGGATTTGGATTTCTATTTTTTATTTTTAAGTTTATTTATTTATTTATTTTATTTTTGCACTTTTTCAATTTTTTTTCTTCATTTTTTAAATTTTAAAATATTTTAATTGAGATTGACGGTTTTAGCCATCAAATTAATGCCAAATTGACCGAAGGACTCAATTGAAACAGATGAGAGAGTTGGATGACCTAATTGCCTCCAAAAAAAGTTTGGAGACCCAATTGCAACTCGAGGTGAAGTTCAGGGACCTCTACAGTTAAAAACCCTAATATGACAGCTGCTTAGAATCAAATGAAAGTGTTTTGTGTACTTGAGATCAAGGGCGACGGCCTAGGGCCCTAGACCAAGAGGCCCCAAAAAGTTTAATATATGTATATATTATATAATTATTTAGGCCCATATAAAAAATGATTTTTTAAGAATTCAAAAATATAAGAGTCCAAATAAAAATGATTTCAAATCTTTAACAATACAAGGCCTCATTTTTAAAAATTATTAATTTTGTTTGGAGTAGCAAATATGCAATTAATCCAACACTTCCTTCAAGAAAAATTTATAGTTGTTCTAGTTTGATGGTTTTTTGTTGTTGTTGTTGTTGTTGTCAACAATATGATGTTTTATTTTATTTTTATGTTTTATGATTTTATGTAGTTGAATGAAACTACTATGTTTTAAAAACAAATATATGTGCTAAAAAAGCATTTCCATGTTAAACTATGATTACATACAAAATGTCTCATTTCAATTTATAGCCTTGGGTCACTCAAAAGTCAGGGTTGATCGAGCTTTGAGATTGGTGTCATATCAGCACAAATCCTTAGCTTCGCATCCATTCCATGTACTGCAACCTAATTAAGTTTAATGAACACTGATATGTGGCATATTGGTTGGCCTAACTATTGTTCCTTTTTTGTCATTGCTTGTTATCACAGATAGGGCTTGGACATCACCATTCCAAATAATAGGCTACTTGGGAAGAATACTATAACTTTGTACATGCCAAAAGTATTTGTGGGCTTTTGGTGAACACTGTGATGCCCTAGGTTTCTAACAGGCTATACTTTGGCTACTATGGTTTACTTGTTGGTCAAGAAATGAAAGATTGGGCCCTAGAATGGGCTTAGATACTGGTCTTTCTCAAGTGCGTTAGGTGTGCCACTATTAATGTTTCACTCTCCTAGTAGAAAAAGGTGAAATGTTGTAGTGAATGTATTGCGCTCGTTTGATCTTAACCTCTAACCAAAACCACTGTGCTCCAAGTGGGGAATCTGGCTTGGATAGGTTCTTTTCTAAGCCTCAACTAAGAGGACTTCAATATTTCACTTGCTATGGAATAAAACTCAAAAGGAATGGAGATTTTAACTAGATATTGGACATAAAGTACAATACAAGTTTAAAGGTAAAAAGGGTTCGATGATACGGTGCAGTTACAAGAAAGCAAATACAAGTCCAAGTATACCTAAATAAATTCAAATGAAAACAATAAAAGGTCTAACAATGCCCAGGGGAACCATATTGGACAGAAACAACTTTTCTCGGACACCAATGTAATCTACTTGAGATAGTGCAATGTGTCCAATGAGATTTTGTCAACAATATATGCAGTATATATAAGATGTTATATATACAAATTTGATTTTAAAGATGCTGGAATTGGTGACCAACTTCTAAAATCATACCAAGCAATAAAGTTGGCAGAGCATTAGAGTTACAAACAATAGCAATGTAATTCCAAGGAATTGTCAACTGAGAATTAAACAAATCATGTGTTTGGGAGAAGTTCCAATCAGGAGTTGTCAACTGGGAACTCAAAGAATATGAGAGGATTTGCTTCAAATCTTGGCTTTGGTCTGCTGTGAGATATTTTGACAAGGTGTTCGAGTCGAGGGCATTTGAATATTGTTCAAATTGGTTGTTTGTTCTTAGGATTGGTTGTCCTTTGGATTGTAAGTTCTGCTTCCATTATAGACTCCTTGAATCTTAAAATTGCACGTTTGGTAAAGAGATGTCTCACCCTTGTACCTGTTCTTTCTTTGCAGGTGAAATGATGGACTTTGATTTTACTTTGATCCATGTATTTAGCCGTGTTTTACCAAGTTGATGATGATGAGTCTAATGGTTTAAATCACATTTAATGCGGTTGCTCAACCTTTCTTTGCCGCCCGAGTCTTCTTCAGCTGTCGAAATCAACTTCGAGTTCAAATTTGGGTACTCACACTATTAATCGGGTAAAAGTTGCTTAACAACGGTTTTATGGGAAAGTCAAATCTTTTGGAGAATATTGACATTGGGCCCCAATCTTTGGACATTTAGTTTTCTAATTCTGAACGGCCCAAAACCCATTTTACTCGGAGAGTCCTTTTGTTAGGCCTTTATGCATTCTCAGTCCAAACGTATTGTTTCGTGGAAACAAATCAAAGATTGGGGCAACATCATGGTTTGAAATATTACTTTAAAGTATGTTAATTAATTATTTGCGGTGTGAGAATGAACTGGGTATTCTAAATTAACCATAATTTGTATTTAAAACCATTCATCTTGGCTATAATTACATTAATTAATTTCTTACTATGTCAGACCCACATTCTGTCCGACGGTTCGTGGTCTACTTGATTGACCATGCGTTGGTCAATGTTTATCATTTAGAGTTGACTTTTGTTCGATGGGCCTGGGCCTTAGACATGTGGTTGACTAGTTTGGTGAACGTTTGACCATTTCAATGGGTTTTGTTTATTGGGCCTTGGTTGCTTATAGAATTTGCCCAAATAATTAGGAAATTGGCTATGCTAATTTTGGTCCAAACTTCCAAATTTTGATACTTGTGGAGTGTCCATAGGGAGTCAATGTTGCTGAGTTGGACATTTTAGCTGAGCTAGCTGTTGAGGCCCAAAAAATCTATGGATTGGGCCCGAGCCATTATCAGCCCAATACAATATTCCATAAGGGAAAAGAAAAAAAGGATCTATCGCATGCGAGTTATAATCCACATGCCACGCTAAATAAACAAATTATCATGCTATGATTCGCGATAAAAATATAATTAACTCATGATAAAAATTAAAACAATCCTTCCCAAGGGCAATAAGGTAAAATATGCCGAGCAACATGCCATGCCGTTATCTCGCGCCCAACCACGCTACAAGCCTAGGTGGGCCCAAGCCACTCAAAAAACCCGGGGCTTGCTTGAGTGGGTTGTGGCATGGATGGTGATAAATCAACATGAGACCCATTGATGGACCGAGAAATGGAAAGTCTCGGGTTGCTTGGGAGCCTCGAGACTCAAGCCCATTTCTTAGGCCCAAACATGTGGGTAAGCACAAGAGAGAAAAATAGCCCAAAAGCCCAAGCAAAATAACCTAGCCAAGAGATAACCCAACCAAAAAATAATAAGCCCAAATCAAGAAGCCCAACAAGCCCATTTGCTTAGAAAGCCATCTTGGCCCTTAGAAAAACCCAAAATAGCCCACAAGAGCTTCAGCTCTTTTGAAAAGCAGAGGACACGTGAAGAGCAGATGGCAGACTCCTTAAGCAAAGCTGTTGGAAACCAGTCCCAAGCCAGAGACATCCAAAGAACCGATGAATACCATCCCGCATGCTGTCAGAAGCATCCCTTGGACCAGCATATATTTTCACCTCTTTTCCTCCATCAGATTCAGCCAAAGAAGAGGAAAGAAAAGAAGAAAAAACAGCAAACCAAGAGTGGAAGCTCTCATTGCACAGCCGCGGGAAAGGAGGATGTTGAGCCCCCAAATCCCCTGAATTCATGAAAATAGACAGAAGCAATCTTTGCCAAGAAAGGGAAGTCAGAGAAGGGGAGGAGAAAGGAAGAAAAGCTCAGCCAAAGTAAGTAGAAGCCATTAGGGTTTCTTGAAAAATGGTGATTTCCGGCAGCTATAAATTGAGCCTTCCTCTACCCAACAAACTCAACTCACAACCTGCAGAGAGCAAGCTTTTCTCTCTATCTTGCAAAACTCAGACTCGTGCACTGTTCATCTTCTTCTCCAATTTGTTTTTCTGGCAGCTGCCGGAAGAACCCTGCCTTTCTTTTTTTCTCTTTCTCTAGTCAAAATTCCTCACAAAACACCTCATTCCTTACTTAAACACTTTCATTTCTCATAAACCAAGCCTAATTTCTCTCTTAGTGCTAAACCCAGGTTGGTTTTGCTCCCCATGCCTCATGCCACTCATGCTGAGCTAAAAAAACCATCTGTAAGCATGCCAAAACTATCTGCAAGTCACTATTATTCTCATTGGTGAAGATTATCCAAAATATCTCCTAAGGTTTCGCTGCCTTTTCGAGGTATTTTGGGGCTTAATTTTCGAACCTAAACAAAAAGGGGCAATCTCCTCAGTCCGCCTTTTGCAGCAGCCCAGCCCGTTAGCTGCAGGAAGAAAAAGTCCCCTACATAAATTGGCGACTTCACTGGGGATTAAGCCATTATCTTCATCAATGCCTCCAAGAAAGAAGACCAGAAGCAACAACATAACTTCCCAGGATGGGCCAAGCCATGCTGACTCAGAGTCAAGGCAACATGCCTCTTCTAGAGAAGAAGAACGTGCAAGTGAGGGAACTTTTACCCTCACAGATCTTGTTGCAGCCATTCGTGCTATGGGTGAGACCCAGAGGGAGATGGCAGAGATGATAAAAGAACTCAAAAATTCGGCTCCAAAGCCAAGTGAAGTGAATGAGAAGCACCCACAGGAGGAATCTGCTGCTGCCGGAAAGGAGTCTGAGCAGAAGGGACCATCTTTTGTCACTCAGGAGGACGTTGTTGCCATGCTGGAAAAGGAGCTGAGTCGAAGTCAGGAAGATTGGAAGTATCTTCCTCAGCCGCCGTATCCATCAAGCTTACTCCAGCAGCCATATTCTAAAGGCTATGAAGCACCGACCTTTGTCCTCTTTGATGGACGAAAGGGGAGCCCGAAGGAGCATGTCAATCGCTTCATCGATGCCTTGGGACCGTATGCTGGTGATCATAATCTTCGACTTAGAGAATTTTCAAAGAGTCTCACCGATCGTGCTTACACATGGTATACAACGTTGGCACCAGGCTCTATTCATTCCTGGGAAAGTCTGGCAAGCAGGTTCTGTAAGAAGTATTTCCAGCATGAAGCAGCTGCCGTGACATTTCATAATATCACGGAAGCTGAAACAAGTGTGATGGAACGTTATTTAAGCATGAAACAGGGGCCCACAGCTTCACAGGTCCTTCAAAGAAACCCAAAGTTCAAATCACTCTTTGACCAACTTGGCTTCGGGCCTCAAGCAAGAGAAGCAGCTGCTGTAGCCCTGATGAATATCTCTGAGGAGTCTAATTCTCAATGCTTTACAACTCAACCACAAGGGTCATTCTTGGGAAATGACAATGCTATTGTCTTTACGAACGAAGACATGGAAGTTCCATACCCGGACCATAGGAGGCCGCTTTACTTGGAGGGACAAATCAATGATGTGTTCATAAGGAGAGCTTTGGTGGACACGGGTTCCTCTGTCAACATATTACCTCTGTCTGTGCTTACGGCAGCTGGTATCCCATTGTCCAAAATTGTCCAATCACAAACAAACATCAGTGGTTTCGGAAATAAGAGTGAGGTCACAGTCGGGCATCTACAAGTACATTTGAAGGTTGGGCCAATTCGGTCACTTACTAAGTTCTATGTTGTGGATGTGGATGTGGCTTACCATGCTTTGCTTGGAAGGCCATGGCTCAACAAGCATAAGCTTGTGGTCTCTACCTATCATCAATGCGTAAAAGGAAGGATTGGGCTGAGGCCGCTACGCATACCTGGAAACCAAGCACCTTTCAACAAAGATGAAGCTCACTACTCTAAGGCGGAATTCTACACTGAATGCACAGGTGCTGGAAGCAATCCATCCAAGGATTTCGGGACCTACCTTCCTTCGTGGACTGAAATTCGTGATTTAAGCAATGAGGAGCTCATCACCATTGTTGATCGAGAGAGAAAGAGGCACTCGGAAGTCAACAACCATGCCTATGATCATCCCCAATGCTCAAAGGTGACGCTGCCCGATGGACGTATCGTGTACCGCTTATGACGGGGTTGGGGGCTTGACCGTGTCTTACGGGAAAGCCCCGAGTATGGAGGAAAAGTAATGCAAACGAATAGCTGTGGGAGTTCCACCAACAAGGCACCCATGCCTTGTGCTTTCCAAGAACCAATGGCAGCACCCAGACACATGCAAGATGGGTCGGCAGCAGTAGCTGAGCAGCTGGAAACAATTGATTTGAGTGAGGATCCCTCTGCCCGAGGCCCATTTCCATAAGTGTTCATTTAACAAGTGAGGAGAGGGCGGCCTTGGTATCTTTGCTAAAGGAATTTCGAGATGTGTTCGCTTGGAGCTATGAGGAAATGCCTGGCTTAAACCCAAGCTTAGTAAGTCATACTCTGAATATTGAGCTTGGTACAAAACCTATCGTGCAGCCAAGAAGGAATTTTCATCCTGAAGTTGAGAAGCAAATCAAGGTGGAAATTGAAAAGTTGTTAGCTGCCGGATTTATTAAGCCAATCAAGCATCCTACGTGGCTAGCAAATATTGTCCCTGTGAAAAAGAAAACCGGTGTGATCAGAATATGCACGGATTATCGAGACCTCAACCGAGCTTGCCCAAAGGACGAGTTCCCGCTGCCTAACATGGATATCTTAATTGATTCGACCTCGGGTCAAGGCTTGTTGTCATTCATGGATGGGTTTAGTGGCTACAATCAGATCAAGATGTCTCCCAAGGATGCCGAGAAGACAGCCTTTCGAACACCGTATGGGAATTTTTATTATACGGTCATGCCATTCGGCCTCAAAATGCTGGCGCCACCTACCAAAGAGCTATGACAGCGGTGTTTCACGACATGATGGGAAAAGAAGTCAAAGATTATGTGGATGACCTTGTGGTGAAGTCCAAAACCAGAGAAGGCCATCAAGAAGTTTTAAGAAGAGTGCTGGAAAGGTGTCGGCTGTACGGTTTGAAGATGAATCCAAAGAAGTGTGCGTTCGGGGTTTCATCCGGTAAATTCTTGGGGTTTCAAGTACACCAGCGTGGCATAGACGTGGATCCTGAAAAAACTAAAGCCATAAATTCTCTTGCACCGCCTAAAACCCAAAAGAATTGAAAAGCTTTATGGGAAGATTATCGTATATTCGGCGCTTTATCCCAGGTCTTGCTGCCACCATGAGTGCTTTTACTCCATTGCTCAAGAAAGGCAAGCCGTATGAATGGAGTGAGAAGTGCCAAGAAGCTTACAAAAAGGTGCAACAAATAATCACCAAGCTGCCCACTATGAAAGCACCTATTCCGGGGCTCCCTCTCAAGCTTTATTTGGCTGCAACAAACACAGCGGTTGGTGCCTTACTTGCTCAAGATGATCACAGTGGGGAAGAAAGTCCTATTTATTACGTAAGTAGGCAACTAAGGGGATCTGAAGTAAGATATCCAAAAACTGAACTCTTGTGCCTTGCTCTTGTTTATGCTGCACAGCGCTTGCGGCATTACTTCCTTGCTCACAAGCTACATCTCATGGTGAAGTCCGATCCCGTAAGATATTTGCTTACAAGGCCGGTATTATCCGGACGCCTTGCACGTTGGTTGCTACAACTGTCCGAGTTTGATATCACCTGCACCACCCCAAAAGCTATTAAAGGGCAGGCCGTGATTGACATGTTGGCTCTATTTCCCGAAGTTGAAGAATCAACAATCTCTAAGGAAGTTCTGGGGAGCTGCCGGAAATGGTTGCTGTTGTCACAGAGGCAGAACCATGGACCCTCTACTTCGATGGGTCTTCTACATCGAAGGGTGGAGGGGCAGGTGTGGTGCTTGTCAATCCCGAGGGGCAAGCCACGGCCCTCTCGTTTAAGCTAAATTTCCCATGCACGAATAATACGGCAGAGTACGAAGCTTTTATTGCAGGGATGTTTACAGCAAGGGAAATGGGTGTCAAAAGAATTAAAATTATTGGGGATTCAAACTTGGTGCTGAGTCAATTACAAGGAAATTTCGCCGTGAAGGAACCAGCATTGGCACCATATCGTACAGCTGCTGAAAGGCTTGTTCGTTCGTTCAAACAAGTTGTGTTGGAACATATCCCGGGAGTCACTAATAGATATGCTGATGCGTTGGCCACTTTGGGGTCGAGGCTCTCATTTATTGAAGAACAGCCCAATATTGCAGTAATCAAGAAGGACACGCCAGTTGTTGAAGCAATGGCTCAAGAGGAGCAGCTGGAAGAGGATGACTGGAGGAGGCTTGTGAAAGAAAAAATAGGCCAAGGAAGCAACATCAAAGAATTGAAGGATTATGCGATCATCTTTGGGGAACTGTACAGACGCCTTCCGGGAGGTATTTTGACCCGCTGCATAGGGATAACAGAAGCACAGGAGAAGCTTCAAGAGGTACATGAGGTCACTTGCAATTTGGAGCCAATAATCAGCTTGTACCGGCGCCTGCAGCGCAAGGGTTATTACTGGCCAGAAATGAGGAAACAAGCAGCTGAAATACAAGCCAATTGTCCCAAGTGTGCAAAGATACCTTCCACCGAGGAATCATTCACCGTCTCGTTTGCGGAGGATTGGAGGGCTCCATACTTGGCATCCTTCATCAATGGGGTCTTGCCAACCAATCCCAAGCATGCACGCAAGCTCAAAAGGACAATGAAAAGATACTTCATAGATGGGTCAACTCTTTACCGTAAGGGGTTTAATGGTGAGCCATTAAAATGCTTGGGAAAGTCAGAGGCACAGCAAGTCATGCAAGAGATTCATGCTGGAGAATGTGGTGAGCACCAAGGAATGAAGAAGCTTTACCGGCAGCTGCTGAGTGTTGGGTATTATTGGCCTACAATGAAGAATGATGCATACGACTTTGTGAAGAGGTGTCACACATGTCAAGTTCATGCCAATTTAAGTCATAAGCCTCCCACGCTGCTGCAAGACATGCGCACTCCTTGGCCCTTCCATACTTGGGGGCTTGATTTGATCGGGACTATCCATCCACCATCCGACAGCTACATATGGATCCTCACGGCCACCGAATATTTCACAAAGTGGGTAGAAGCGGTTCCCTTGCGGAAGGCCACGGGAGCTGCCGTTGCCAATTTCATCCGTTGAAATATTTTGTATGCGATTTGCGATGGGACCAAGATTGTCACCGACAATGGCACCCCGTTTGTCAATAAGCAAGTAAGCTCGACACTTAGTGGTTATGGTATCAAGCATCGTCGCTCCACGCCTTATTATCCACAAGGAAATGGTCAAGCGGAAGCCACAAACAAGACTTTATTGAGGATCCTAAGCAAAATGGTTTATGAGTATGAAGGAGGTTGGAGTGTTCACCTGCCGGATGCTTTATGGGCTTACCGCACCTCTTCAAGAAGTGCCACAGGTTTCTCGCCCTATTCACTTGTGTACGGGTCCGATGCCATTTCACCAGTAGAGATTACCATCCCCACTGCCAGAATAGCAGCTGTTAACGACCTCGAATGGGATACAAAGTCATGCTCGGAATGGCGCCTGCTGGACCTTGAAGCTTTGGATGAAAAAAGAGCGGTAGCCGAAAAGAAGACAGCGTTGTACCACAGAACTGTAGCTCAAGCCTATAACAGGACAGTCAAGCCTCGCGCCTTCAAGCAAGGAGACCTCGTGCTAAAAGTTGCGGAGCATGTGAGAAGACAGGTGTCGGGACCTTCCAAGTTTGCGCCACAATGGGAAGGCCCGTTTGCAGTCAAAGAAGTTCACAGCAGCGGCTATTATCGCTTGGTCTCTGTCAAGGAAGGCACGCTGACAGACCCCGTCAATGGGAAGTGGCTCAAGCTCTATTACTGCTAAGTTAACTTTATGCCTAGTACTTTTGTATTTTCTCTCTGTCAAAAAAAAAAAGACTCCTTCTGTCTTATTTTCACGTTTTGAAAAAAAGACACTTTTGTATGATGCACCATTATGGTAGCAAGGGCTTTTGCAATGAGAATGAAGGAATATTTTGAAAAATATATATATATTGTGTCTCCAAAACTTTACTATTATTAACCCTTTATCAAAATTTTCTATATCTATATATATATATATATATATATATAAACATGCTACTTAGTAGTAAAACATGCCGGGCAAAGTCACTTAGATGGGGTCCCCAAGCATCACGCTTAAGCAAAAAAAAAAATAGCATAAGGCATGTTGCAGAGAAACATGCAATTTTGAGATGCTGGAACAACACGATACAACACCTGGAAGCTTTATAGAGCCCAAGTAGAAATCATGCACATATTGGTTCGACCCTTTGGGAAAGGTGGGAAGCTATTTTGTCAAGCCTAGAATCTAGATAAGCCATGCAAAAGAAGCTTTCGAAGATTTTGCTTCTAAAAAAAAAATTTTGACAGCATATACCCTGTTTTTAATGATATCCAACCTGTCAAAAAATTTAAAGCAGTCCATAAAGACAATTCTGGCCAACAAAGCAGTACATATACATATATACACAGGAAATATGCAACATGCCTCAAGCATTCAGAAATTCATACAAGCTTCAGTAGTTTAATATCAAAATTACAAAGGCATAACGAAGTAGTCGTTAGAGTCTCAAAAAAAAAAACAACACTACAAACAAAGCAAAATAAAACTGCATATGCTGAAGGTTCACGCGCCCTTGAGTCACAAAGAAAAGCAGGATCATGTGCCAAGCTAAATGGTCTCCAAGCTAAGGATGGGCAATCTGCAAAAGATAAAAGAAAATGTGTGTAAAAAAAAAGCTGCTGCTGGAATACGTAATAAATAAAAAAATATAATGGATGAGCTGAGTACCTGTAGGCTATGGGGAATGTCCGAAAAGAACAAAGGAAGCCCCAGGAGATAATCTGGCCGCTGCCTCCGTCACGCACTCAGCGCTGTCAACAGAAATACCCTTAGCAAGAAGAAGGGCATGCATCTCCCGGCGCTGGTTCTCCAACTCCTGTTGTTTAATATTCAAGGCATCTGCAGCAGCTTTTACTTCATCAGAATCATACGATAATTGCATACTACGAATGGCCCGTGCTCCAAAGACGGCACGTGCTAAGCTCTTCACGAGTTTAAGAAGAAATTCCACGGATTTCGGGATGAATCACCCATCTCCAGCAGCTGGGAAGAAAGCCCCCAGTCCGACTCGGACTCAACCTCGTCGTTCCTCCTTCGTTCCAAAGGAGCCCGTTCGTCGCTGCTGGAAAGGTCCTCCTTTTGTGCGGGTTTTGCCTTCAAATCCCTGATTTTCTCCTCTTTTTGGTGCATTCGACGCCATCCCTTGGAAGATTTAACAAGGTACCCTCTTTTCTCCAGTTTTCCCTTAGATTGATTGGAGAATTTGTTGGGTTTCTCATACCCATGGATGTTGCTTTTTGTTTTGGCAGCCAAATACCAAAACCCCCCTTTTTACCCATCTTGTTTCCGCTGCAACAATAGTGCTCACGGAGTGGGTGCTAGCAAGGAAGGGCCCGCGCCATTGTCTAGGTTTCTTCCTTCGTTGATTTTGCTCGAGCTGCTGGAAAGGTAATAATTTTTTTTCCTTGTTGGCTTGGGTTTCTCCCCCTTCTCTTCATTTTTATTTTGCACGGGCTTCTTTTTTTGTGTGTAAAAGGCTAATTTGGCATGATGTGCTTTCCCTTTGTTTATTTTTTGTGCAGGTATACACATCTTGGGCATAGGTGAGGGTAGGTGCTAGAAACCCTTGACGTTTTGCTGCTGGAACCTTCAAACCCTTCAGTCTTCTAACTTAGACTTTGGTAATAACTCTGCCAACTCTGGGTATTTTAGAATAGGTGTAGACTGATGCTTGGCCTAGGCTTTCTTTCCTTGAGGACGTATGTGCGATCAATTGTCACTTGTGGAGAACAATTTTTCTTGACAGAGTGGATGTTTCGTATTGCCTGGTTGAATATTCATTTTTCATTTGGAGAAGGGACTTGCTTATCCTGCCACAGAGCAAAACTCTTGTTTGCCATGAGCTTGGATTTTAAATTGCATGTTTACTCGGACGACCATAACCAGTCGTGCTTGATACATATCGCATGTGTGCTAATTCCATCTTGCTTCTTCCCGCTTTTTTATATGCAGGTACCTATAATGGCATCCGGTAATCCACCATTTATCATAAGGGATCATCTTTACTCCGTAGATGACAGGTTGAAGAGAGGGAGACCACCTCCCTTGCTTAAGGGCGCCGACGAGGATGTAATTATTGATGAAGAACCAGCGCCAGAAGCTACTCCAGTGATCGACCCCGCATCTGTATCAAGGTGCTGCATAGAAAGGGGTATGTTTCCGGCAGTTCCTTTGTTCTTTCAATATCCTTGCAGCACCAGCAAGGGTTGGTCGGAGTGGGTTGATGATGAACTGAAGAACCCGTCTACCCGTGATATCCTAAGCCGGGCAGGGTGTGTTGGAAGCCATCTTTGCTTCTAAGGCTTGCGACATCCATATTGAAGTCAAGACGCTTCGACACTTGGTTAGACGGTGGAGCACCGAGACACACACTTTTATTTGTTCGTGGGGAGAGTTCACTCCCACGCTTGAGGATGTAGCTAATATTTTCCATCTCCCACTTTGCGGCAGCCAAGATCCTTTCCACATTGCATTAACCCCGGAAGATGGGCTAAAGCTTGAGACTTTGCGGAAGGGTGCTCCGACCTCTCCTAGTACCTCTCTAAGATTCAGTAATTGGATTCAGTTTTTTGGGAACAGTGACCGAGATGAGCCGTGTCGCCTTGCGGCGTTCGTGTCCTTGTGGCTCGGGAGGTTCCTCTTTTGTGATTTTCTCAAGACTGCTTGCATGGGAGAGTGTTTCCGTTGGCTTTGGCAATAGCACGGGGTAGCATGATCCCTTTAGCCCCCATGTTCTTGGGGCACCTATATCGCTTGCTTGACCAGATTCAATTTCTTGAGAAGGGGGCGGCCGGAACCATGGCTGTGGAGACTTTTGTAAACTCCAGTTTTCTGCAGATCTTTTTATGGGAACGCTTCAAAGGGATAGAGGTATCTCCACTCCCTTATTCAAAGGCTGAGTCACTGGTTGCTTCGGACGAGAATTCCTACATGCCGGGTAGTCTTCCTCTGATCTGTAGATGGTCCCGTCGCATGAAACGGAAGGGCCAAAACTTTTTAGAGCTGCTGGACGATGTTGAGCAATTTATTTTCCGTCCCTATTGTGCCTCATCAGAGGGCTTTAGAAGTATGCCCCTCTACGCTGACTCTGCTGCTTTAATGGAGGCCCTGGCCATGCCAACACAAGGTTGTCGGTTACGTAGAGAGGCATTGTTGAGTGCCGCATGCCTCCCTTTGCCCACATTTGGTGATGACCACTTGGAGATTTCTGTGCATTATTCCCCTTACCGGGTTAGACGACAGCTTGGGTTTGACCAAGGCGTGCCTTCTCGTCCCAACCATGGAGGTTCCTTGACCTTGCACAGGGTTTTCTGGACTGGTGACAGTGTGCCGAGAGACGGCAGACCTCTTGCCCTTGCTCTGGCCAGCCGGCAGCGCGTTGGTAGTCTCTCAAAGGCCTACCAAAATTATTGGAACCGCTGTTTTGCCTCGTTCAGCCGATTCCATGCTGCCCATTGTGATAGATTGATTCCCACCATCATTCATCATGCCCGTTTAGTGTCGAAAGAGAAAGCCATTTCCCTGAGCGAGAAGCGAAATCTGCCCTTTATCTCCAAAAGCGGAGAGATTGTTGGTGACTTTTCGAAGCTAAAGCGGAAGTTAGAAAAGTCGGGTTCTCACAGCGCCGGGAAAAGTGTTGTACATGGGAAACGGAAGCGCGAGGAAAGCTGCAGCGCCGAGAAAAGGCAAGCTGTAAAAGGGCCAAAAAGGTTCATCCCCAAGGTAGCAGCAAGTGGTCCTCCTAGCTCAAGAAAAGTTGCCTTGCCGGAGCCTTTACAGCAGCAGCCTGTAGCTTCCGGCAGCAGCGAGCGAGCAGCTCCAAAAGCTTCATCTCCTCACAGTAAGTATTGCTATTTGTTTGCTCCCTTTGTTCCCCGCTCTTTGCGTACATATAAGTATCCTTTTTATCTTATTTTGCAGGTACTTCCCAAAGTAAAGGCAAGGGTAAGGGGTTTTCCGTGACCCCGAAACGTCGAAGCATGCGTATTCTTGAAACGCGGTTTGCTAATACCCGTAAGAATAAAGGTAAAGACTCGGGACCCAAAGTAGTGGTGACGGTTGATGATAATAGTGATGATGATAGTGATGACAATGGCGCTGCGGGGACTGAGATTAACATTCATGAGCAAGAGAGCGCTCGCGATACGAGTGGCATGGATGAGGACCTTGATGAAGGCCAATACGATAGTCACGACGAAGACACCTATCCGGCCTTCGGCACTAGCTTGGGGGAGCTCGATGGCTCAGATACAACTCCTGCTTTGACTAGCGATTCTGGACAGCGTGTCGATGTTGAACTGGTATCAAATATCCTTCTTGCTTGTTCTGCTTGGAATATTGACATTGCATACTGCCCGTTGTGCCCTCTAGTTCATACTCTGCCTTTCTCCTGCAGGTCGTGCCCACCATTGAAGGCACGATAGGTGCTCCATCGGAGGCTGATTTGCTCTTCCCACTACTGTCGCTGAAGCTGTCCTGAGCCTTCCGGCGGTGCAACCTCCTCCTTCTCCTAATCCATGTACTCCTGACATGGCTGCTGACGCCTCTCCGCCACTTCCAACAGTTCCTCCTCCTATTTCTCCAATTCCGAACGCACCTGACATAGCTTCCGGCACCACTCCACTTCTTCCAGCAGTACATCCCCTTACTCTTCCGATCTCGAGCACCCCTGACATAACTTCCGGCACCCGCTCCACTTCTTCCAGCAGTACATCCCTTTGCTGAGATTATTGACAATAGTCATAAAAATGGTGATGCTTTTATCGCAGGTTCCTCAAAAGGGCATTCATTCGAGAAAGGCATGTCTTGGCAAGATTGGGAGAACTCCTACACGGCATTCAAAGCCTTTTTGATGGTGGTGTCACCATTCTTAGATCCATTGATGAACTTCTTCCGCTTTGCCACAGATTCGATGGTTATGCGACATTCCAAGGTGCCCTCGTGTATCCAGAGACGGTTGGAGCCTTGAAAAGGTTTATGGACAAATACGGAAGTTTGATGGAAGCTACAGATGTCACCTCTTCTTTCTCAAGGTGTACTGCCCTTCGAGCCCTTGGCTTAGTACTTCATGGGATGGACACCATGCAACTCCTTGATATTACGGATCACAAACTGCTTTGTTGGCGAGATGCAATATGTGAGGCCATGATTCTGGGCTTTCGCGTGGAATTTCTTCTTAAACTCGTGAAGAGCTTAGCACGTGCCGTCTTTGGAGCACGGGCCATTCGTAGTATGCAATTATCGCATGATTCTGATGAAGTAAAAGCTGCTGCAGATGCCTTGAATATTAAACAACAGGAGTTGGAGAACCAGCGCCGGGAGATGCATGCCCTTCTTCTTGCTAAGGGTATTTCTGTTGACAGCGCTGAGTGCGTGACGGAGGCAGCGGCCAGATTATCTCCTGGGGCTTCCTTTGTTCTTTTCGGACATTCCCCATAGCCTACAGGTACTCAGTTCATCCATTATTTTTTTTTATTACGTATTCCAGCAGCAGCTATTTTTTGACACACATTTTCTTTTATCTTTTGCAGAGGGATGTACTGCTGGAAGAAGTGGAGCGGTGCCGGAAGTTATGTCAGGGGTGCTCGAGATCGGAAGAGTAAGGGGATGTACTGCTGGAAGAAATGGAGTGGTGCCGGAAGCTATGTCAGGTGCGTTCGGAATTGGAGAAATAGGAGGAAACTGTTGGAAGTGGCGGAGAGGCGTCAACAGCCATGTCAGGAGTACATGGATTAGGAGAAGGAGGAGGTTGCACCGCCGGAAGGCTCAGGACAGCTTCAGCGACAGTAGTGGGAAGAGCAAAATCAGCCTCCGATGGAGCACCTATCGTGCCTTCAATGGTGGGCACGACCTGCAGGAGAAAGGCAGAGTATGAACTAGAGGGCACAACGGGCAGTATGCAATGTCAATATTCCAAGCAGAACAAGCAAGAGGGATATTTGATACCAGTTCAACATCGACGCGCTGTCCACAATCGCTAGTCAAAGCAGGAGTTGTATCTGAGCCATCGAGCTCCCCCAAGCTAGTGCCGAAGGCCGGATAGGTGTCTTCGTCGTGACTATCGTATTGGCCTTCATCAAGGTCCTCATCCATGCCACTCGTATCGCGAGCGCTCTCTTGCTCATGAATGTTAATCTCAGTCCCCGCAGCGCCATTGTCATCACTATCATCATCACTATTATCATCAACCGTCACCATTACTTTGGGTCCCGAGTCTTCACCTTTATTCTTACGGGTATTAGCAAACCGCGTTTCAAGAATACGCATGCTTCGACGTTTCGGGGTCACGGAAAACCCCTTACCCTTGCCTTTACTTTGGGAAGTACCTGCAAAATAAGATAAAAGGGATACTTATAGGTACGCAAAGAGCGGGGAACAAAGGGAGCAAACAAATAGCATACTTACTGTGAGGAGATGAAGCTTTGGAGCTGCTCGCTCGCTGCTGCCGGAAGCTACAGGCTGCTGCTGTAAAGGCTCCGGCAAGGCAACTTTTCTTGAGCTAGGAGGACCACTTGCTGCTACCTTGGGGATGAACCTTTTCGGCCCTTTTACAGCTTGCCTTTTCTCGGCGCTGCAGCTTTCCTCGCGCTTCCGTTTCCCATGTACAGCACTTTTCCCCGGCGCTGTGAGAACCCGACTTTTCTAACTTCCGCTTTAGCTTCGAAAAGTCACCAACAATCTCTCCGTTTTTGGAGATAAAGGGCAGATTTCGCTTCTCGCTCAGGGAAATGGCTTTCTCTTCGACACTAAACGGGCATGATGAATGATGGTGGGAATCAATCTATCACAATGGGCAGCATGGAATCGGCTGAACGAGGCAAAGCAACGGTTCCAATAATTTTGGTAGGCCTTTGAGAAACTACCAACGCGCTGCCGGCTGGCCAGAGCAAGGGCAAGAGGTCTGCCGTCTCCCGGGACACTGTCACCAGTCCAGAAAACCCTGTGCAAGGTCAAGGAACCTCCATGGTTGGGACGAGAGGGCACGCCTTGGTCAAACCCAAGTTGTCGTCTAACCCGGTAAGGGGAATAATGCACAGAAATCTCCAAGTGGTCATCACCGAATGTGGGCAGAGGGAGGCATGCGGCACTCAACAATGCTTCTCTACGTAACCGACAACCTTGTGTTGGCATGGCCAGAGCCTCCATTAAAGCAGCAGAGTCAGCGTAGAGGGGCATACTTCTAAAGCCCTCTGATGAGGCACAATAGGGACGGAAAATAAATTGCTCAACATCGTCCAGCAGCTCTAAAAAGTTTTGGCCCTTCCGTTGCATGCGACGGGACCATCTACAGATCAGAGGAAGACTACCCGGCATGTAGGAATTCTCGTCCGAAGCAACCAGTGACTCAGCCTTTGAATAAGGGAGTGGAGATACCTCTATCCCTTTGAAACGTTCCCATAAAAAGATCTGCAGAAAACTGGAGTTTACAAAAGTCTCCACAGCCATGGTTCCGGCCGCCCCCCTTCTCAAGAAATTGAATCTGGTCAAGCAAGCGATATAAGTGCCCCAAGAACATGGGGGCTAAAGGGATCATGCTACCCCGTGCTATTGCCAAAGCCAACGGAAACACTCTCCCATGCAAGCAGTCTTGAGAAAAATCACAAAAGAGGAACCTCCCGAGCCACAAGGACACGAACGCCGCAAGGCGACACGGCTCATCTCGGTCACTGTTCCCAAAAAACTGAATCCAATTACTGAATCTTAGAGAGGTACTAGGAGAGGTCGGAGCACCCTTCCGCAAAGTCTCAAGCTTTAGCCCATCTTCGGGGGTTAATGCAATGTGGAAAGGATCTTGGCTGCCGCAAAGTGGGAGATGGAAATATTAGCTACATCCTCAAGCGTGGGAGTGAACTCTCCCCACGAACAAATAAAAGTGTGTGTCTCGGTGCTCCACCGTCTAACCAAGTGTCGAAGCGTCTTGACTTCAATATGGATGTCGCAAGCCTTAGAAGCAAAGATGGCTTCCAACACACCTGCCCGGCTTAGGATATCACGGGGTAGACGGGTTCTTCAGTTCATCATCAACCCACTCCGACCAACCCTTGCTGGTGCTGCAAGGATATTGAAAGAACAAAGGAACTGCCGGAAACATACCCCTTTCTATGCAGCACCTTGATACAGATGCGGGGTCGATCACTGGAGTAGCTTCTGGCGCTGGTTCTTCATCAATAATTACATCCTCGTCGGCGCCCTTAAGCAAGGGAGGTGGTCTCCCTCTCTTCAACCTGTCATCTACGGAGTAAAGATGATCCCTTATGATAAATGGTGGATTACCGGATGCCCTTATAGGTACCTGCATATAAAAAAGTGGGAAGAAGCAAGATGGAATTAGCACACATGCGATATGTATCAAGCACGACTGGTTATGGTCGTCCGAGTAAACATGCAATTTAAAATCCAAGCTCATGGCAAACAAGAGTTTTGCTCTGTGGCAGGATAAGCAAGTCCCTTCTCCAAATGAAAAATGAATATTCAACCAGGCAATACGAAACATCCACTCTGTCAAGAAAAAATTGTTCTCCACAAGTGACAATTGATCGCACATACGTCCTCAAGGAAAGAAAGCCTAGGCCAAGCATCAGTCTACACCTATTCTAAAATACCCAGAGTTGGCAGAGTTATTACCAAAGTCTAAGTTAGAAGACTGAAGGGTTTGAAGGTTCCAGCAGCAAAACGTCAAGGGTTTCTAGCACCTACCCTCACCTATGCCCAAGATGTGTATACCTGCACAAAAAAATAACAAAGGGAAAGCACATCATGCCAAATTAGCCTTTTACACACAAAAAAAGAAGCCCGTGCAAAATAAAAATGAAGAGAAGGGGGAGAAACCCAAGCCAACAAGGAAAAAAAATATATTACCTTTCCAGCAGCTCGAGCAAAATCAACGAAGGAAGAAACCTAGACAATGGCGCGGGCCCTTCCTTGCTAGCACCCACTCCGTGAGCACTATTGTTGCAGCGGAAACAAGATGGGTAAAAAGGGGGGTTTTGGTATTTGGCTGCCAAAACAAAAAGCAACATCCATGGGTATGAGAAACCCAACAAATTCTCCAATCAATCTAAGGGAAAACTGGAGAAAAGAGGGTACCTTGTTAAATCTTCCAAGGAATGGCGTCGAATGCACCAAAAAGAGGAGAAAATCAGGGATTTGAAGGCAAAACCCGCACAAAAGGAGGACCTTTCCAGCAGCGACGAACGGGCTCCTTTGGAACGAAGGAGGAACGACGAGGTTGAGTCCGAGTCGGACTGGGGGCTTTCTTCCCAGCAGCTGGAGATGGGTGATTCCTACCCGATTGCACTTTCTTCCTTGGTCTGACTTCGTGGAAGAGCAAAAGCAGAAAAATAGTTGGAGAGAAGTTTTGGGTCTGGAGTGGAAAAAAAAGAAAGGAAAATGAAGAAGTTTGTGCCCGGTGCGAGAAAAGAGAAACAAAGGAGGAAAAAAATAATAATAAAAAGAAGAGGAAGGCAGTTGGCGTTGGGAAACTGCAATAACCACCGGGACAAATCATGGCACGCCGTCATTTTGCACGCGGGAAGAAGAAGAGTTCTATGCAAATACAAATCTGATTTTTTGGGTTGGGTTTAATTACTCGGCCCATTCCAGCACCTGTTCATGGCCCTTATAATTAAGGGGGCTAATGTTGAGGCCCAAAAATCCATGGATTGGGCCCGAGCAATTATCAGCCCAATACAATATTCCATAAGGGAAAAGAAAAAAAGGATCTATCGCATGCGAGTTATAATCCACATGCCACGCTAAATAAACAAATTATCATGCTATGATTCGCGATAAAAATATTAACTCATGCTAAAAATTAAAACAATCCTTCCCAAGGGCGATAAGGTAAAATATGCCGAGCAACATGCCATGCCGTTATCTCGCACCCAACCACGCTACAAGCCTAGGTGGGCCCAAGCCACTCAAAAAACCCCGGGGCTTGCTTGAGTGGGTTGTGGCATGGATGGTGATAAATCAACATGAGACCCATTGATGGACCAGAGAAATGGAAAGTCTCGGGTTGCTTGGGAGCCTCGAGACTCAAGCCCATTTCTTAGGCCCAAACATGTGGGTAAGCACAAGAGAGAAAAATAGCCCAAAAGCCCAAGCAAAATAACCTAGCCAAGAGATAACCCAACCAAAAAAATAATAAGCCCAAATCAAGAAGCCCAACAAGCCCATTTGCTTAGAAAGCCATCTTGGCCCTTAGAAAAACCCAAAATAGCCCACAAGAGCTTCAGCTCTTTTGAAAAACAGAGAACACGTGAAGAGCAGATGGCAGACTCCTTAAGCAAAGCTGCTGGAAACCAGTCCCAAGCCAGAGACATCCAAAGAACCGATGAATACCATCCCGCATGCTGTCAGAAGCATCCCTTGGACCAGCATATATTTTCACCTCTTTTCCTTCATCAGATTCAGCCAAGGAAGAGGAAAGAAAAGAAGAAAAAACAGCAAACCAAGAGTGGAAGCCCTCATTGCACAGCCGCGGGAAAGGAGGATGTTGAGCCCCCAAATCCCCTGAATTCATGAAAATAGACAGAAGCAATCTTTGCCAAGAAAGGGAAGTCAGAGAAGGGGAGGAGAAAGGAAGAAAAGCTCAGCCAAAGTAAGTAGAAGCCATTAGGGTTTCTTGAAAAATGGTGATTTCCGGCAGCTATAAATTGAGCCTTCCCCTACCCAACAAACACAACTCACAACCTGCAGAGAGCAAGCTTTTCTCTCTATCTTGCAAAACTCAGACTCGTGCACTGTTCATCTTCTTCTCCAATTTGTTTTTCTGGCAGCTGCCGGAAGAACCCTGCCTTCTCTTTTTCTCTTTCTCTAGTCAAAATTCCTCACAAAACACCTCATTCCTTACTTAAACACTTTCATTTCTCATAAACCAAGCCTAATTTCTCTCTTAGTGCTAAACCCAGGTTGGTTTTGCTCCCCATGCCTCATGCCACTCATGCTGAGCTAAAAACCATCTGTAAGCATGCCAAAACTATCTGCAAGTCACTATTATTCTCATTGGTGAAGATTATCCAAAATATCTCCTAAGGTTTCGCTGCCTTTTCGAGGTATTTTGGGGCTTAATTTTCGAACCTAAACAAAAAGGGGCAATCTCCTCAGTCCGCCTTTTGCAGCAGCCCAGCCCGTTAGCTGCAGGAAGAAAAAGTCCCCTACATAAATTGGCGACTTCACTGGGGATTAAGCCATTATCTTCATCAATGCCTCCAAGAAAGAAGACCAGAAGCAACAACATAACTTCCCAGGATGGGCCAAGCCATGCTGACTCAGAGTCAAGGCAACATGCCTCTTCTAGAGAAGAAGAACGTGCAAGTGAGGGAACTTTTACCCTCACAGATCTTGTTGCAGCCATTCGTGCTATGGGTGAGACCCAGAGGGAGATGGCAGAGATGATAAAAGAACTCAAAAATTCGGCTCCAAAGCCAAGTGAAGTGAATGAGAAGCACCCACAGGAGGAATCTGCTGCTGCCGGAAAGGAGTCTGAGCAGAAGGGACCATCTTTTGTCACTCAGGAGGACGTTGTTGCCATGCTGGAAAAGGAGCTGAGTCGAAGTCAGGAAGATTGGAAGTATCTTCCTCAGCCGCCGTATCCATCAAGCTTACTCCAGCAGCCATATCCTAAAGGCTATGAAGCACCGACCTTTGTCCTCTTTGATGGACGAAAGGGGAGCCCGAAGGAGCATGTCAATCGCTTCATCGATGCCTTGGGACCGTATGCTGGTGATCATAATCTTCGACTTAGAGAATTTTCAAAGAGTCTCACCGATCGTGCTTACACATGGTATACAACGTTGGCACCAGGCTCTATTCATTCCTGGGAAAGTCTGGCAAGCAGGTTCTGTAAGAAGTATTTCCAGCATGAAGAACGAGTCACCACCACTCAACTCAACAACACTCGCCAAAAGCATGGTGAGGATCCCGTGGACTTTGTACGCAGGTTCCGGGACCTGGCATTGGATTGCTATGATGAGAAAGACGAGGAGGCGCTTGTTGAAATTTGCATCAGCAATATCGTGGCAGATTATAGAGTGTATTTGGAGAATATTGGCATTAGTCAATTTTCTCGTGCTGGAAGCTGTGAGGAAGACGAGCATGTCCGTCAAGCCACCAGGACAAAGGACTTGGAGGAATGAGAAGAAGGAAGCGCATCAGACATTAGCAATAGATGACAAGCCATCCAACGACTACAATTCACGCAAACGAAAGGATAGAGAGACGTATCCACCACTACCATGCAAAGATGAAGAATTTCATGCTATCCTTGACACAATGATTGCTGATGGCGTAATCAAACCTGTCAGACCCTACAAGGTTCCTACTCGAGAGGAAAAGAATGATCCTAGGTACTGCCGTTATCATCAATTTGTGGGGCACCCAACCACTGCCTGTCAGAGTCCGAGGAGGATTTTACACGCCAAAATACATGAGGGAGTCCTTGAACGAACAAACAAGCCTTTCAGCAGCTGTACGATATGGTGTCAATGCTGGTTCCTTCACGGCGAAATTTCCTTGTAATTGACTCAGCACCAAGTTTGAATCCCCAATAATTTTAATTCTTTGACACCCATTTCCCTTGCTGTAGACATCCCTGCAACAAAAGCTTCGTACTCTGCCGTATTATTCGTGCATGGGAAATTTAGCTTAAACGAGAAGGCCGTGGCTTGCCCCTCGAGATTGACAAGCACCACACCTGCCCCTCCACCCTTCGATGTAGAAGACCCATCGAAGTAGAGGGTCCATGGTTCTGCCTCTGTGACAACAGCAACCATTTCCGGCAGCTCTCCCAGAACTTCCTTAGAGATTGTTGATTCTTCAACTTCGGGAAATAGAGCCAACATGTCAATCACGGCCTGCAGGTGATATCAAACTCGGACAGTTGTAGCAACCAACGTGCAAGGCGTCCGGATAATACCGACCTTGTAAGCAAATATCTTACAGGATCGGACTTCCCCAGCAGAGTCGCCAATTTATGTAAGGGACTTTTTGGTCCTCCTTATCTTCTGATGAAAATGACCAGAAAGAAGCTACCCCACTTCGCCTCTTCTCTTCAGGCCTTCTTGGCCTTCTTCTTTTTGCCTTTGGCAGGTAGGGGGGGAAAGACAGCTCGGAAGATCCAACCAGCCAATATTGCTCCTATGAAGGGGCAAATCCAATAAACATAAAACTGCTCCCATGTGTTGTGCCAATTGTTTAGATATGCCCAACCAAATGCCTGCGAACACGACAAGTAGTACATTTTATAAGGCCATAAAGCTTGGATAGTTGATGATTGGCCTATTGATGATACACACAAAAAGATCTAATATTATTTGATTTAAAAACAAATGATACAAAAGAATAACAGCAACAGATTTAGAAAAGAGAGAAATAGCTTGACCAAAAAACAAAAGAAAAAATATCATAAATAATTCAGTTGCCAAGCCATTTGCTTCTCCATTCATAAATCAATCCAACAGAGGATTCAGATTCTGAAAACTATTCAACCAAAAGAAATGAACAAAGGGATAATGGCTGTAGTACCTTAACAGCTGTAAAGTGAAGTCAGTTCACTACAATCCAAAGGAAACTGTCCAAGGTGCACAACTCAACACATAAATTGCCATCTCTTCCCACGAGGGAATAACCAAAACAATGAACGATCAGTCTTTGCCTATAAAATTTACGGCATGTATCGGAACTATATAAGGTCTAGACTATTTGAAGTGATGAAGATTGTACATGCACTGTTCTTGAGTGAAACAAGCGAGCCCCTTCCAATTTATCTCGTAACCCGACCATCTCAGCTATCTCCGCCTCATTCAGATTTCTCCTAAGACCAAAGTTAACTATAATGGTACAAAGAAGGATCCACAAAACATGAAATACTCTTTTGATGTTTTCTGGCCAGTCAGAATAATCTGGGATACAGTTCTTTCAACAGTCCAACCTCAAACCAACAATCCCCCCAGAACATCACCCTCTCACTCAAATTCACAACAGAAATAAAGGAAACCTGAAGGAAATATCTTTCCAAGGGCTACAACTTGAGCCTCTCACTAAAAGGTTTGCATCCCACCTGTTGGTAGCCTCCCCATATTTACTTCTTATCATCTTATGCCAAAACAAACTTGTTTCCCTCGGATACCTCCATAACCACTTAGCAAGTAAAGCTTTATTCCTCTCACTCAAATTGGCCACACCTAAACCTCCATCCTCCTTACTTAAGACCATTAAAGTTCAGACTGTGCTTTTTCGGGAAGGCCATTAGTAACTGAAGAAGTGTAATGTAAAAAATTTATATCTCATGGAACGAAAACAAGACTAGTCCTCCGCTATCAACTTTAAGATCAAACCCCACCATATTTCTCATCCTAGACACCATACTTGTTGAATTTTCCTACTACACTAATTCTAAAATTTCCCCTTCCCGTAAATCCAAACTGATGAGACCAATTATCCAACATTAAATTCAATATGAGATGACAAAATTCCTCATCAACTAATGCAGTAACCTTTCAATGTCGTCAAATAGATAGATAGGGAAATGGGCTATTAATGGCTTGAAATCTTAGATTGAACAAATTGGCAACAACTTTCTCTGGATTAAGAAGTCATCAACGCATTTAAGATTTTGAGTTTCTTATCATTTCAACTATTAGTCAGTCTAAGTCAAGCATTTGTCATTCACCAAATGACTTGTCAAAAGATAAACAAAGCATTTACAAACGGCCTAGAAAGGAAATACAAGATCAAAATTAAGAAGAGGCAAAACATCATCAGACATACACTAATTCAAACAATAAACCTAACTGGAAGCTCTCCTTAGATTTTAAATAGAAGAGAAGTATTTTCAACTGAAGTTAGAAACTCACCAATTAATACATCTTACTCTCTTTGTCCCTGGAAGATTATCTTTCATTTAAAGAAGAAAACAAAATACATTTCAAGGAGACAGTAATTAATGCATTCACACTAGCCTATTCAGTTCTGTATTTCCTTCATTACCCACAATTTTCACTGTTTAAAATCTAAACATAACAGCGATACAGAGAGATACTTCAAGAAAATGAAATTATTTGTGCCTTGACTTCTATTATACTCAGAAATTCCCCCAAACCCGCTTCACGGACTTGGACTACCTGCCCAACCCTACAATCTTTTGTGGCTTGACTTTTCAAACTGGGAAAATGGTTCCAGATAGGGGAAAGTAGAGAGGAACTTTTAAACAATAAGGAAACATTGGCATTTATATTTTAACCGTTAAGGTCCTATCAAAAAAATATTATAACCATTACGGAAATACCACTAATGTGGTAAATACAGCAGTCCTTACATTCTATTGTTGTAATACTTTTCCAGTGATATATTACAACCAACAGAATTTTGAAACTAATGCTACTAACGGAATGCTGTCACGAACAAATTGAAGAGTTATTTATGTCGAACTTAAGAACAGAAGATGGCCATAGTAAAATAACAGAAATAGAACTAGAAGAGGAATTCATACTTAATTAATCAGATGAAAATAAACAAAGTTCCTAAAAATCTGTGCGCAACTCTCTTCCTCTGTCTCTCTTTCCATTTGTCTAACTTCTAATCTAAGATGGCCATAAATTTTTTTAATCTCTGATAATGTTGCATATTCAAAGTCAATGAATCAGATGAAAATAAACATGTTCTAATATTTATGCACAACTCTCTCTCTCTCTCTCTCTCTCTCTCTCTCACGCATGAACATAGGGGTGGAGCTAGAATTGTAAAGTTGGGGGGGCCAAAATAGAAAATACAAGTATATCAAACACCTAAGTATTCAAGATACATGTGAGAGCTAAATATTTCTAAATTAAACATGTCTACTTTGTTTTAGAGGGGCCATTAACTTAAATTATAAGTTGTCTATCACTAATTCCATATATTATTACTCATGGGCCTAGGAGTGGCTCCACCACTGCACACACACACGAAGCATACAAAGAGTAGTGGCTGGAGAGGTTTTTTTCGAGAGGGTGAACGCCAAAAATGTGGGGAAAATAAAGGTGATAGTGCAAGGAGGCACTAAGGCATTTATAAGGAAGATAGAAAGTACATTGAAATAGAAGCCAAAGAGGATATACGTTTCTCCTTTTTCTCCTCTCCTGTAGCTTTTATATTTTTTAGCATAATTGTGTTATTACTCTGCTTGACAGACAGGAAGATGCCATTTCCATTTTGTCCATGTGTCCCATAAATCATATATTGTACAAACAAAAGCCGAAGAGCATAATAGCAATGTCAAAGAATAAAGAAAGATATCTCAAGGGGTTCAATGATAGTAACCAAACACACTTAGTATTATGATAAGCACCACCAATCTGATATAGCGTATCTCATTTACTACAATAGAAAATATCCCATCCTCGTAATGGATCAAGGGGAAACAATAAATTTCTTAAACATGAGTTTCCAATAGTAAAACATACATCTTAAGGACGAGTTATCAAAAAAGCAGTACACATAGCACAGGGAAAGTATAACCATTATTGTAAGATTTTTATAGTGATGCTGTATTAAATTTAATATGTTTCCTACTACTGCAAGGAATCGATATGGTGTAGGCAGAAGAGAAAGAACGACATTATAACTATGATTAATGGGGAAAAAAAAAGAAAAAGAAAAAAAAAGCATGGGTTACTTACATTGGCTGGATTCATTGAAGGGCCGGTATAGACAGAACCGGAAACAACCAATGTGACAGTGACCACAGAAAGTAGCAACATCTTCAAAACGGGCTACGAGGACCCTTGAGTATGATTACAAGGACAAGAAAGGAGATTATGAAAGTCAATACCCCCTCAGCGATAGCTCCAGTATGCACGTCAACTTTTAATGAAGGCCCTCCAAGCATGTGCTTGTATTGCTGTGGCATGACCTCGTTAATGGCTAGTACTCCACCCACAGCACCCAAAGCCTGTGCAAGAAAAGAGAGATGTATTTTATATGCAATTTTGATCGTTAATTAGGATTTTTTATATTAAGCAGCCTAGAATCATTTTGGGTTCTTTTCTATACATCCATTGGTTGAGAGCAAGGCATAAAGTGAGTTTCCTTTTTGCAATAATGAGCAGAGCAGATTCTGTTAGTTAAA